CAACTTTGCTTGCGTGATTCATTTGTGCATAGAGAGGAAAAGTGCATACTTTGAGTATGTTTTGTAAGGTACTGTAGTTTTTGACACAATAGACAGGTTATGATCAAACTTTCAGATTCAACTTTCTTACTGTCCTGTTTTCCTTTGGTCACCCTGTATAATCATATTTTTAAATTATTTGAAATGTAAAAAGGAATGTGAATACTGATTCATGAATGAAGCTTTATCAGAAATCAACCTATGCTATTGTCTATGCAAATGAATAAACTAGTGCCTTTTTGTACATCTCTCGTATGTTACCCCCCTATCACACCAAACTAGTTCTTACCCGTTCTTGCCAGTCCTACGAAAACGTCGTAAAACGGGCTCAGTCTGGCTGTGGTCGGGAAATATGTCTGAAATAATTAGCTTCTTCGTTCTTAAACAGTCTTCAATACGTCCATCTCGTTCGCAGTTCGTTCAGGTCGCACCACGTCGGTGTGCAACGTCGTAGAACGCGTCCCTTAGTCTAGAAGGTCAACATGACCTGATTACAGAACGGTATGGTCGCCATCGAATTTTGAATCGATTCAAAATTCTAAAATCACATTCCCGTCTGAGAACGTTCATAACGTTCGTAAATAGACCTTAGAAAGTTGCAGCTACGTTCATTCCGTTCGCAAACAGTTTAAACCAGTTTTGAAGAACGCAGTGGCAACTTGTTTGGTGTGATAGTTATATTTTTGCTAACTCGTTCAAAAGCAGTGTTAAATACGTTCTTAATCAGTTTAAACCCGTTTGCAATTAGTTCTACCTCGTTCTCAACACGTCCTCAGACAGTTCAACTCGTTGCTAAAACGTCCCTAGTAGGATTGAAGTACGACGGTTCCGTTAGTAGTACGTTCAGCTCGTCCTTAGTACGGTGTGATAGTAGGGTTACCCTACTATCACACCAAACTAGTTCTCACTACGTTCTCAAAAACGGGCTTCAACTGTGTACGAACGGACTGGACCTACTAAGAACCGTTTGGGATCTATTAACAAACTTCATCGAACGTACTCGAACGGGTAGGTCCTCTAGAACTTAGACAATGCTCAAAATGTTCTCGTGGTCGTCACGTTCTACAATTAGAACGAGTGACAACGTACTAACGACGAGCTGGACGTACTACGAACGGAACCGTCGTACTTCAATCCTACTAGGGACGTTTTAACAACGAGTTGAACTGTCTGAGGACGTGTTGAGAACGAGGTAGAACTAATTGCAAACGGGTTTAAACTGATTGAGAACGTATTTAACACTACTTATGAACGAGCTAGCAAAAATATAGCTATCACACCAAACAAGTTGCCACTGCGTTCTTCAAAACTGTGTGCGAACGGAATGAACGTAGCTGCAACTTTCTAAGGTCTATTTACGAACTTTATGATCGTTCTCAGACGGGAGTGTGATTTTAGAATTTTGAATCGATTCAAAATTCGATGGCGACCATAACGTTCTGTAATCAGGTCATGTTGACCTTCTAGATTAAGGGACGCGTTCTACTACGTTGCACACCGACGTGGTGCGACCTGAACGAACTGCGAACGAGAAGGACGTATTGAAGACTGTTTAAGAACGAAGAAGCTAATTATTTCAGACATATTTCCCGACCACAGCCAGATTGAGCCCGTTTTACGACGTTTTCGTAGGACTGGCAAGAACGGGTAAGAACGAGTTTGGTGTGATAGGGGGGTTAGTGAATGGTAAAACATTTGTTTTTGTATTCCGCATTCTGATTATACATTTCATTCAAGACATTTTCATATATTATTATATTGTCCTTGGATGGCAAGTCTAATAAGGTATTTATGTAGAACATTATAAATTGATATGTTTAACGGGTAGAATCTGCGTCCAGAGAGAAACTTCTCAATTATTGTGCCAATGTGAGATACACTTGGCGAGTATGATTGATTAGTGCAAGAAACCCTCTGTAGATATCGATGCTACCTTTTGATGAAATAAAATGTGCAAAATTATGCTTTACTATATACGAGTAAATGTAATAAAATATTTGTTGCTTTTAGAGTAAATGTTATTTTGTATCTTATGTGTAATTTTTACAGTGATTACTAACTGTGAGAAACCATCTTCTCATTATTTTTACGCTTTGCTTGTTGAGGTCACACCACACGTAATCGCATTTCAGAGCTGGCAAATTTGTTTTTCGACACCCTGTAATTTTAGAATTAATCTCTCAATCAGGCTTGAAATATTTTTGAAGTTTGTAGTGTACAGAGTGCCCAACGAATATGGATTAAACTGTGATGTACTTGTATAGCATCGTAAAAGCAAAGCAATCTAATTATCCAGTGTGTGAATACTGGGTACACCACATTTTCAGTGGAAAGTCTCATAAGCTCATAACTTAAAATATTTTTACATTTCAAAAGTGAAATATCTTAAGAATTTGTAGATACAGAGTGAGCCAAAAAAGGTGACACAGAGAAATCTCAGTTATCCAGCATGGGTTTTGTGATATTTTGGTCTATTTCTAAGTGCAACTATTTTATGGCCATTTTACAAAACATGCTCCAAATGCTAAAACCTATACTACCAAAATCACCTAATAAGGACCCCGGAATTCATCTCCGAATTGCTATTTCAAAGACAATGTGTATACTAACAATATAATATTCAATTTTATACTTCACTTTTGATTCACCCCACGTACATTTATTTATGAAAGTTATCCAGAAATGACTCAAATAATGGCAAAAGAAAAATGCTTTTAAACAAAATAAGTGGGCGGAAGTGTGATTTCCATAATCATACACAATTAATTTAGAAAGATCCGTCTTGATAATAATAACCTATAATACCAAATGCTTAAAGTAATACACAGCAGAAAATTCATTTTGACATAATGTTATTTGGATCAGAATTTTTAATTTCGACACAATATTAGAACAAGTAGGAAAAAAGGTTTTGTGACATAATTAACATGATTTTTCATTTTCAGCTAAGACTGTTTAACTTGAAAATGGCAACTCCACGGAGTGGCGAATCCCAGCGAACACTATATATTCATTAATTGTATAACACAATTTAAGATTTACGATCTAATCTTCCCTTGAATAAATATTTGAGATCCATTGTTGTATCATGTAACCATACTTAAAAAATCTCTAAGTAATAGAGAATGCCTGCTCTAGACAACTATTTTGAATTTTAAGGCACAAATCAAAACATGTGATTTACTCTAAAATTCCTACAATTTGAGTATAATATAGCGGTCCTCTGAATAGATTGAAATTATTGCAAAATCTCACATGATGATGATGCGCCTTTTTTTTAATAGATCTCATATCTTTGAAGGGTATCAGTTAAAAAGAAATACGAGATCACTAACATATTTTGCCATGCACTGCGCCTATTCATTTGGCAATTCAGTTGTAAATTTTCTCTTGAAAAAAATAAATCTTCCAAATTTGTTGAGTTTTATTGCATCATTTTTGTACGATCACCGGGCGTGATAGAAATAGAAATAATAGAAAAAATAGAGGGTGGTCCAAAAAATGGAACATTTGAAAACTGAACTCAAGATCGTTATTTTCCCTCTAAAATGCATCAAAATTTCACTGAGTATTGTTCAGTCACTTATTTATCTGATGTAAAGTTAATGCATTAAACTAGACAATGTTTGATATGACCCCTCTTCTCCTGAATTACAAGTTCAAGCCTGTGACTCCGTTTTGAAATGATTTATTCAGTTTACCGTTTGTTCGTTTTTGTCCAAGCAATCTTGATTAAAAAATTCAGTTTGACCAAACTTCCCAGATATGTTTGCCTTGGAAGATCAAATCTAGTTACATATTCAACATTTTTTTTACCTAACTTCATGGGTATCAAGCATATTTAATTTTGATGACTATTGTTGGGTGTATTACTTATTCGAACATGACTGTATTCACACCTTCTATAAACTGTAAACAAAGTCAATGCTTCAGCTGGGTTATATTCGAGATCAATAACCCAGTTAATACGTGTAATGTGTGACGTCAAAACGATGGGTCGGACCATGATGAATATTCGAAACAATTTGGTGAGTTTTCATGTTCGAATCGTAATATAGACCTCAGAGCAGGGGTAATATCGTCGAATACACCCCTTGGGGCTAGACACAAAAGCTTTCGAACCCCTGCTTTTCGGTCTATATTTCTTAATTAAATATTCTCAAGAAAGAGGCCAGGGCAGTCCGTTTTGACTGGTTCGTGAAGCCCTATTCCCTTTCTTGTTCTAATATGAATAATATTCATTGAATATATCAATATATGCATATCAATATCATAAAGGAGTCTCCCAGAACCCAAATGATATATATTATATATGCTTAGAGTTGGTCCTCAATAAAGTAAATAACTGGTCAGTTTCCTCTTTACTGAAAAATGGAGACGATGATTTTGTCACTTTAGTAGCTGTATGGGTTATGCAATCGCTCACCTCTGGCATGTTCTTTCTTTCCTACTTTTAGACATCGTGGTAAACCACGCCCTCTCCATCTCTATCCTTCTGGGTTAAGTGAATTAAAAGTCAAAGGTAAAGAGGCTTTAACACGTAGTTCAATGGGGGAGCTAATGTTGCCAAACTTATGGAGGGGAGTGTAAACATGATTTTATCATTTATAAACATGATTTTCTATTCTCAGCTAAGAATGTTTAATTAAGCCGATAAAAACATTTAAAAGTTAATTTTGAGTCATGGTTTGGTAATCCAGAAAAAGCTACGTTTGAATCCTGGCAATTGTGGTACCATTAATCATTTACATAACTTCAGGCAACCATAAAATTAGCAATTTCTTTGAATTAGAAATAATGGAAACATCAAAATTACTTACATGGTATCCCCCTCTTATAGACAGAAATACACTGTGCGTTCATGATTTATTTTATTACTAACTCGTGAAACGTAAAATAAAGCAAGCAGTTTTAATGAGTGAAAATGGCGACGACATCTTTTAACTGAGAATGAATGGAACAATATAGAATAATAAAGACACAAAATATAATAGAGTGGGGGAATTCTTGTGAGATTTTGACAAGTTATAGTCCATCAGTATTCTTGATCTAGATCGTCATGTTATTAAAAATGTTAGTTTGATCCGAACAATGTTTTCTTTACGTAGTTGCGCAATTTTCCTTTCAGTGAGTTGTACCCATTTGTAAGAAACCAACACTTCCCAACATTTTTTACTTTCTCTGTCACAGAAAACGTTGAGTCAAACAGCTCAATGTGGCCATGCTTTTCGTCCTCCCCCTTCTTGAATCGTCCTTGATTAACAACGTCGCCTGGAATATCAAAATAATTGATATATCTTAATAAAAAATCATGCTCCGGGTCTTCCAAAATTAGACGACCCTACTCCCGTGTATCTAAAATTCATTAATATGTTGCATAAGTAAAAGCGCGACCATCTAGCACTAAGCACACGAACGAATGACCCTAGTACCAAGGAAGCAACAAGGCACATTTTTGTTGATGCAAGGCCAGAATATAGGACAGCCTTGGAAGAAGGTAGCCCAAGACAATCCAAAATGGCTGACAAGAACTATTTTTATTTGGAAAAATTCAATTTACTTCTATATAATTATATCCTCTGTTCTATCCATCTTTGCATGCATCTTATTTCTTGTTAAAAAATGGTGGAAAATTGAATATTTGAGAAATAAAAAGCTGACAACTTTTTTTAATTTCTAAAATAACTTTTAAACTCATGAAAAACAATTTATGATAAAAATATATTTTCAAATTATTGCATGGAGACTTTAAATGCCTGGTCACTTCATTTCGTCTTAATGTTTAGTTAAATGAACAGATGTAAATTGAATAGATCTATAAACAACGAAAACTCATTGCTAATTCAGCGCTTTTGTAATTTTTTAATTTTTAATAAATTTGATATCAGATTATAGCCATAATGAATGGCCTTCTCAAATAGGTAGTCTAATACAATAAACTGATACACTAGACAACAAATGGTTAAAATCAAGGCATTCATCGAGATTTACTCTTTCGCATTGTCAGGTCATTTGCAGTAAATAATCTTTAATTGTCCGACAATAAATGATAAAAAAGAACATATGCGTTTCAATGATTCTAAAATGCATATCGATTGAAACTAAAACTACTGCGGTAATGACCATGGGACACTTTATATAGGGCATAAGAAGCCCGTTTAAATTAAAACAAGCATAATCACTGTGATAATGTTCATTGACTCTTAAAAATTACTCTTGACAAAGTTTTTTTACTTACTTTTTATTTCAGAGAAAAAAATTGTTAAAGCAGTTCCAATACAGTTACATGGAACACTTATATTTTACAATACTGTTTTGATTACACTTCAGTTTTTAAGAATTGTATACCTTTGGCAGATTCAATACAGACTCACCTAAGATTCCACGGACGTGGGGTCCGAGACCACCATGCTGGTGAACACTGAATTTCAAATGATCGCCTTGGTGTTCAATTTCAGTGACGGTTTTGTCAACAAATATCTCAGCGTAGTTTCTTCGAATCATCACATTGGCGTCCCCAAATTCACCAACACTCTCTGATCCCCACTTATATTTGGTTTTACCATCAGTGATTCCTTTACTATCCACGGTTATTTGAGCCTCATTGGTCCGAATAGCAATCAAATCAACCAATTTCGCCACTTGTTTGGCACCATGACTGAAGATTCTAATTCTGATTTCTGTTTACGTCAAACCAATGAAAATGAAAAAACATCATAGATCAATATAATTGCTCATGCGCCCCATGAGAAGATTATGTTTAACATTAATTATTTCTCGAAATGGAATTATGATCATTCAATTTTATACGAAAATAGGCAAACCTTATCGCCGTACTCTGAAGCAGGATAATCAAACATAAAACCTGGGAATACTAAACCATTGATTTTATAATGTCACCACCAAAAAGTGGTGACATAGTGGTCTCCGTTTTTACGGCGGTTGGTGGCTGGCGATCGGCGGTTGGTGTCTATAACAAATTCTTACAACTTCCATTATCTTAACAAATCCTGTTTAGACTGACTTCAATTGTTTTCAAGTTTTCAGAAGTTCAAATCTGACTTTATATTTAAGATTTGACCTTTAATGACATTTCCAAGATCAGAAAAAGGTTAAAATGTCCTTTTTCAACTTGCTTCAAATTGACCAATTTTTTTCTCAACAGTTTAAATCTATAGGTTTGACCTTCAATGACATTCTCAAGGTCAAAAAGATTTGACCTTCTCAAGGTCAAAAGGGTCTTTTTCAAATTCCTTCATATTGACCATTTTTCCAAAATCATCTACAGGTTCTCAGAAGTTCAAATCTGACTTTAGATTTGAGATTTCACCTTCAACGACCTTCTGGGGGTCAAAAAAGGTCTTATCAAAATCATCTACAAGTTCTCAGAAATTCAAATCTGACTTAAAATTGAAGAATTGAGCTCATATTGTAAGCAACTAGGTGGTGACATTTTGTCATGCCTCGTTCTAAGATAAACACATCCCTTGTTGGATAATAGAGAGATTCCCTTCGAAGGTCTAACATCTCAACCAGTCAATTTGGGACTATATTACACAATAGAGGAATGATCTTATTCAATGTAAAGTTAAAAAAACAATTTGAAAAGAATAGAGAATACGCAAATTGATGGCAGAGCCTTTTTACTTTATTTACTCACCAATATTCCTGTCTCGAACAAACTGAAATATCTCGCCAGATTTGCCCAGGACATCAAAACAGAAATGGGTCTTTAATCCATCGTTTAACTGGACAGACACATGTGGGTCACCTGGTAAAATACATAGAAATATATAAACATAGCAACTATTTCCTCTACTACGGCAACTGAAGCTGACATTTCATTTCATGTTACACTGGGGGGGTATCGTGATGCGACAACACCGTGTTCTTGCATCAAGATGGCCAGCCTTCCGGTGATCGATTTCTGCAAGATATTTTGTTTTTATTTAAACCCATTTCTAGGACGAGTTTCTCGACAATCATACACGTGCAGTTAGCGCACGATCGAAATTTTAAAATACTGTCATTGATATACATGTAACATCATCCAGAAGCGATAAATTCACGGTTTTAGTTCCTCACTATTGATGCAACAACACCACCACTATGTTTATTATCAATGATGCAAGTAAGTTAATCACTTTCTAAATGACATCATAACAGACACTAATGTGGTCCCAATTCTGGAGACCTGTGTTCGGAGGCTTGTTTTCGGAGGATATCCCAAATCTTGAAACTACTTTGAACAGGACAACATAAACTTAAAAAGACTGGTCGCCCAATTCGTTCGAATCCTAATGGTCCAAACCATATTTGTCAGGAATGCGTTGAATAAATCATCGCGTTGATTGATTATTGAATAAAATACATTTCCCGTTTACACTTTTCATGTTTTGGTCAAGTCAATATTTCTGATTTTGGTCTGATTTTATTTACAAAGAACTAATATAATTATGGAAAGTCAACAGATATCAGTTATTTTTATGTTGTACACTCCCCTCCAAAAGTTTGGCAACCTTAGCTCCCTTATTGAACTACATGTCAAAGCCTCTTTATATTTGAATTTTTATTTACTTGACCTGTGAGGAAAATACATGATTGAAATATAGCTTTTATTCAAATGTAAACAATTGGATCGGATGTACGTTTTGCCCTAAAAGGGCATCAGTACTAATAAAATCCTATAATATATTCATCATTTTAACCTGGTTAGACAATCAGCATTGGTTTATTTTTGAAGATTAGCATATTTAGAAAAGTTTGACATGAAAAGAAATTCGAAAATTTCGAACTTCTACTTTCGAAATTATGTTCCTGTATCTATAAAAAATGTGATATGATGACTCACCGCATACCCAAGCCCCGGCGTCCCCTTTAACGCACTTGTTCCTGTTTGCCTTGGTGCAGTGTTCATCTTTTGTACACTCGCTACATATACCCTCGCAACAGTATGGACGATCATCACAACAATCGCAGTCTTTGTCTTTCTCACACTCCTTCGGAGCGTCACAAGCTAAATCATCAGAAATAACCTAGTCCTTTGCAGTCATATCCCCTCTATAGGCTTCTCCTTCATATATATAGCAATCTTTCTAACGATCGACATGTATGATTTAAAATTGATAAAATAACTATATTATTATGTAAAATATAAAAATATACATATAAATATTTTATTTTCAATTTGACTAACCCTGTTCTTCAAATATCTTTTTGTTTTTATCCATCCTAGTTTTTATTCCTGCAAAACCAGCTTCACCAGCAACAGCCTTCTTGTAATCACCATGGTCGATATACTCCTTTCCAGCCTCTTTCCACTTCTCCTCTTTGATCAGAGATTGGGTCTTTGGTCCTAAGTCGCCACGATAGAGGGCGTCCACGATTGCAGATTGGAGCTCAGCGCAGTATTCGTCAAACTTTGGGAATATTCCCTTTGCACGTGGGATGTATATATTTTTCAAATCAGCCTACAGTAAAGTCATTAATTATGTAAATATTGCATAACATATACGCTCTCTACAGTTGAGAATGACGTGCTCTTATTTACTTGAAATTCCTTTGATGGTCAAACGGATCAAAGTAACACCCAACCTATAATAAGGCTACCTTAAATAGTTTCAAAGCCTGCTCCTCCGTTAAATCTAGTTCTTTGTTCTTAACTTTATCAAAATCAACATCGGGAAGAACCTTTTCCCAATCATCCTTTGCACCAGCGCGTTCCATGTTAAAGCCAACACCTGTTTGGAATTTTTTATGATTAGTACATTTTCACCGAGGCTTCATTAGAAAAAAGTGACTGATAGGAATATGACAAAATAAACTTTTTATTTGGAAAATGTTGAGAGTATTTTTAATTTTCATCAATTTTTGATCAAATTCAAATAGACTAGTCAATAGCTCAAATCCACATAAACGTGATATCAAATTTAAATTTTTAGTGAGTGATTTGTATGTATGCAATGATGTCTAGTCTAGTAATGGATTCTTCATGCATGTTGCCTTGTAATTAACAAAACATTAGACGAAAACATAGAAAAAATGAAGAGAGTTTTTTTCCAAAAGAAATAAAATTTGATGAAAAAGTCGGTGACCTGGTATTATTTTTTTTAATAAACAATACTAATTTATCTTTCCAGTGTTTTTCAGTTTTGAAGAATCTTTATCATAATATCCCAATTTGAAAATAAATAAATGAAACACAATTATTTTATGAACATTTTAAATCATTTTAAATTCCATTTTTCCAAAAGATTCCATATCTTAAGATTCCTTCCCGATCCTTGGACGTTAGTTCGTTAAGTGCGTTCAAAACGGCGACCAAAAAATGGTTGGCGCAAATTTGTCAGACAGATGGGAAAAAAATCTTCGACATGGATTCCTTTTCTAATACAGTATATCATGTTTTCGAAAAGTTAAAAAAAAATACTGATTGTATTTGTTAAACGAAAGAATTGCATAATAATTTAACGGATATGTCTCTACGGAGAAATGAAGACCACATTGTGTTTACCCAAAAACGAAAACGAAAGGCAAGCAAACAATTATGTTCCTGACCTGCCAACCTATTGCCGTTTCTTTGGGAATCCATCTTAACTTTTTACTGAAATTCAACGTAGGCCTATATTTAATGAAAATAACGTATTGCTAATTAAATGATTTGTTATTGTCATACTAATTACTGATTATCACATAGAGAAATCAAACAGCATAATTACCGACGGTCGTAAAGCCTTTGGAGTCCTCATATGCTGTCGTCCTTAATCCTTCATTAGGTCTTATATATTCCGCGATGTCATCAATATTGTCTGCAGCATCTATATAATTCAATGTTTTTTCTGAATTATCAAACATGTTTTATGATTGAGGCATTGCGTTTTTTGCGGGCCAAATGATACTACCAAGTTTGTATTGACCATGGACATTCTACCTCGCCCGTATTAAAGGATTTAAGCCCAAGACTCAATGCATTGTTTGCTAAATCATACCATGAAGGTGTTGTTTCCAAACCTTTGCATAACCGCGCAGCGGGAATGCAAAGTTTAGGAAACAACGCCTAAGTGGAATTAAGCAGCTACAATGCATTGAGTCGTGGGCTTAAATTCTTTTCACACATTGCAATTTTTCTATAAAATCATCTAAAAGGAACGAAATCACCAAAAGAACACATTTTCAATAAAAAAAATTGCAAGGGAGGGTCAAGTTGGCAAGTCATCAAATCCAATGTGAAATTCCATTCATCACCATGACAACTATTTAACTAGTGACCTTGCATGTGTTATTGATATTTTACACACTGTTCATTATGTGAATACTCTGTTCGGATTGACTGGAATCGGACACACCTTGCCTAGCTATGTGTGAATTTTATTTCAGAAAAACAAATTGAGTCCATTTCCGTCCACTTTATGAATTTCTTCAAAGTTCTTTATGGAAAACAGGCATGCTTTGGAATTTTGTGAGCTAAATATATATAATCTGTATTTACTTAAATGTTACTCTCAACACACTTTATCGCACCTTTTTTAAACGAACGGATAATTTACTGAAAACATATTTACCAACTAGAGTGAGCAATCCAACAAAAAGAATGCAAAATAATGCACCCTTTTGCATCATGTTGCGTCAGATTTGTCCTGGTTGTTATATCCTTTCAAGTATCGCCAGTCCTTCAAACTTCCTAGAGTTATCGAATGAATCTGGAATGGTTTAAGTGCGAAGAGCGCAAGTGTTGGTTATAGCAATTAAGCATGTCGAGGTATGATTAATTAGCAAGACCATTTAAATTGAGTTGCATTGTATGCACCTACGTACTCTAAAACTACCATTAACCTACTTACACAAAAATATGATATTTTTATGGTTATCAACAATTTTTTTCATTCATGTAATATAATTATTATCAAGTGTTACATTTTAAAGGACTGGTGCTTAACATAATTAAAGATCGCCTAAACATCGTTAAAATTACCAGGGACTCAAAACACAAAAACAAGGCAATAACATGCAAAATGTCACCACCTGCTATTTGTTAAAGACACCATGTCGTCATTTGTAACAGACGCCGACCGCCGACCACCGAAAGCGAACACCAACCGCCGTCCATAAAAAAGTTATGATGGTGACATAAAAAAAAACAATAATAAATAAGACATTAACATGGAAAATGTCACCAACTGTCATTTATTACGGACGCCGAATGCCGACCTCCAAACACCAACCACCAAACACCGTCCACAAAAAAATTGGAGACCATGACAATACTGCATTATGGCACCACTTGTGGCGGTGATATAAAAACCAATTCGAATAAAGAGTTTTTGATTATATGATATTTCCCTCTCTTTAAAATCAAACATGAAACCAACCTAACAATTCCGTCTACCTTACCTAAACGATGTGCAACCGTAGCTGTCGCCAAGGTCGCTGAATATGAATAGATTTCCCTGTTACAGCCCTTAATTCGGCCTGATTCATTAGCAGTTCATCTTCACCTCTATTATTTAGATTCCTAATATATTTTCTAGCTAGGGCCTTAGTTTTTGCCAAATATTGATTGTCGTTTAAATAGCTCAAAATTCACCACCTTTTTGGAGTTTACTTCACAATGTCTTGGTGTACAAGGGGCGTACCAAAAGTAAGGTGGCCTATGCTCTAGCTTTTTTCATTTATTGTTGAAACGTGTGAACCAAAAGCCGTTTTTAGTGATCAATACCATCAGCTCGATAAATATAATATATAATATTGTGTTAGAAGGACTATCAAGGCAAATCTTACGATATTCAATTATTTTACCCGAGCTTATGGATCCAGTGGCAAATGTACTTCATTGGTTTCATTTATGTGAACCACCGGCCGAGATGGAAAATACATTATCTATTGTAAGAAAACAAAATTTCTGATATTGTGTTTCAATGGCTATCAACAGTATAATAAAAACTGGAAGTGTTTTCATTTGTCGTTTTCTTCAACATATTCAGCAAAACATGTGTATGTACAAGTCATCAGGTTAGGCCTATTGAGTCATTGTGTAAACAAAATCTATTTTTATTTGGGTGTGCTTCACAACATAGAATATTTATTGCATAGCTATTTATAAGATGTTTATTGTGAATTCATAAAAAGAGGAAATCAAAATACTATAAACATTATCCTCAAGCTAGAGAATGACATTTTTTATCCACCCTAAATTATGTGGTTTTAAACAATGTCAAGTCGGGGGCAAAGTTATTCTCAACTTTAAAATCTCACTTTAATGTTCCCACACAAATGACATACTCTATAAATGAAATGCCACATAAACTCTACACATGTCACAGCCTCTAGACATGCCACCTAACCTCACCACATGGCATACAGCTTCTATCAATGAAAAACTACCCAACCTATAGACATGCTACATAGCCTCTAAACATGCCACATATCATCTTGACATACCACATAGCTTCTTAACATACCTCATAGCCTCTAAACATGCCACACAGCCTCTATACATGCAACCTAACCTCACCACATGGCATACAGCTTCTATCAATGAAAAACTACCCAACCTATAGACATGCTACATAGCCTCTAAACATGCCACATAGCATCTTGACATACCACATAGCTTCTTAAAATACCTCATAGCCTCTAAACATGCCACACAGCCTCTAGACATGCCACCTAACCTCACCACATGGCATACAGCTTCTATCAATGAAAAACTACCCAACCTATAGACATGCTACATAGCCTCTAAACATGCCACATAGCATCTTGACATACCACATAGCTTCTTAACATACCTCATAGCCTCTAAACATGCCACACAGCATCTTGACATACCACATAGCTTCTTGACAAGCCACACAGCCACACAGGGTTAAGCAATTAGAAGAGCAATTCGGCAAGCAGTGGGATAAGAGGGACAAAGATCGCTATTTTCAAGTTCGGAAAATATATGAAGAAACGTCAAAGCACAATTCTAGAACTTACAAGGGCTACAGACACTATAGACATTGAGGCAAAAGAAAAGGCTGGTCGGGACTTCAACAAAGCAGCTGTATCGACAACGGCAGACGGAGTCGCTTTAGCAAGTTTTGGAGCTGCATTCTTATCTGCAGATGTAGGCGCCCTACCGGCTATTGCAGCAACTGCAGTGAGTATTGGGACAAATGCTGGTAAAAGTTCAGATGACGCATATGTTGAAAGCGTTACGAAAACCAAGGACCCAGGGAGTTTGAGCTAGGGTATTATATTTCCCGAGGGATAATGTAGGTTTCTTGTACCTCTTACAACATTCACCTCTATGGCATGTATGTACATGTATATGATTGCCTTTATGTAAAGGAGACAGTTATAGTACAGTCTGTTCTCCCCCCTTAACTTTTTTAATTCAGAGATAACATAGAGTTGGTATATATCATCTTAAAGGGAATTTAATTTGCTGATCACACACAAAATTTCAGAGTGATTGGTTAAAATCCAAATTTTTTTATAGTATTTTTAGTGATGTCCATATTTCACTTTTTTAATAGTCTGTATATCTCCCCCAGCAGCTCGTAGGGCCTCAATTCTACGAGGATATGATCCTGTATAAATCATCCAGAACGTTTAGTTTTAGGTGTTATCAATTATTTTGTGATTAAATATGCCCCTGCTTCAAAGGCTCCCCTGAATGTAACACATTTTATTCTGTAATGATATTGAGAAACATCGAAATCACCCGATGTTGGCATTGTCACTGCAGTATCAACTTTTCACTTTTCATTCACTATACCTGGTAATTTTACTTGTTTTGACGTCATCAAAGGTCAACTACAACCTCACGAGAAACATTGTAGCAATTTTATTTGGAGGAGTTTATGATTGATTTTTTGAGGGTGATCAGCATTTTCCATGAGCTTCAAAATGATATATGGGAAAGTATGATAAATTTAAAGATAAAAAAGTTAAGGGGGGAGAACAGACTTATTTGACACCCTGTATATTATATGAACTTGAGCAGGCCCGTCAGGGGGTAGGTTTAATGGGTGCGACTGCGACCCCTTCTCCCACCTCCCAGAAAAATTTTGAAAAAAACGGAGTTTTCCTTAACCATGAACTAACTCGAAATGTTATCATAAGAAAGAAATATACAAGTTCCGTAGATTATTTGTTGTTGGAGTTGCCTAATGCTGTAACAATTGTAGTTGTATTTTTGGAATTGAATGAAATGTAAAAAAGGTATGTGAATAAATGATGAATTAGTGTAGCTAAATCATAAATCAACCCGTCCAATTGTCTGTACAAATTTATGTTAATAATTTTTTGCAGGTCCCTCGTATGTAAATGAACAGTGTAAAGTCTATGGTTTTGTACTTCACAATCTGATAGTCAGTTAAAGTATAAATTGAAACGTTTAAAGGTAGAATCGGAGACACAGAGAAACATCTCAGTTATTCTTGTAATACTACACTCGAGGAAGTGTAAGTTGTCACTCAATATTTTTTGTGACTGAAATTCCCTTCGAAATTTCCATGCCAATCATAATTTTCTGATTTTGAGAGAATATGTTTTGAGAAACAATAAAAGGTCAATGGGGCAAATTAGAAGGTGTTGATTTTGAACTGTGAAGTTCTGATATGACTTCAAAATCACCAAAAAGTCGAATGACATTCTGCATTTCCTCCAACTTTATATACGAGTAGATGTAATAAAATATTATTGTTGCCTTTAGGGTAAATCCCCAAATACTTGTATTTTGTGTTTGTGTAATTTTTCAGTTATTACAAACTGTGAGCAATCATCTTGCTTGTTGAAGCAAGTCACATTGAGGTCACATCACCCGTATTGAATTTAAGAGCTAGTAATTTGTTCATCGACACCCTCTAATTTTGGAATAATTTTCTCATTTATCATGTCACGAAGTGTCCAACGAATATAAGTGGGCATCATCGAAAACCAAGACAATCATTTTATTGTCTGGGCATACTTTCATGACGTATGTCAATAAGCTAACATTTAACTAGTAAAGTCTTAGAACTTGAGGATAATTGATAGATCATGAACTTATATATACCAAAGATCTCAATGATTGGAATATGATTTATCATTTTGACCAGCCTTCACTTTTGAAACACCTAACGTATTTATTAAAGTTATCCAGAAATGACTTAAATAATGGCAACAAAGACACCTCACATAAACTTGCATTTAAAACTGTATCCCTGTTGGACAGAAAATGGGACTTCTATAAACATACACACTTGATCTAGAGAATAATAATAGCTAATAATACCAAATACTAAACAAAAAATTAATTTTGACCAAATTTTATTTGGATGAGAATTGCTAATTGCTAATTGAATATATCAACGTATGCAGAAGTATCACTCACCAATCTCACGTAATAAACTTACTCAATCAATCCAGGATTCATATATTAGTGCTCAACGCACTAACAATATTGGCAACCCAGCGTAGTTTTACATTTAGAGTCGATTTTCGCAACCAATCACACCAAGCCTTTCTGTATCACGTTTTCATCTGCGGAATATGTCATATTCACCTGCGGTATATGGCATATTCCGCAAGTGAGTATGACATACTCTGCAGGTGAGTATCGAGTATTCACTGAAATCAATGTATTGCATATTCACTGCGGAAAATCGCATACTCACCTGCGGAATATGCCATATACCGCAGGTGAGTATGGCATATTCACCCGTATCACAAATACCACGCAACCATGAATGTATGCCATATTCCGCGTAACAATGTTATTAAAAGTGTCAATTTGATCCGAACAATGTTTTCTTCACGTAGCTGCGCAATTTTCTATTCAGTGCGTTGTACCCGTCCGTAAGAAACCAACATTTCCCAACACTTATATCTTTTACTTTCTCTGCCACAGAAAATGTTGAGCCAAACAGCTTAATGTGGCCATGTTTTGCGTCCTTCCCTTTTTTGAATTGTCCTTGATTAACGACGTCGCCTGAAATAGAATTAAACTTTTAGACAAGAAAAACATAATATTATAGATCCATATGCATTGTAGTGGGTAAATAGATAATTGCCAATGTCCGAGTGGATCGTGGATTTGTTTGAGCGATAAATGAACTAATCAACGCAGCATGAAAGTGATTCAAAGAAAATGCATTTTTATTTTAATTCTCATAGAAACGAATGTTAAAGTTATGTTTAAAACATGTTTAATTAGGAAATCAATATTGGTTAACTTTGAAAGTTTAAAGACTGAGATAATAAATTATAATAATAATTAGTACACTCCCCTCCATAAGTTTGGCAACCTTATTTCCCCCATTGAACTACGTGTTAACGCCTCTTTACGTTTGAATTTTTATTTACTTAACCTGCAATGAAATAACTTATAACATTGATGGAAACGTAACTGGACTTTATTTCAAATACCTCCAAATTTTCTAAATTTTTTCCTCAATTACAATAGGTCGAAAATTGATTCCCATGTAATCCAATGGGAAATGGAGGGTTCGGGGCAAATCAGAAATCATGATATCTTTTCAGTAAGATTCAGCAAAAAATTTTACATAGATAATTGAATTGTCTAACTTTTTTGTACATTAAGTGTTTAGTTTATTTGATGAGTACTAAAGTTACAGCGCTTCAAAGTCATTTTTGAAAATAATTTTTCGCCTCCTGTGTTTCAATGGGAGAGGTTTTTTGAAAAACAATTTTGACTTTAAAGCCCTATTAGGCAGGTTCCAATTACAGAATATCTTAAGGGAAAGGGTTTTTGAGGCATTTTTTAGAAAAAGCAACAGACCTATTTCTTCTGGATCAGTTTTTCATGCTGATAAAGATATTAAAAGATGACAGCTCAACGGGGTGGTCACGACACTGAATTTTAGCGTTTTTACCCCCCTAGGAAAATATTCTAGGGGGTACTATGAAACTAGTTCATAACTCAAAGGATATATAAACTATTGTTCTGAGTTCTACAGCATACATTGTTAGTACAGAGATGAATACTACCCTAAAGTTATAGGTTGATATCTTTGTTGGTTTCGGAAAAATACAATTAATTAGAAAAGAATATGCAATTTTTGTCATTTTTTTCTTGCTTATTTTATATTTGTAGCTTCAAGCAAAATATGATAACTTTAACAGCTCAAAGTAGTATTCTAACAACATTCCCAAGCTATGTGTGATATTGTAATACATCTATTATAGTGATGAAGTAGTATTTTGTAATTTTAATATGACTTTATAGTGCCCTACCCCTGGTAAATAGAAGAAAGTTGGTGTGGTTTTCTTCTGGTTTTATAACATTTTATTGTCTTCTTAGTTGAAGATACAATCAATTCTGTCAGTTAACCATGAGAAGCTTTACAATGGTTAACTATTCCCATGAATAGAGGGTTGGGACCTCAAAAATACTGTTAAGTGGCATCCTTGGGCAACCCTCTTCAGAGCATTTTCCTTATACTCCGATAAAATCTGCAGGGGATACTATAAGAAACCTATATATCTAAGATACTAATGAAGATACTGAATTCAAATTTTCAGGATTTGGTCCTGGTATGATAGGTAATCTGTATGACAAAAATGACAAAAAGAAAAAACTCTGTTGCCATAGTAACAAGAATACGACACTATTTGTTTCCTAAGAAATGTGTTTTAAGAGGTTTTGTCATTCTCTTCATATTTTTAATTCTAAATATGTCTACAATGTGGGTTGATTAAAATTATGGTAAAGTAATCTTTTCTATTGTTCTATTGTTCTCTAAAACAGAAATTGCTAGGGCGTCACATAGATCATAGAAAAAATCCTGAGATGATCGCTCTATTTGTCGGGAAATTAAAATGGAAACTGAAAAATGAGTTTCTTCCTACTGAATAGCAATTTGGTAGACCATGGCTGACACGCACAAGAGAAAATGTCTATCAGTTCTATGTCATTTTGTTGTTATTTTTATTTATTTATCGTGCTCTGGGACTTATAACACCTAATGCCGAATCTTTTCCATCTGCAAAGGAAGGCAAGATTTTAATAATGAACATTCATATATCTCAACAAATATGGCCTAAGATTTGGACAATGATGATGAAACTCTGAGGGAAAATTAGACGAAACATTAATGAGTGGTCCAAAAATAACACTTACATGTTTTGAAAAAGTTATGCTCTCGGGTGAATCAGTGCTCATTTAAGGATAGTCTGAATCAGGTGAATTTTTTAACCTAATTGTACCCCTCCCCAAAACCCCCAAATTTTGACAATTGTCGAAAAGTGGCAAACAACAATTAAACAAACATCATTAAAGTTCAATATGGCTATTTTGCTTCTATGTCATAAAGATGTGGTACGATCTCAGGGTCAATCAATAATTTTCACAAGTGACACTCTATCTTATGAAGAAAATATTATCGTATTTGAAGACATGTCAAAAATTTGGTGGAAATAATTTTGTCACTCCTGATTTGACCTGGAAAGGTTCAGGTAAGTAATCACAAACAATTTCAGACAGTTATATCTTTGATTATGACTATTTTCTGACCATGAAGACAGGTATACAGGGATAATAAAGTCAATCGGACTCAGAGATATTTCACTAGCCATCAACCCATCAATATATTTTTTCAAAGTTGTTGACCTCATTTTCACCAAAAATGCCATCATTTTAACAATGTTAACAATTCGATGTCTTTAAAGTCCCTGGAGCAATCCACTTTTCCTCTTAGGAAATAGAACATGTCTCAAAGCATATTCTCATTATGCATTCAACAATATAATTAAAGGTTGCATCTTTGGTGAAAATTAGGTCAACATTTTTAGTAAAAAGTATGTTGATTGGGCCATTCCCTTTAATATCACTTAGGTCTGATTTCAAATATTTACTTTTCTTGAAGATAATGAATAGATCTAAAAGATATACCCATGTTCATGGTCAGAAAATATTCATAATTCAAGTTAGAATTGTCTGAAGTTGTTTGCGATAACCTACATGCTCCTTTATAACATTATTATGTAAATACAGTAGAACCTGTGTAAGTGGAACACTCTCCATTCTACCACAAAGCGTTCCACTTAGAAGGTGTTCCACTTATGGAGGTTTTGGGTTCGCAGGGAACATACAAGTTCAAATATAGGATTTATATGTATCATTGGAAATATGATTCTCCCTTCATTACAGGGCAGGTATATACCATTAATAATCCATTTATTTTACTCAAAAAGGTATCTGACATTCTTAATCCTCCTCATTCTGCCAAAAATGTTTTCTGACATTCTTAATCCTCCTAATTGTGCCAGTCTCAGGTACAAAGATTAGGCAATTAAGTTTTAAAGACTTGTTCCTACTGCTAATAATTCAATTTTCTTTTAAATGACATTTTTAATCTTACTTATTAAGTTAACAAACAGCAAGGGATATTAATTAGTGGTAGCATCACGTGTCCAGTTCTACAGGAAGTTAATCCAATTTTCTGAATGATAATCTTATGAAATCCTAATTTGCTGATTATCAAATTAATTATTGGTTGCATCACATGTTGACCTCTACAGGAGGTTAATCCATTAAAATCCATTAAAGTCCTAATTTGCCAATTATCACAGTATTACCTGTTTTCATACCCAGATATCATTGAAGGAGATTAATTCTGTTTACATATATCAATATTGAAATAAATGGAAATTGACTGTTCCACTTAGCAGGTTAATTTTTCAATATGGGGTGTTCACTGTTCAAGTTTGGAGGTGTTCCACTTACAGAGGTTCAATTAACATTAAGTCAATGGGTTTTTAAAACGGGACTTTGAAAAGGCGTTCCACTTGGGAGGTGTTCCACTTACAGAGGTGTTCCACTTAGCAGGTTCTACTGTACATTACTTGTGCATGATGACCACCATAGTCCAGTTGCTCAAATGAGATCAATTGGTGATTATAATGTTTAGACTTTATGTCAATGTCAAGACTGTATGCCAACCTCTCTAGTATGTGATTACACTAGATTTCATTATGATACATGTACTAAATTGAAAACTTACATATAAAATATCTCAAGTCCTATATTCTAGTAATAAATGAATTAGAATGTCACCTAACATTTGATGATGGTATGAATTTATTGATTTGGTGTCTATCAATACATGTTTCTAACTTAATGCTGCAAAATGATAAAATTCACCATATCCACTTTCTTCAATTTTCCAGGGGTAGGGCACTATAAAGTCATATTAAAATTACAAAATAGTACTTCATAACTAAAATAGATGTATTACAATACCACACATAGCTTGGAAATGTTTTTAGAATACTACTATGAGCTGTTAAAGCTGTTATATTGTGCTTGAAGCTACAAATATAAAATTGGCAAGACAAAAATTGCGTATCTTTTTCCTGTTTTTTGTATTTGTCTGAGACCAATAAGGGTATCAACCTATAACTTTAGGATAGTATTCATATTTGTACTAGCAATGTATGGTGTACAACTCAGAACAATAGTTTATATATCCTTTGAGTTATGAACTAGTTTCATAGTACCCCCTAGAATATTTTCCTAGGGGGGTAAAAATGCCAAAATTTAGTGTCGTGACCACCCCGTTGAGCTGTCATCTTTTAATATCTTTATCAGCATGAAAAACTGATCTAGTAAAAATAGGTCTGTTGCTTTTTCTAAAAAATGCCTCAAAAACTTGAATTATTTGAATTGGAACCTGTCTATATAACTTTGTTGAACGTGAAGAAACATATAAATTTTTTGTTAAATAAATTTAGGACATGAATGGATGGATATTCTGTCATATGACTTGCGGCAAACCTTCCATTTCCCATTGGTTAACATGGGAATGTCGATTTTCAAAAATTCATCAAATTTATCATCAATTTTCGACTTATCGCAATTGAGGAAAAAATTGAGAAAATTTTGGGGTATTGGAAATAAAGTCAAATTACGTTTCCATCAATACTATAAGCATTTTCATCGCAGGTTAAGTGAATAAAAATTCCAAGGTAAAGAGGCTTTAACACGTAGTTCAATGGGGGAGCTAAGGTTGCCAAACTTATGGAGGGGAGTGTATATTAAAAAATAACACTATAAGTGACACCATCGTTAAAAAAATTCAAAAAGCAATACTGCATTCTATTAAATATTTGAATAGCACCCCGGGAGTAGCACATTAAGCTAGCCGTACACCAATGGGACATGATGGGACATCAAGGAATTCGAAGTTATTGAGTAAAGTATTTTCATGGGACATGAGTGGACAAGTTGGGACATTCCCTTCGGACATGCTTGGGACATTGTCCCACATTGTCCCTTTTTGTCCCAAGTCGTCCCCAAGACATTGTCCGACGTTGTCCGATTTTGTTTTAAGTTGTCCCTTTATGTCCCAAGAAAAGAATGAACATATTGATTCTTTTCTGGGGACATTACCGGACAAATGAGGGGCATTTCATCATGTGATGGCGCTATATTCCAGACATCATCGGACAAAACGGGACAACGTGGGACATTGTCCCATGATGTCCGGGGGACAAAGTCGGACAAGTTGGGACAAAACCGGACAAATGAGGGGCATTTCATCACGTGATGATCATATGACCATTTTCTAACAAAATGGCGGACAAAATTAAAAGTCGGACAGTGTCCCATTACTCCAGTAAAAACATGAAAAATAAATGAAAAAATTGCAACACTTATTAAACCTAGTGCAACAAATGCATATTGATGAGTTTAAAGACATATCAAAAATCTAGAAAAATCTAAGTAGTGGAAGACATGTAAAAATCACTATTTGTACCCCCTGGTCTTATTTTATGAGGGGGTACTGTGTTAAGCATTTATATCTTCTGTTGGGTGCCTCCAATCACATTCAAATTTTCAGGGATTATGCATCCATATATAGTTAGTTGTCATGAAAAGACTGATCTTGATTGGTCAATTGGTTACCATGGCAACATAACTTAATTGCAAAATATTGTAAATATTAAGGATAAATCTACCGTTTCCCTACAAACAGATCGTAGTTTGTCATTTTTAATTTTTCAAAAGGAACACAAACTTGAGCGTTATACATATTGAAGGAGTTTACAACAAGATAACATGATAAATAGGTTAATAGGATGACATATTTGGCTCATGTTTGATAACTACTGCTCAATTTACCACAAAGTGGGCGTGGCACTTTTTGTTATTACAATTCCAAATAATTTCATGTTGACGGAATCATATTTACAAGGGTCATTAATTCATATGTAATTATCTGGAATGATGAGTCCAAATATCTTTTGTCAATTGGTTGCCATAGTAACACAACATATATTGTATGTGAATCGTGGGTAGAGGTGATTTCAGGCAATCCTTGTTAATCTTAATTGTTTATTACATTCATCCTTAAGAACTGTTTTAGTGTATGATCTTTTTTAACAAATACAGGTTTGGATAATTTTGATATGCGTTTGCTATGGTAACACAACTAATAATGCTGTTTCTTGATATACTACTCTGTTTGTTCGTCTGCCCGCCCATCTGTCTAAGCATTTCCTGACCTATTAATTAATCACAGATTGGTGTTATATGTGACAAAATGGTGATTCTTGACATCTTAGACTCAAGAAGATGTACCAACTTAGACCCTGTACGCTGTATCAATCTTAGATTATGGATATTCTACCCATTGTAGACTTTGGAGGATGTACCCATTAAACACTAGAGTCTACAACCTCTAAGACTCTAGAGGCTGTACCATCTTATATCTATTTATTAATCACATATTGATGTTATATGTGGCAAAATTGTGATTCTTGACATCTTAGACTCTAGAAGATTTATCAACTTAGGCTATATAGGCTGTATCAATCCTAGATTATGGATGCTGTACCCATTAAACACTAGAAGCTCTGGAGGCTATACCCATTGTAGACTCTTGGAGGCTGTACCCATTGTTAACTCTGCATCTGGAAGGTGTACCATCTTCTTTCGAAGGCTGTTCCAAGAACTCATCAAAGGTTCTGGAGGCTATACCATTTTTGACTCTGGAGACTATACCCATTGAAGACTCTGGAGGCGATATCATCCTAGTCTCTAGGAGGCTGTACCCATTGTATACTATGGAGGCTATACCATATTAGGCTCTTGGAGGCTATACCATCTCAGACTCTTGTAGGTTGTACTATCTTAGACTCTTGGAGGCTGTACCTATCTTTGACTCTTGACTCATAGAAATCATAGACTATTGTGGCTATACTATCTTTTGCCCTAGAGGCTGAATCCAAATTAAACTCTGAAGCTATGCCATATTGGTCTCTGGAGGTTGAATTCATATTATACTCTGGATGTTGCACCATATTAGACTCTGTAGGCTGTATCAATTTTAAATTATAGATGCTGGGTCATCTTAGACTCTTGGAATTGAAGGTTGTAGCCATTATAGAAGTAGATGTACCCATTAAACTCCTGAGGCCATATTAGACTCTAATTGTTAATATTAGTAGTAGGCTATACCATTTTCAACTTTGGAGGCTGAACCATTTTAGGCTCTGAAGGCTGTACCATCTTAGATTCTGGAAACTGGTCCTATGTTATATCAAGAGGCTGTACCATCTAAGGGTTGGAGGCTGTACATGTTAGACTTTTGGAGGCTGTACTTATCATAGGCTCTGAATGCTATAGCAATCAAATGATCTGAAGGATCTACCATCTTGGACTCTGGAGACTGAACCCATGTTATATCTGGAAGCTGTACCATCTTAGACTCGTGGAAACTGTGCCTATCTTAGCCTCTGGATGCTATAGCAATCATAGCCTCTGAAGCTGTATCATCTTAGACTCTGGATACTGATTCCATGTTATATCTGGGGGCTGTACCATCTTAGACTCATGGAGGCTGTACCATCTTAGACTCCTGGAGGCTGTACCCATCCTAGGCTCTGAATACTATAACAATCATAGCCTCTGAAAGCTGTACCATCTTATACTCTGGAGACTGATCCCATGTTATATCTGGAGGCTGTACCATCTAAGGGTCTGGAGGCTATACCATCTTAGACTTATGGAGGCTGTACTGATTCTAGGCTCTGACTACTATAGCAATCTTAGATTCTGAATGTTATATCATCTTGGACTCTGGATGCTGAATACATATACTACTTGAACTGTATCATATAAGATTCTTGAGACTGCACTAATTTTATACTCTTGAGGCTGTATCATCTATATACTCTGGAGGCTGAACCAACTAAGGCTCTTCTGAACTATTCTATAGTCTCAGGTTCTACCATATTAGACTATTGGATGACATGTTCTTGGTATTGAAGGACACCATATACGCTGGGGGTTGAATCATATTCTATGTTATAAGTTTTTTCAGAACATATGCACCACACTATTTGCATTTATTATGCTCTGTGTTACTATGGCAACCCCTTGACCAATCATGTACAGACTCACCATATTAAAGAATAACATCCGTATCCATGAGCCCTATACATATAACTGTGACTGATTTTGTAAAAATAACTGTTTTAGGACATTATCACTGAAAAGTGCCACGCCAACTTTTGAGTAGATAGAGAGGTAGTCACCTAATAGAATAGAGTTCAGGGTCAAAGATATCATATAATTTATCACATTTATCATGTTATCTTATTAAACAGTCCTCAAATATGTTTTTAGGGTAGTTTAATGTTCATTTTCAAATGATTTGAAGAGAAATGGCAACATCTGTTATTAAAAGAAGCTTCAGATTTACCTGAAATATTTAAGATTTTGAGCAATTAAATTGCTATGGTAACCAATTGACCAATTAATTTCAAAATTGTCGTGACAACTCACTATATATAGGCGCCTGATCCCTGAAAATTTTATAGTGATTAGAGTTATGTAACAGAAATTATTAATGATTATCATATTACCCCCTCATAAAATTATCCCAAGGGGTATAAATGGTGATTTTAAGGTTTTCCACCACTTAGATTTTTCTAGATTTTTGATATGTTGTTTTACTTACCAATGGCTATTGATTATACTAGGTTTACTCTGTGTTGCAATTTTTTCATTTATTTGTGAAAATTTACAACGATTTTACTGGAGTACATTGGTGTACGGCTAGCTTTAGACATCCAGTGTATTATTGAAATATCATTGATATCAACGCATTTTTAATTAATTTTGATATGGAATATCCATAATGACCTTCTCAAATAGGTCGTCTAATCCTTTGTAGCCTAATAAAAACTGAAAAACAAGGGACTGACATTAAAAAATCAGTGGCTTTCATAAAGATTTACTCTTTCGCGTTGTCATGTAATTTGCAGTACTAGAATAATCATAACTTTCTGGCAACAAATGAGGAAAAAGAACATGTGCGAATGATTTTAAAATACATATATATCGATTGTTCTGTTGTAATGAGAAATGGGAAATGGAACTCCAGTCTCAACTAAATTAAAAAGCAACAGTAATTCTTAGAATTGGCTCTATTTAATATTATTCATGTGCCGCCAACACCTTCAGCTCACTAATGAGTTATGCCAAAATTAGCTTCACCTGAGACTTACCTAAGATGCCATGGACATTGGGTCCGAAACCACCATGCTGGTGAACACTGAATTTCAGATGATCACCTTGGTGTTTGATTTCAGTGACGGTTTTGTCAACAAATATCTCGGCATAGTTTCTTCGAATCATCACATTGGCGTCCCCGAATTCACCAACACTCTCTGATCCCCACTTATATTTGGTTTTACCATCAGTGATTCCTTTACTATCCACGGTAACTTGAGCCTCATTGGTCCGAATAGCGATCAGATCAACCAATTTCGCTGCTTGTTTGCCACCATGACCGACGATTCTAATTCTGATTTCTGTTAAAGAAAATTAATGTCAATGCAAACCAGTAAAAATGAAGAAATGTAGATCTAATTGCTCACGCTCACCATTAATTATTTCTCGAGAGGGCTTTCTATGATATTCCACCTTTATGCAAAACTAGCCGAACCTCATCGCCGCACTTTAGAAACAGAATAATTATACATAAAACACATTCCCTTGTTGGCTGGTAAAGAGATTCTCTATTACTTTAATTTTCACTCACCAATATTCCTTTCCCGGACTAACTGAAATATTTCGCCTGATTTGCCAATGACGTTAAAACAAAAATGGGTCTTTAATCCATCATTTAACTGTACAGACACATGTGGGTCACCTGGTAGAATACATAGAAATATATAAACATAGCAACTATTTCCTCTACTACGGCAACTGAAGCTGACATTTCATTTCATGTTACATGTTATTCAAACTCTGTCATCTTGACTTGTGTTTGAACAGTGTTACAGTATTATATTCTATTATATTCACATTAAGTTTAGTTTATCAATATGCATATACTGTAACTGATCTTCATTAGAGATCTTAGGTCAAATCAAGGTCACAATGACATTATATCTTGTAAACATAACTGAACTGAATGACTCATTAACTCTTGGCCTTCTAGAAAGTACTGGAACTTTAATCATTTAAACAAGATTGAATCATGTGACTTAAGATGTCCAATCAGTATTATTTTCTAGAAATCGTAACTTCTTGAATCATCTGGACTTTGCCTTTGAACTATATAATGAGAGAGCTGATTTGGGCTGTTAGCAGAATTTCAAAGTTGATCAAAGGACATCTTCTTATATTAGCAGAATTTCAAAGTTGATCAAAGGACATCTTCTTATATTAGCGGAATATTACAGACACCTACTGTGGGAACATTTATAACACTACAAACACACAACCTGAGGACTTTATATGGACATATATTACAACACACACAATATACGGATTATCATATACATTCGTGGATTATCATAAACATTTGTGGATTATCATCAAACATTATTGGATACGAACATTATAGGATTACAACAAACATTATTGGATTATTACGAACATTGGAGAACTATCAACGATTATTGAAACATTTCGTGATCTGGAACATTCTCTAGGATCGTCAACGACATTTATCGACAACAAGAATAAGCCGTATCATTGATTGGACATCACTTAAGTATTACACCTCCTTTATATTATTGTTATATTATTTAGTTTTTCAAAGTATAAATATATTGTTATCATATTTTAATTGCTGTTTTTACTTTCTGTTATTTTCGTACGTAACAGAAATTGGGGGCTCGTCCGGGATACAACTATAACAAGCTAAAATTCATAAATCTTAAAATTCAAAATTCCAAAATTGTAAATCTAAATTGTGAAGACAGCAATAAATCAAAAATGAGTTTTGAGGTTGAGACATTCTTAGAAGCACCCTCTTTGGAGGAATTTGATGATTTAAAGAAAACTGAACTTCTGGCAATTGCAAAACATGTTGGCCTGTCAGTCAAAAGCTCATACAATAAAGGTACAATCAAAAACTTTGTACTTCAATATTTGATCGCAGAATCACTTCTGCCTGAGGAGCCAGCCCAGCATGTCGAGCATACTGATCCCATTAGGCTTAAAGAGCTTGAAATAAGAGAGAAAGAATTGCAAAATGAAAGAGAAATGAGAGAAAAAGAATTAGAAATTCAAAAAGAAAGAGAAATTAGAGAATTGAGAGAAAAAGAGTTAGAAATGCAAAATGAAAGAGAAAAAAGAGAAAATGAAAGACAAATGAGAGAACAAGAAATTCAAAGAGAAATTGAATTAAAACGTTTGGAGATAGAAGCTCAATCCAAAACTGATGAACATGCTACTATGCATCAACATTTTGAAAATAGGTTTGACGCTTCAAAATTTCTCAAATTTGTACCTAAATTTCAGGAGAAAAATGTTGATAAATACTTTACACATTTTGAAAAAGTCGCTCAGAGCCTAGACTGGCCTAAATCTGCATGGCCAGTTATGCTCCAGAGTGTATTTATTGGAAAAGCAAGTGAAATATTTGCCTCTCTCTCTGGAGAAGTATGCTCTGATTATGACCTAGTTAAAAATGCAATTCTTAAAGCTTATGAACTAGTGCCAGAAGCTTACAGACAAAAATTTAGAAATGCCCACAAACAGAGTGACCAAACCCATGTTGAGTTTGCTCGAGAGCAAGAGCAGCTTTTTGACAGGTGGCTTGTCTCTAAAGATGTATCTGAAGAGTTTAAAAAGCTCAGAGAGCTTATGCTAATAGAACAATTTAAAAACTGTGTTCAGTATCACATTAGAACTTACTTAGATGAACACAAGGTAGAAACTTTAAGTCAAGCTGCCACCCTGTCTGATGATTATGCTCTTACTCATAAGGGTAGTTTTATCAAGGGCAATCCTAACTTTAGAGGTTATCAAGGTAACAAACCTTCATATGATACAAAATCAAATCAGTCCTCATCATCAAATACATCAAACAAAGCAAAAGACCAGTCTAATTCATCACAGAGCTCAAGCTCAAAATCAGATCAATCAAATTCTTCAGGTCCAAAATCAAATGTCACCTGTAATTATTGTAAAAAGCCTGGTCATCTTATTTCTGAATGCTATAGGATTAAGAATAGAAGAGAGATGTCTGGTTCTGCTCATTCAAATGGTTGTGCTACAGTTCCCATTTCAAGAAAGCCCATTGTTTGGGATTCATATACTCATACTGAGAAATCTACTCATAGTGATATTATGGAGGATTATAAGCCTTTCATGTCGGAAGGATCTGTGTCACTGTCAAGTGATGGTACCAATTCAAAGCCAATTAAGATTCTTAGAGATACGGGTGCATCTCAGACTTTGTTGTTAGAAGGTGTCCTTCCTTTATCTGAGGAGTCATTCACGGGTACCCATATTTTGATGCAAGGCATTGAATTAGGTTTTACTAAAGTCCCCCTCCATCGTATTCATATCACATCAGAGTTAGTCAAAGGGCCAGTTATTGTTGGTGTTAGGCCACAACTTCCTGTTGAAGGAGTCGCATTGCTTTTAGGCAATGATTTAGCTGGGGGTAAGGTATCATTAGACCCCATTGTTTCAGATCAGCCTTGTTCTATTGAGGATTCTGTCCAAGAGGACTCTGATATATATCCTGCTTGTGCTGTTACTAGGGCTATGGCTAAAAGGTTAGCTGATAGCGGGGATTCGTCTGTGGGAGATGACTTTGATAGTGGGTTTTTAAGCTCCTTGTTTGATGATGAATGTCACTCACCACTTGTTAAAGATGGTCCTTATCCTATTTTAAAGGCAAATTCTTCATTGAAACAGCCTTCTGTTCGAGCCAAGCAGTCATCTATTGAGGCAAATTCTTCATTGAAAAAGCCTATTGCCAGAGGTGATTCACCTTCTGAGCAGGATCACTACTTTAATGCGGTTTCGACCGCTCTTGCTAGTCCCGATGAAGTTTCATCTTCTTCTGCTAGTGTTCATGAGGTTTCATCTCCTCCTTGTTCTGAGGTTTCATCCTCTATTTCTGATAGTGATTCTTTGAAAAATGATCCTCATTCTAAACACATGTTAATTTATGAACAAGAGCATGATCTATCACTCATTGATCTTCATAAAAGATGTCTTACTATTGATGAAGCTGACAAGGTCCCTGTTTGTTTCTACAAAAAGGATGGCATATTAATGCGAAAGTGGAGACCTCCTGAAGCTTCCCCTGAAGACGATTGGGCAATTGTGCATCAAATTATTGTCCCAAAATCATATCATAAGGAAATCTTGAGTCTAGCTCATGATTCTTCCATGGCAGGTCATTTAGGAGTAACTAAAACATACCATAAAATACTCAACCATTTCTATTGGCCCAAATTAAAACAAGATGTCCAAGAGTATTGTAGGTCTTGTCATACATGTCAAATGGTAGGGAAACCAAACCAGAAAATTCCAACTGCTCCTTTACACCCTATACCTGCATTTGATGAACCATTCAGTAAGGTTCTTATTGACTGTGTTGGTCCATTACCAAAAACAAAATCTGGTAATCAATATTTACTCACTATTCTTTGTATGGCCACACGGTTTCCAGAAGCGATTCCACTCAGAAATATCAAAGCCAAAAATATAGTGAAATCACTCATCAAATTTTTCACCTTAGTTGGACTGCCAAAAGATCTCCAGTCTGATCAGGGCTCAAATTTTATGTCAGGCTTATTCCAACAAGTCATGGATACCTTGGGTATCAAACAGTGTAAGTCAAGTGCCTATCACCCAGAGTCTCAAGGAGCTCTTGAGCGTTACCATCAGACGCTTAAGACCATGATTAGAGCTTTCTGTTTTGAATATGAGAAAGACTGGGATGAGGGCATACCCTTGCTTCTGTTTGCTACCAGGGAGGCTAAGCAAGAATCATTAGGGTTCAGTCCATTTGAGCTAGTATTTGGTCATTCTGTGCGTGGTCCACTTAAATTGCTAAAAGAAAAGTGGCTGACAGAAACTGAAAAGTTTAATTTATTGAACTATGTCACTGGGTTTAAAGAGCGCCTATCAAAGGCTTGTGAAATAGCCAAAGAAAATTTGCTCAAAAGCCAAGATAAAATGAAAACCTGGTACGATAGAAAAGTCAAAGAAAGATCATTCCAGCCTGGTGACAAAGTTCTTATATTACTGCCACTTCAGACAAATCCGCTACAAGCAAAATTCTATGGTCCTTATGTAGTGGATTCCAAGGTCAATGACCTCAATTATATTGTCAAAACTCCAGATAGGCGCAAAGAAACACAATTGTGTCACATCAATATGATGAAAAGGTACTTTGAGCCAGACAAAGAGCATGGCTCAATTAAACCTGTAGTCACTTTGGCACCTGCCCTTGTAAAAGAAACTGATCTACAAGATTCAGATGATATCACTTATACTGATTTAGACTATGAAGATATCAAAGGTTTGTCTAGGTTAAAGAACTCTGAAGTATTATCAAATCTAGATCATAAATTGCACCATGTGACAAATGATCAAAAACAGCAAGTCACAGAATTAATTCATGAGTTCACTGATATCTTCTCTGATGTACCGACTAAGACATCTATAGCTTATCATGATGTTGAAGTCCAAGATGTAACCCCTATTAAGCAACATGCTTATAGAGTTAATCCATCAAAATCTGAAGATTTGAGAGCTGAGGTCAATTATATGTTAGAAAATGACATAATTGAAAAGAGCAATAGCCCATTGAGTTCACCTGCTTTCATTGTTCCAAAATCAAATGGTGGACGTAGGCTAGTAGTTAATTATATCAAGGTGAATCGAGTAACAAAGACCGATTCTTATCCCATACCACGAATTGACGACTGCATTGACAAAATTGGAAATGCTAAATATGTCAGTAAATTTGATCTCCTCAAAGGATTCCTAGGGGTTCCATTAACTGAAAGAGCAAAACAGGTATCTGCCTTTGTTACTCCTGATGGTTTGTACCAATTCAAAGTTATGCCATTTGGTATGAAAAATGCACCTGCCACATTTCAAAGAATGATGAACAGCTTATTAGCAGATCTCAAAAACACTGGTGTATACATCGATGATGTAATCGTCTATTCTGACACTTTTGATGAACACATGTGTTTGCTGCGTAAGTTGTTTGAAAGAATCTCTCTGGCCAATTTAACCATCAATTTGGCCAAGAGTGAGTTTTGTAAAGCAACAGTTGAATATCTGGGCCATGTGGTAGGTCAAGGACAGGTCAAACCAGTGAGTGCCAAAGTGGAATCAATTACACAACTCCCAGCTCCTACTAACAAGAAAGAATTAATGAGAAGTCTTGGAATGGCTGGCTTTTATAGGAAGTTTTGTCCAAATTTCTCTTCAATTGCTCTTCCATTGACCAATTTACTTGGGAAAAACATCAAATATGTGTGGTCTGAGCAATGTCATACAGCCTTTGATAAAATCAAGGCCATACTAAGTGAAGAACCAGTGCTTGTTGCACCTGATTTTAGCAAGCCATTCAAAATTCAAGTAGATGCTTCTGATGTAGGAATGGGGGCTGTCCTATTACAAGAAAATGATGGTATTGATCATCCAGTGTGTTATTATTCAAAGAAATTTGATAAGCATCAGAAAAACTACTCCACCATAGAAAAGGAATGTCTAGCATTACTTCTGTCATTACAACATTTTGAAGTATATGTTAGTGCACCAGTTCATGCAGTTACTGTATTTACTGATCACAATCCGCTGACATTCCTTCATAGAATGAAGAACAAAAATCGTAGATTGTTGAGGTGGAGTCTGTTATTGTCAGAGTACAATCTCGACATAAGACACATCAAAGGCAAGGATAATTTAATTGCTGATACTCTTTCAAGAGTGTAATACCTCTATTTTAAGAGGCTATTTGGCTTATACTGCATATGCTTGAGGCTTTATGTTGATATGATAAAAGAGATTGTACTTCGAATGTGATTTGATAATATTATTGTAATATGTTTTTGGGTTTTACTCAGTCTGAAACTGTATAAATATTATTGTATTTGACTATTGTAAACAAAAGTTATGTAAGTCTCAACCTCATCTTTAAAAAATTGTAACCCTCGCTACACCAGATATTAATCTAAAAGTTTTTCATTGTATTCAAAACTTTTCTTTTAAGGAGGGAGGTGTTACAGTATTATATTCTATTATATTCACATTAAGTTTAGTTTATCAATATGCATATACTGTAACTGATCTTCATTAGAGATCTTAGGTCAAATCAAGGTCACAATGACATTATATCTTGTAAACATAACTGAACTGAATGACTCATTAACTCTTGGCCTTCTAGAAAGTACTGGAACTTTAATCATTTAAACAAGATTGAATCATGTGACTTAAGATGTCCAATCAGTATTATTTTCTAGAAATCGTAACTTCTTGAATCATCTGGACTTTGCCTTTGAACTATATAATGAGAGAGCTGATTTGGGCTGTTAGCAGAATTTCAAAGTTGATCAAAGGACATCTTCTTATATTAGCAGAATTTCAAAGTTGATCAAAGGACATCTTCTTATATTAGCGGAATATTACAGACACCTACTGTGGGAACATTTATAACACTACAAACACACAACCTGAGGACTTTATATGGACATATATTACAACACACACAATATACGGATTATCATATACATTCGTGGATTATCATAAACATTTGTGGATTATCATCAAACATTATTGGATACGAACATTATAGGATTACAACAAACATTATTGGATTATTACGAACATTGGAGAACTATCAACGATTATTGAAACATTTCGTGATCTGGAACATTCTCTAGGATCGTCAACGACATTTATCGACAACAAGAATAAGCCGTATCATTGATTGGACATCACTTAAGTATTACACCTCCTTTATATTATTGTTATATTATTTAGTTTTTCAAAGTATAAATATATTGTTATCATATTTTAATTGCTGTTTTTACTTTCTGTTATTTTCGTACGTAACAACAGCACAATCAACAAACGCTCTCATCCCATATAGGATACGGCAACATGCAATTTGTATTAAAACAAGCGATTTAAACTCGTCTTAGATGACTGAAACCAAAGGTTACAAAGATGTTCAAAATCGTCAATTCCTGTCTGGCATTTTGTAAGATTATTGAGGTAATTGCGGCAGTTCTGACCTGAGACTGAGAGAGGAAAATGTAGAAAAATACAGATTCCTGCTAATTCAGTGAAAAACGTTGTGAATGTTAAGTACAGTAAGTTATATTGAACTTTGCAACGAATAAAAAAAATAAAATAACGTGAAATCTTTAACTTTATTTGACAAGTAAAAAATGCTAGAGGCAAAAATTTTCGAAGAATTGTGAATTTTATTAGGCTAGGTTAGTTTTTGATGCGATTTCAATAACCAAAGGTGCACAAAATAGCAGACACATTTTCTGCATATTTTCGCGATTTTAAAGTGAATGGATGTCTTTTAAACTAATATGCAATGAATCTACGTCCACTATTTCTCATTTACTAACTTAGACCAAAAGCTACATTAAAGCATGTTTAATCCAACCGCCATTTGAACAGGCCAACGGTGTTTAGATTGGCGTTATATATGGTACCACCGATGCACCATGAAAAAATGGGACCGAAAAGAGCTTTCACCTTCAGACCAGAGAGGTGTTCGTATGTTGGTACGGGATAAGAATGTATGTTTTAGTGTATACGTAATAAGTGGAAGACAAGCAGGCCAAAATCAACACCTCTAATGTTTTACAGACTTTACAAATATCTACAAGAATGTGATTTGGTGACTCACCGCATACCCAAGCTCCGGCGTCCCCTTTAACGCACTTGTTCCTGTTTGCCTTGGTGCAGTGTTCATCCTTTGTACACTCGCTACATATACCCTCGCAACAGTATGGACGATCTTTACAACAACGGCATTGTTTATCTTTCGTACACTTCTTCGGGGCGTCACAGGCTAAATTATCAGAAATAACCGAGACCTTTGCCATTTGCAGTCCATATTCCATATTACAATGCTTGGGCGTTTTCTTTACATATATATGGTAATCTATTTGGCAATCGACATGCATGATTTATGGATACTAAAATAGTATGTAAATTGTCTGTAAAATAATTTGTTCTATTCAAATTTGTAAATCGCATCATTTTATGTTCTTGGACTTACCTTGTTCATCAAATATTTTTTTGTTTTCATCCATTCTAGTTTTTATTCCTGCAAAACCAGCTTCACCAGCAACAGCCTTCTTGTAATCATCGTGGTCGATATACTCCTTTCCAGCTTCTTTCCACTTCTCCTCTTTGATCAGAGCTTGGGTCTTTGGTCCTAAGTCACCACGATAGAGGGCGTCCACGATTGCAGATTGGAGCGCAGCGCAGTATTTGTCAAAGTTTGGGAATATTCCCTTTGCACGTGGGATGTATGTATTTTTCAAATCCGCCTACAGTAATCAATTATTAATCATGTAAATAATGCGTCGGTTTATGCAGTATATACGCTCTCTAAAGTTGCGTTACGATTGACGAGTTGTGATTTACTTGATATTTCAATCAATTTTACGTTACTTGTTTTCAAATACACTCTAACGGATCACGGTAACATGAATTAAAATATAACCTTAAATAGTATCATAGCCTGGGCCTCCGTTACTGCTAGTTCTTTGTTTTTTACTTTATCAAAATCAACATCGGGAAGACCCTTTTGCCAGCCTTCCTTTGCACCAGCGCGATCCATGTTAAACCCCACTCCTGTTTCGAACATCATTAATGCATTTTCATTAAGGCTTCATCTTTAAAGATCACAGATAAAAAACAAAAACCTTCTAAAAATTCGGTTGTTTTTGTACATTTTAGAATAGTGCCTAGAAAATGTTGAAATAGTGTTTTAATTTTAAACATTATTACATATTTTCGGCCTCCCTAAGACCCAATGCAGACACGTGCGGTGAACTAGTCAACAACACTTTTACTCAAATCTTTTCCCCATGGATTCCTTTTTCTGACATTATCATGTTTTCGAAAAATACTAATTGTATAAGACAATGGGATACATTGAATGATAATCTAACGGATTAACGGAGAACTGAACACGTTTATACCAGAATAAATAGCCGACTAATGATTTCGTCGAATTCCGAAGATTTTTTCAATTTCCCACGGCCATGTCTATCAGTCTATATGCAATGTCCAGACTCTGCCATAAGAGTATGGAAGTATAATTACCGACGGTCGTAAAGCCTTTGGAGTCCTCATACGCTGTCGTCTCCAGTCCTTCATGAGGCTTGATATATGCAGCGATGTCATCAATATTGTCTGCAGCATCTGTAATTGAATAGTTCTTTTTTCTGCTTGATCAAACATGATTTGCATGACTGGGGCGTTGCATTTTTGTGACCCGCGATACTAAATAGGGAGATTATAAGTTACACGTTTTTAGGAGAACCTGTACGTGAGCCTGTTATACTCTGACCGCCGGGATTACTGTCCCGTTCCATGGACCCGATTACAATTATTTTCCGTATATCTTTTTACTCAATCTCCAATCGGCCAAGCAAACAGTACAAATAGGAGAACTAATCCACAGAGTACCATAATCATTCACTTTTACGTACAGGTTTTAAAAAACGTGTAACTTTCTAATGCATGATCGTACAAAGAAGTGCGTATCGAGTATGGGCATTCTACCTCGACCCTTTTTTATTTCAGAAGTTGAGATATCTACGTTCACTTTTTAGTTAGGCAGAATCAAAAGATCATGACCAAATACTTCAAGAGTTCTTCACAGAAAAAAAGGCATGGTTTTGAATAGTGTGGGCCGAATATTTTTTTAAACTGAATACTAAAATGTTTCTCTGAACTCTTTTTGCTGCACCTTAAATAAGTGGATAATTTATACCAAAAACATACTTACCAATTAGTGCGAGCAATCCAACAAAGAAAATGAAAAATAATGCGCCCTTTTGCATGATGTTGATTCAGGTAGAGTTATTCCGAATGTTCTGCTTGCTTATCTCTCCAAGTATCTCAAATTCTTTAAAAATCCCGAGTCTTCTATTGAATCTGGAATGATCTGAAAGTTTGAAAGGTGCATGTATTGGTCATTGCGTTTCTTCATGTCCACGTTAATTAATTAGGGAGACCACGTAAAATAAGTTGTCTACACCTACTTACACTCACTTATTAACACAAAAATATGACAATCAGTTAAAAATAAAAAGTCTGATATTAAACTTAACTTACCTAGACCACCTAGATTATATGCGATCGTCGCTGGCTGCCGTCAACCACTGAATGGATCTCCCTGTGATTTACGAGGTCTCAATTCGCTCTGATTCAGCTGATCTAGGCCAGCTTCACCTCTAATACCTAGATTCCTAATAATTTTTTACAGCTGCCATGAAATTTTAATTGCAGTTCATGTTTTCAGCACCAGATTGAGATTTAGCTGCAATAGCAATTAATCTGTTCCACAGTCATAACAGGACGTAATTAATCCCTGAGCAGAGCTATGAATAGCTGGACATATTAGGAGTTTGGGATGTGAAAATCGACACGTTCGAGACCCTTTCAATTTCAAAATTCACCACCTTTTCTTGGAGTTACATCAATGTCTTAGATAATGTATGTACATGTACGAGGGCCTTACCAAATGTAGAGTTACATCAATGTCTTAGATAATGTATGTACATGTACGAGGGCCTTACCAAATGTAGAGTTACATCAATGTCTTAGATAATGTATGTACATGGAGGGCCTTTCCAAAAGTAGAGTGACACATACTTTTTCAAAACTGATTTCAGTCGACCAAAAGCTGTTCTAATTAGTTAACAATTTTATCATTTCGGTAAATATATGAAATGGATTAAAAAAGCCTTGTGATTTATAAATATTACATGCACTATACATAATGCTTCATGTAATATACTGTACTTAGAGTACTTAGTTCTTTTTTATTTCGATCGGTATTTATTACTTTTTAGGTCAGTGATTCACCAAATAAAATATCTATTGAATAGCTTTTCAAATTCATAAAAGAATAAGGACATAAAATACTATGAAAGCATTATCCTCCAGCCATTAGGATGACATCTTCTTATCCACCCTAAATTATGAGTTTAAACAAGGCACAGAGTGAGTGAACAATATCGCACCTGAAACACAGATGCGGTTTAAAAAATGTATCTCGTTAATGTTAATCACGCCCGGTGATCGGAAGAAATGAACGGAGGGGGTAGCTGATTTTCGCTAGAAAATTCAACAAATCTGGAAGATTTATTTTTTCAAGAAAAAGTTTACAATTGAATTGCTAAATGAATAGGCGCAGTACACGGGGAAATATGTTAGGTCTTCTCGGATTTTTTGAACTGATGGACTTCTAAGATATAATATCTATTTAAAAAAGGCGCAGCGTCAACAACATGCAAATGTCAATGTTTTTGCTATATAAATCAAGTCACAATGGTCTACACGACCTGTAATAAATATTTATAAGTGCCGTTTTTATAACAAAATTATTGTGATTGCTGGTTTTTTTAAAGTTTCCAAACGTTAGATAAAAATAATCGAAAATAATTAAAATTGAAAGGAGGGGGAGGGGAGTAAACGGAGGGGGAGCAATGTGTATTTAAGGTGGAAGAAGTTTCCGCGAATTTGTGTAATTGACAAATGAACTCAGTATCAACTGGATGTTGCAACGCTGAAACATGAAAAATAGGGACATATGGAGTTATTGGAAATAATGTCAAGTTACATCTCTTATCATATGTCTTATAGACATATTACTCCCCCCCTCCGTTTACTCCCCCTCCCTCCGTTCAATTTTAATTGTTTTCGATTATTATTTTTATACGTATGGTAACGTATTTTACAAAACCAACGATGACCAATGATTCAAGAAAAAGTTTACAATTGAATTGCTAAATGAATAGGCGCAGTACACGGGGAAATATGTTAGGTCTTCTCGGATTTTTTGAACTGATGGACTTCTAAGATATAATATCTATTTAAAAAAGGCGCAGCGTCAACAACATGCAAATGTCAATGTTTTTGCTATATAAATCAAGTCACAATGGTCTACACGACCTGTAATAAATATTTATAAGTGCCGTTTTTATAACAAAATTATTGTGATTGCTGGTTTTTTTAAAGTTTCCAAACGTTAGATAAAAATAATCGAAAATAATTAAAATTGAAAGGAGGGGGAGGGGAGTAAACGGAGGGGGAGCAATGTGTATTTAAGGTGGAAGAAGTTTCCGCGAATTTGTGTAATTGACAAATGAACTCAGTATCAACTGGATGTTGCAACGCTGAAACATGAAAAATAGGGACATATGGAGTTATTGGAAATAATGTCAAGTTACATCTCTTATCATATGTCTTATAGACATATTACTCCCCCCTCCGTTTACTCCCCCTCCCTCCGTTCAATTTTAATTGTTTTCGATTATTATTTTTATACGTATGGTAACGTATTTTACAAAACCAACGATGACCAATGATTCAAGAAAAAGTTTACAATTGAATTGCTAAATGAATAGGCGCAGTACACGGGGAAATATGTTAGGTCTTCTCGGATTTTTTGAACTGATGGACTTCTAAGATATAATATCTATTTAAAAAAGGCGCAGCGTCAACAACATGCAAATGTCAATGTTTTTGCTATATAAATCAAGTCACAATGGTCTACACGACCTGTAATAAATATTTATAAGTGCCGTTTTTATAACAAAATTATTGTGATTGCTGGTTTTTTTAAAGTTTCCAAACGTTAGATAAAAATAATCGAAAATAATTAAAATTGAACGGAGGGGGAGGGGAGTAAACGGAGGGGGAGCAATGTGTATTTAAGGTGGAAGAAGTTTCCGCGAATTTGTGTAATTGACAAATGAACTCAGTATCAACTGGATGTTGCAACGCTGAAACATGAAAAATAGGGACATATGGAGTTATTGGAAATAATGTCAAGTTACATCTCTTATCATATGTCTTATAGACATATTACTCCCCCCCTCCGTTTACTCCCCCTCCCTCCGTTCAATTTTAATTGTTTTCGATTATTATTTTTATACGTATGGTAACGTATTTTACAAAACCAACGATGACCAATGATTCAAGAAAAAGTTTACAATTGAATTGCTAAATGAATAGGCGCAGTACACGGGGAAATATGTTAGGTCTTCTCGGATTTTTTGAACTGATGGACTTCTAAGATATAATATCTATTTAAAAAAGGCGCAGCGTCAACAACATGCAAATGTCAATGTTTTTGCTATATAAATCAAGTCACAATGGTCTACACGACCTGTAATAAATATTTATAAGTGCCGTTTTTATAACAAAATTATTGTGATTGCTGGTTTTTTTAAAGTTTCCAAACGTTAGATAAAAATAATCGAAAATAATTAAAATTGAAAGGAGGGGGAGGGGAGTAAACGGAGGGGGAGCAATGTGTATTTAAGGTGGAAGAAGTTTCCGCGAATTTGTGTAATTGACAAATGAACTCAGTATCAACTGGATGTTGCAACGCTGAAACATGAAAAATAGGGACATATGGAGTTATTGGAAATAATGTCAAGTTACATCTCTTATCATATGTCTTATAGACATATTACTCCCCCCTCCGTTTACTCCCCCTCCCTCCGTTCAATTTTAATTGTTTTCGATTATTATTTTTATACGTATGGTAACGTATTTTACAAAACCAACGATGACCAATGACCAATGGTTTGTGATAATAACTCCACTTACAAGTATTTATTATAAATCGTGCAGACCCTTATTGCTTGATTTATAGCAGCCACATTGGCATTTGCACGTTGGCGACGTTGCGCCTTTTTAACAGATCTATTATCATAGAAGTATATCAGTTCAAAAAAATTCTAGAAGACCTAACATATTTCCACATGTTCTGCGCCTATTCATTTAACAATTCAATTGTAAACTTTCTCTTGAAAAAATAAATCTACCGAAAATCAGCTCTCCCCGCCGTTCATTTATTTTGATCATCGGGCGTGTTAATGAAATAAAAGGTTTATCTTAATTTTCATCTATTTTGGAAAGCTTGTTTTAATTCTTTGAATACATTTTGTTAAATCAACTAAACTTTTCTTTGTATAACTATAATATTGAGAGGTCTAAGAAAATATGCTATTTTGTTCCAACAAGGTTCGGAAAGATATTTTATTTCATTCTCAATAATTGGTAAAAAGGAACAAAAACAATTGCACTAAAAACACAAAATTTTAACAAAAACAGTTATATAAAATATATATAAATAATTTTCGCATTAAATTGTTGTCAATCAGTCAACATAATGTTTTCAGTAATTGATTTAAGAGAAACTTTCAGATGAATCCCTTAAACGGTTTGGCTGGAAATCTGTAGACAAGCTGAAAAACGAGACGCAACCCGTCGCCGCCTGGCCGTCAAGCTGACGACAATATCGTAACTTTTTAGGTACGATAAAAATGTCAAGGATGGGGCAAAGTTATTCTGAACTTTAAAATCTAACTTTAAGGTTCTCGCACAAATGCAGAATGAAATGCCACACAGACTCTAGACATGCCTCACAGACTCTAGACATGCCAAATAGCCTATGAACATGCCACACAGCCTTTAGACATGCCACAAAGCCTTAAGACATGCCACATAGCCTATGAACATGCCACACAGCCTTTAGACATGCCACATAGCCTAGGAACATGCCACACAGCCTTTAGACATGCCTCACAACCTTTAGACATGCCACATAGCCTATGAACATGCCACACAGCCTTAACCCCCCTATCACACCAAACTAGTTCTTACCCGTTCTTGCCAGTCGTACGAAAACGTAGTAAAACGGGCTCAATCTGGCTGTGGTCGGGAAATATCTCTAAATGGTCCGATTTGTGGAAGTTGAAATTCAAAGCATCTAAAAGTAAAGAATTGATATTTAGGAGTAGATGTCGTTTCAAGAGGCAGTTTGAGCCAGTTACCATGAATGGTGAAACTGTAGCAAGACAAGATTCACATTGCCACCTGGGTGTAATTTTAGATAATGCTCTGACTTTCACCGAACACATAACCCAACTCCGTATCAAAATAGACAAGATGATAAATCCACTTAATTGTTTAAAATATAAGATTGCTAGTAAACACCTTGAAACTATGTATATGTCCTTTATTTTACCCCATTTAGAATACGGCTCAGTTTTATTTGATGCGGCTCCAAAACACGAACTCTTGAAATTGGACAGGCTTCACATACAAACAAAGTTCTGAAAATTCTTAACTGGGCTCCACTATCGGAAAAAAAGAAAACAAAAGAAACTGTTATTTATGCATGATGTTTATTATGAAAATGCCCCTCCATACATTTCAAATATTTTCAATTTGTACCGAAACAAGAGGCCAACTCGAGCCCTAAGAAAAACGCCCCATTTTATTGTACCCGCGAAACAATCTGAAAAAACTAGACGCGGTACTGTAGTTTCTTCTATATCTGAATGGGAGAGGGACACATTACCTGATCAACTCAAAACCATTCCAATAAAGCGCACTTTTAAATACCATCTTAAAAAACATTTATTTCCGAAGAAGACCCTAATTGACACAGTCCACTTGAATTTAGACAGGCAAGCTGAAATAGTGCTTAATAAAACCAGATGTGATTTCATTTTTCGTTACCATAAGTTCCAGCATCAATAGTATAGTTTCCATATAGCTCTTGAAATCTCGCTAAATCTCGTTTTTCGTGAGATTTTAAGAGACTTGCATATTAGACCTCTAATGACTTACATTACCTTCTTTTAAATGGTATATTTGAATTCAGTGGAATGTTTACTCCTAAAATAGCTTTGATTTACACAGTTATGTAATTTGAATAATTTTCTATGACAATTTAAAAAAAGTTGGGCCAAATGTCCATAGATGCAATGCTAAAATTCTTTAAAACCGTGGATTATTTGTATGTCAATCAACATTAGCATGTTTAATCACAACATGTTCATGAACAGGGTCATCATGTGGTATATCATTCAAGTTTTATACAGATTCAACAAACACACTTTGATAAATCATGAAATTAAGCCACTTTTCCAAGATTTTAGCATGTAAGTGAATGGAGCTCTAGCCAGAGTTAAAAGCTGAATAAAAGATGGCAGCACGAGATTTCATTGATTTTTCTGCTATTTAGAAACTATCCTATTCAATAATGTCAATCCTCAATGCCTGTGCGGTTTTCGATCTCAGACAACCCAACACCTATTCTTTTCTTGCCCCCTTTTACTTGATCTCAGGGAACAACTAGCACTCGACCTTGCAGGGATACCCAATTTCAACATTAACCATTATAACAAACTAAATGCAAAAGAGAAACTAGATACATTGTTATATGGTGGCTCATCATATAAAATTGAAACTAACAAGCTTATAGTCACAACAACTGCCAACTTTATTTCTTTAATTGTAGACTATGTTTAACTTTATATATTTGGTGTAAAATGTCACATGTAACTTACATGTATTGTCATGCTGAGTGTTCAGCAGCCTAAAATTACCTGATTTTTATGTGCCTACTTAACTCTATTTTAGAAATTGTATAAATGTGTATGTGTGAAAATCGACATGGGCCACTAATGCCAATGGCCTTGGCCCATTGTCGGACATTGTGAAATGATAGTATTGATAAATAAAACATAACCTATAAAAAAAAAAATCTCTAAAATAATTAGCTACTTCGTTCATAAACAGTCTTCAATACGTCCATCTCATTCGCAGTTCGTTCAGGTCGTACCACGATCGGTGTGCAACGTCGTATAACGCGTCCCTTCGTCAAGAAGGTCATCATGACCTGATTACAGAACGGTATGGTCACCATCGAATTTTGAATCGATTCAAAATTCTAGAATCACCTTCCCGTCTGAGAACGTTCATGAAGTTCGTAAATAGACCTTAGAAAGTTGCAGCTACGTTCATTCCGTTCGGACACAGTTTAAAACCAGTTTTGAAGAACGCAGTGGCAACTTGTTTGGTGTGATAGCTATTTTTTTGCTAACTCGTTCATAAGCAGTCTTTAATACGTTCTTATTCAGTTTAAACCCGTTTGCAATTAGTTCTGCCTCGTTCTCAATACGTCCTCAGACAGTTCAACTCGTTGTAAAAACGTCCCTAGTAGGATTGAAGTACGACGGTTCCGTTCGTAGTACGTCCAGCTCGTCGTTAGTACGTTGTCACTCGTTCTAATTGTAGAACGTGACGACCACGAGAACATTTTGAGCATGTTCTAAGTTCTAGAGGACCTACCCGTTCGAGTACGTTCGATGGAGTTTGTAAATAGACCCCAAACGGTTCTAAGTACGTCCAGTCCGTTCGTACACAGTTGAAGCCCGTTTTCGAGAACGTAGTGAGAACTAGTTTGGTGTGATAGTAGGGTTAGACATGCCACACAGCCTTTAGACATGCCACATAGCCTCAAGACATGCCACATAGCCTCAAGACATGCGAATGTCTCTCGACATTTAATATAGCCTCTAAACATGCCATACAGCCTCTTAACATGTTCCATAGCCTCTAGATGCCACATTCCTATGGACATTTCCACTAAACCCTGCCATCCTTTGCTATATCAAATAAACTCTAATTCATATTGGCCCAACTCAAGTTGTTACAGGTTGTAGGCAGCAATGTTTATTCAAAACTAAAACAGAATTCACATATTGCTAAGAATTTTCTCTTTAGTTTTTAGGGTATATCAAAAGGTGGTATTGGAAAGTCCTGAAATATGTAAATGAATGAGTAATGAATCTCTCTTACAAACTTATTTGGAATATTGTAGAATTCCGTGTACAACATGAGACAACACATAATGGTACATGTTGCGATACAGTAAAACCTGTCTTAAGTGAATACCTCTCCCTAGTGAACACATGCATTTGGTAAATACCACTTCAACAAACATTTTACAATGACTCCTGTATAAAATCCCTTCTCTGTATTGAACACCTCCTTACAGTGAACACTTTTTGTGGAACCATAGGTGTTCATTATGTTCAGGTTTTACTGTGTATCATACTGTAGTGACCTTGAAATAGATAAACAACATAATATGTTTTAAACAGCATCTTATTTTGCTTTTTATTTCAAAAATGGAGTTTGTTTAGATTCCATATACATGTACATTCTATTCCACCATATTATTCATTTTTTGTAAATCTCATTTCTATTTATTATCAGTATCTTCATTTCAGCTTTTAGCAAACCTACTGAGGGCTCCGCCTTTAGGTTTACCCTGCTCAGTGTCTCTGTTTTTCTTCTCTTCTCGCTTTCTTGTTGCTTCATCTAGTTTTTCCTGCACTCTGTCTTTAATAAACTCTCTCTTCATTTCTTCCTTGTATCCCTGCTTTCTGTTCTCGTGATGCCCAGTTTTGCTACGGCCTTTTTTCTTATGTCTAGGTTCAAACTCTATTGTTTCTGGTTTCAGGAACTGAAAATAACCCTGAGTATAAGAACATTTGAATATTTTTAGAGGAAGCTATAGCTTAACCATACTATCTTGCAACAATTACAGATGGTTTTCCATATTACAAGTATCATTACATTTCTGAAACATGAAAAAGTATTAACATTGAAAAATTAATTTTGACAAGGAAATAATTGCAAAATTACTCCAAATGGGCATTTTAGACAAAGCAGGAGAAGGAAATTGTATTTTGGCTGCTTCTAATAAGACCCCCTGGATTAGATATTAATAAAAACTTAATATCAAATGAAGCTTCCATGGCATTTATAGAAGTTTGAATGTTAAAGTTAAAAAAATATATGTATGGTCAGGGGGTTTCATAAGCACCAAGCAACAGGTGATTTTATGGTTGTTTTCATTGTCTGTTGTTTTTAGGGACTTTTCAACTTTTCCATGTTAGATTTATGATTTCCATTAATTTTGCCAGTTGTTATCATTTATTTGGCCTGTTGTGAAATTCCAGTGAAACCCCTGATGGTTTTTTTTCATATACACTTGAATGGATACATAGGATAAAAGGCTAGATTTTAAAAAATTATGGAGTGGGATTCTAGCTTAGAGTGATATCTCCACCTAATTACAATTAGATTAGAAACAGGTAAAAAATAAATTTCTTCAAGGTAAATCTGTTCTATGGTAAAACAACTACTACTAAAACAGAAAAACATGCACGCAAAACAAGTGAAGGTTTACAACATAATTACGTAAATATATAAGACCAATGCCGTAATTATGACTATGGATTATAAAACTGAATGTATATGTACCAGTAGTTTATTTCTTTCCTCAATTTTCTCTGCGTAAGTCTTGACATCAACTTTCCCCAGTGCACTTGTGTCCACTGTGATCATGTCTGGTTGAATCTAGGAAAGATAAACAATCAAACTACTTAAAAGAGGATCAGAATGACAAAGGAACAATACAATTAACAAATGTGTTCAATATCATACCAAATACAGATATGTATCAATAGAACTATAGTATCCTTTAATGGAGCACTTGTTTCATATCTTATTTTACGACAAATACAACATGCTACATTTGTACAAGTAGTGCATAAACACTTTGTGCAGGTGATATTTTTTACACAAATAAAAGTTGTAAATAAAAAGTAATATACATGATGACATACAAATATTCATTTGCGACTCTCCGACTGAACTTTAGAAAGTTGACTTAACCCGATACTGTGTTTCGATGATTTGTCAAAGAGTTTTTATGCATGTTCATTTAAGCTTTTAACGCTCTTTGCCTTTGATTCAATTAAGCCCCATGACAGAGTTCATCTTGAATGCTTTTACACTTAATACAAACAGAATAACCTGTTTAGTTTGTACATGCTTGTAAGCTATTAAACTTAGTTTGGAACTCAAATCAAGCCCCTAAGCAAACAATGCATCCATATGGTGTCATTTTACCTTTTGCAGTAACATCTGGACCTCTGCATTACGTCTCTGTTTCTTGCTCTGGAATGGGTTTGCTTCTAAAGCATCAAAGTTTGGCTCTCCAGCACCTTAAGTTGTAACAAATTAAACATCATGTATTCTTTACAAGACCTGGTTCACTTATTTTAAGACAAAGAATATACCATTTCATGAAAAATAGATGGCATATTACAAAGTATAACGTTTATATTTTAATATTAAGAGAGATGTGATGGAATGTGGAAAGGCTAAAACTCTCATTTCTCATTTTTATAATGAATATGCCCCAAGCATTGTTCACTTCAAATATACATATGTACACTATTTACAACACAGAAAATCTGCAACAAGCCCAGACTGGCCCAGCAGATAACTTACCAGGTATTAGAAGACTAGAAAAACCACCACCATGGCCCACCCCTAGAACATCCTCATAAGGACAGAACTGTGTGGATGCCACAGTACGAGGACACTGATGGCGCAAATATGGAGACTCAACAACATTTCTGCATGGATCTTGGTAAACCTATGAGAATATTACATAAAATGAAAACTATTTTGTATATATACTGTACAAATGTATCTCAAAGGTTTATCATGTGAGCTAAAAAAAAACATACAGTATATATTTCTGAAAAATCACCCTGTCAGCTACATGAATCTGACACTCATGACCATCCAACTGCCACATAGCTCAAGCTATGGTGACCAATTTCTCTTGTTCACCATGAAAGCCAACAAGAATAAATGTTTACAAATGACAAACCTCTACAACACTTCCTATACCAGCAGCTAGGAGCCCACGTTGACTGAAGGAGAGTTGACCAGCACCGCCACCTATCCTGTACTCATGTACTGACTTATACATGCGCAGATCCCATATTTTGAGCTTCCTGTCTACCCCTGATGTAGCCATATACCTGCAGTTAAGTATGATAACAACTAAAATAACAAGGGATTAACATGCAAAATGTCACAGCCTGCCATTTGTTACAGACACTGCACATCAACCACAGAATGCTGACTACCGAACATCATTTGCTGCACACCATCCACAAAAAAAAAGTTGGACACTATAAAAATATGTTGGACCCCAATATTTTGTTAGCATGCAACTGTTAAGTTTCTTTAAATTGCACATTTCAAAATGTGAATGACAAGATGGAAAAAAGTATAGTAAAATTGAATAATTATCTTTTGCATCTAAGGGATCAAATGCATTATTTTCTTACGTGCCAGTATGGTCCACATCTACAGCCCTAACTGCTCCACCATGACATAGCATCTTCACTAGAGGCTCTTTGATGTTAGGAGACCACAATGTTACAGTCCCTGAAATATGGAAAATATGATTTATAAATAAGAATGAATTTTATATAGCTCTGCACCGAAGGTTCATTGAACTGTGTAGCCTCAACTTGCAACAATGTCCCAGGTGAATTTTGTGAGACTTTTGTGATTCTATGTGACACTTTTATGATGTGCATTCACCCTGTGTGACCTTATCTCCTGTATGGCAAACGATAAGATGACAGTGTCCTCTTGTGTGACACTATTACATTCTGTGATATTACCTTCTATTGATTAAGGTGTGGCACTGCATTATGGGACTCAAGTGTACTACTTAATCATGGGACCTCCTGTATGCCTCAGAAAACTGCCCACTGTTTTCCCCAGTGCTTTCTGGTGCACATGCACTGTTGCATTATGGGACTTACCTGTCCTATTGTGTGTCTAATGTATAATATTGCACAATAGAACTGACCTCCTTATAAGGATGGGTTGTGTTATTGTACTATGGGACGTACCTCTTGCGTGTCAAATGTATACTACTGCATTATAGGACCAAACTCCTGTAAGCCCTAGTTGTATTATTACTAGTACTATTGCATTTTGGGACATACCTCCTGTGTGTCCCAGATGTATTATTGCATTAGCTGGATTCTGGCACATGACGTCCAAGCGTCCCATACTGGTCTGGAAGCCTGCAACCTTTTGGCCAATACTTACATCTAACCAGCTGAGATAGCCCCTGGCATTCTGAAATGCATTGAAGGACAAGTAAGTGTTTTATTTTGGCTATGATGTTTTGAAAAGGAAATAATGGAGTTCAATATAGTTGTGATTTATGTAATATTACAAACAAATATGAAACCGAGCTAAATATTATATCATGAATTGAATGAACCCCTTGCACTGCATAACTTGTGGTCCAATGGACACTCTAGAATGGGTGATTTTGCATTTTTTTGTGCACATTATCTCTAATAATCTGATTGGTCAATAAATGACTTCATATGTTCATGTAACACTAAAACCAGAATAGAAATATCTATAATTTTCAAAACCTCCTTAAAACACTTCATTCACTCACAGCTCCAACAAGCAGAAAGTGATACGGCAGGAATTCTAGTTTCAGAACACTGTCCATGACTTTAAGGCAATGTAGCTCTAAACCTTGGTTGTCGTATATGTATGTCCATTGCTTCTGAGAAACAGCTAGCATTGTCTCTATGTGCAGCCATCTACAAGAAGAATGATAAGTAAACACTACAGCATCAAATAATTATCTGGAACATTAGCAAGACACAGTGATGAGCACTCTAAAAGAGCAAATCAGCTACCATTGTAATTTACCCAGCACGCCCAAAATCTAATCTGATCTAGTCATTTTTTAGGTTATACAGTTAAGCAGTCTTTCTGGAATTTCGATGACAAGCTGAATGTGGTGTCAAACCACACACCTGCCCAGACAGATGCATACAAGCCCATCAGCATCGGGAGACATTGTAGCACTTTTAAAAAGTGTAATAAAAATGAGGAACAAGAGGATATAAATTTTGCTGCTCTATGCTTACTTGGCATCTGTGACTGCCTCCATTGCATTGAATTCACACATGAGTTTCTTGGTCTGCCAGTCCATAGCAGCCACATGGCCCAAGTTGCCAGCCATTAGGAGGTATCTTCCATTCCTACTATAATTAGCTCTATAGGGACCAAATTGCTTAAGCTTTAACTCAAAGTACTGTAAACAAAAAAATTAGTCATAATTATTAGGAATCAATGTACAGTAACACCTTTCTAATGTGAACACCTCTGGGACTGACCACAGAGTCTTAAGATTAGCAGGTGTTCACATTTCCTGGCTTTATAAACTTGTGATTCAATGGGAGATTATTTTGGACTGAGAAAGTGTTCACATTTACAGGTGCTCTGATTAAAAAGGTGTTCGAATATACAGGTTTCCAAATTACAAAACAATTATTTAATCTCATGCTTTTTACCATGGGTGAAATAGTATTTGTGTGCCTTATTGTATGTATTGTATTCTGTTATAAGTCAGTTTCACCTTGACGAAACTGTAGTAAAAAGTATCTATTTTGTTCAAAATGTACAGGTACTGTGTACTGTTAAAAGTCAATGCTTAACATGCATTTAGTCTTTTTAATAATATAGCCTTGTTGATTTTTGACATTGTTACCTTCTGTGCACTGGTGATGTCAACTGCATTTGAGATGTCATGCTGTGTAATTGTCGTAATGTCTTCATCAGCCCCCACCTCCAAGAACCTATATAAAACAGAAGAGATTAGCGCATTTGACATCATACAAGTATATTCAACAGAAGAGAGTAATGCATATGACATCATACAAGTATATTCAACAGAAGAGAGTAATGCATATGACATCATACAAGTATATAAAACAGAAGAGATTAGCGCATATGACATCATACAAGTATATTCAACAGAAGAGAGTAATGCATATGACATCATACAAGTATATTCAACAGAAGAGATTAGCGCATATGACATCATACAAGTATATTCAACAGAAAAGATTAGCGCATATGACTGTATGATAGACTATATTTTGTATGACCCCAGATTGTATATTTTTATTCATGTTGACAATACCTAGACTTGAAATTGAATCTATTACAAAACATTAACATGCAAAATGTTATCACAAGCCATTTGTTACAAACACCAACCATCAAACACCAACCGATGAACACGAAAAAAGTTGGAGAATATAACAATATGTCACCACTTTTGGTGGTGACATAAAAACCTGAGTCATCAATTGTGTGTTTATCTATGATCTCCCAAGCAATAGAGCTACTAGGTGCTGTACCCAGCTGAGAATCTAAAAATGATGTGCCACCCTGTTGACTATGTTTGCATCATCCCAAAGGTGTGAAATGTTGAGGAATTTTGTCCAGACTCTGCCTTGAAACAAGGATTTAGTATCCTGTGGAGAAAAAAACCTAGAAAGATCACCGTTTATGTTGCCCTGTATGCACTAAGTCTTCAGCATAAGTTATCTATTGTCATGAACAGAAACTAAGAATTGCAAGATAAATTGTTGTAACCAAAGTTATAACGACAAATAGAACAATGGAGTTCTAACTTTTACAAACTTTCTGTCAATGACCCCAGTGGTACAATTGTCAATTTGCCATAAGTGATATGACTGGACCATTTGAAGTACATGTATAGTTATAGCATACCCTGGCTGTTCATTGAGTAATGTCTCTGTCCTTGCTGCCTGTTTAACTGCATCTGAAATCTTCTTTTCCCTGAATTTAAGCTTTTTTGTTTCAAATTGGTTCTTCATATCTCCCTAAAATAGAAATATTAATGCTTGAGATGCTGTCGGAATGTGATTTTAAAATCAAATGGTTTTCATTGTGAACACTAGCATTTCTGAGCAGACTTGAGGGTTTGTATGCAGCACTGTAGATTCATGTTTTGTGAAACTAGCTTAATGCAATAGTGCATCCATACCCAATGGACATTCTATTTGATAACTTTAAAATAATTGAATTCACATTATCAGCTACTCAATTCTTCAAGGCAAAGTGGAATGTGTCCGTATGTGTTACTAAGTGCATGTATAAATACAACTTACCAGATATTTATCCTCGCCTCTTTTGTATTTCTGTAGCCTCTGGATTGGGATAGGAGCATCACCAGGATAGGGGTCAGTCTGCAATACATATATATTAGAATAACAGTGACTTGAATGCAATGTCAAAGCCTATATGTACATATGGACAACCGAACCTAGCCAAGGTGCTTGTACTATATACATGTACTAATAAAAGGTAAAAACAAAAGAACATTCAAAGAATCACATGTTGAAAAAGCATCATTTATATCAAGTATAAAAATACCTTTCGGTCTTGAAATCTGCTCTTTATCGGTTTGCCATGTTTCTGTTGTGTTCCTTGTAATCTCCCTGTCTGGTTTTTCAAACCCTTTCCTTTTAATATTTGAGTCTGTGAACTTTTATTTGGTAAAACATTCTTAACACCTTTATCCTTCTTACGATGTCCTTTCTCACCACTAAAAGTATAATTCTTTTTTATATCTGGTCCCCTACTGAAGTTTTTAGTCCTAATGATCTTATCAACATCCAAAGTAAATGTTTCTTTTTTTGTTGACTGATCTTCAGGAAATTTGAGATCTCTTTTTCTCTGCTTCTTTTTGGCTGGTTTTGGTTCTAGAGATGTCATCCTTCAATCTTTGAGTTTATGTTTAAAAGGAAATGTTTAACAGTCCTGAAACAGAAAATTGCAAAGTGAATTGGACTGAGATCAGTGAAAGAATTTTGAGTATAAGTGTGTCATACAATCACATTTTCTGAAAAATATTTAAAAAAATATTCTGTTCAGTGACATTTCTGAAAGAACAACTTATAACTATTTTTCAGTCATTTTCAGAGGGCTGAAATACCTTACTCAAGTCTTTAGCCAATGGCTTAGCTACATAACTGAATAGTGAAAATTAAATCACTGGGTTCTGCCATTTTTTAAAACAGTTCCAATATGTTACATACAATGTCTGACATTATTTATAACTGGGTGAAAATTCAAAATAGCAATCTAAAAGATTTGAAGTAGCCTAATATTGATTACTTCTTGTAATTATTTAGGACAAATAAAAACATGATGTCATTTTTTAATATAATTGCGCTCTGTGGTTAAACCGGTCTCAAAGATTCCCAGCTCAGAAACATATCTGCTAATCATGTAAGAATTAGTGGATATTTCAGCTTGAAACTTTGCATGCATATAAAAAACAATTTGTTTTTGTCAAACTGTATACCTTACATAAGTACGGAAAGCGATAGGGGACATGCGCATAATTCAAAATCCAATGGAGTTTTAACATGAGAGTGATATCACACACTGCGGCCCAGTCAGATAGATTTCATCGCGCACTGAATGAATTACAGGGGCCGCGTTGTGCAAAGTTAATTAAAATAAAGTGCGCAGAAATTCCGGCATTCAGTGCGCGATGAAAAAATGATTATCTGTGAATAAATAACGAATAAAAATTCGTGGCACCACAAATTTGATTTTTTTCGAAAGACTGCGGAGTGAACCAGCGAAATGACAATTTTGGATAATTTTGATGGCTCTAACGAGGAGAACTTTGAGATTTCCCGATTCTAGCGCGCAGTACATCCAGGACCATGATGCGCACTTTTATTAGATTCGATTCTAATATGGTTTCAAAGATAATGTTCATTAAAAGAGGGCGTATGCATACAGATTACACGTGGCGTTGAAAATATATTATTTTGGGCCATTTCATATCTTTTAAGTGATAATGTATAAAACATTTTCAATGTTTGAAAATTATAATCTTATAAATAACATTTTATGTAATAAAACTGTAACCGAAATGGTAAATACGGAATATGATGCAATACAATGGAGTGCAATATGATGTAATACAATGTGGTGCAATATGAGAGGGCGTATGCATACAGATTACACGTGGCGTTATGTTGAAGTGACCCTTGCAAAGGGTTCCATTGAAAATATATTATTTTGGGCCATTTCATATCTTTTAAGTGATATTGTATAAAACATTTTCAATGTTTGAAAATTATAATCTTATAAATAACATTTTATGTAATAAAACTGTAACCGAAATGGTAAATACGGAATATGATGCAATACAATGGAGTGCAATATGATGTAATACAATGTGGTGCAATATGATATAATACAATGTGGTGCAATATGATGTAATACAATGCGGTGCAATATGATGCAATACAATGCAGAGCAATATGATGCAATACAATGCAGTGCAATATGATGCAATACAATATAGTGTAATATGATGCAATACAAAGCAGTATAATATGATGCAAAAAATGCAGTGCAATATGATACAATACAATGTAGTGCAATATAATACAATAAAATGCAGTGCAATGCCATACAATGCAAAACAATGTCGTGCAGTGCAATACAATGTAGTTCATTTCAATACAATACAGTGCAATACAATGTGGTACAGTGCAATACAATGCAGTGCAATGCAATACAATTCAGTTCAATACAGTGCAATACAATGTAGTGCAATGCAGTGAAATAAAATACAATACAGTTACAATGTAGTTCATTTCAATACAATGCAGTGCAATACAATGTGGTACAGTGCAATACAATACATCGCAGTTCAATACAGTGCAGTGCAATACAATACAGTGCAATATAATACATCGCAGTTCAATGCATTGCAATACAATACAGTGCAATACAATACATCGCAGTTCAATACAGTGCAATACAATGTAGTACACTGCTGTACAATACAATGCAGTGTAATAAAGTACAATGCAGTGCAATATAATATAATACAGTGCAATACAGTACAATATAATGCAATAGAATACAATGCAGTGCAATACAATACAATGCAGTACAATACAATAAAATGCATGATTGACCGTATGCTGGATTAACCTGGGGGAGTGGTTTTACCAAGGGGGAGATTTTGCCAAGAGGGGGGACCTTTTTGACAGTTATGGCAAAAAAATCATGCGAAAAGTGCTAAGAATGGTGAAAAACTGCATGATTTTGAATGAATATTTGGCAAGGGGGAGGGGGGTGAGGCCCCCTGGCTACGGCCATGGAATACATATAGGAACTTTCCTTCTCCCAGAAGAAATGGTATACAGGTATTACATCAATCATTCTGGTATTTTGTATACGAAGGTCTGTAGTTACTTTATTGAAAGATGGCAGTGTACACTGTGTACTGCCATTTTGAGGTCAGTTTGACTTTATAATTCTGCGCACTATAATCTGTAATTCTCATAGATATCCTCTCTAGAGGCATCACTGTGATCCAAAATTACAATTTTGCAGGTCAAGTCTGCAGTCTTTCGAAAAAAGTTGAATTCGTTGTGCTACCGTTTCTTGTTGGGCATTTATTAACAGAAAACTATAATTACATCGCGCCAGCATTTACAAGCTTCAGCGCGATATTTTGAGTGTGTTAATAAATAAAGTGCGAAGCTCGATCTTACTGGGCCGCGGTGTGCGATATCACTCATAAACAATTTTTAATTGCGCACTGAATGAATTACAGGGGGCGCGTTGTGCAAAGTGAATTAAATAAATAAAGTGCGCAAAAATATATCTGACTGGGCCGCGGTGTGTGATATCACTCCCATGTTAAAACTCCATTGAATTTTAAATTCTGTGGTATATCCCCTTTCGCTTTCCGTACATAAGAAATGAATGAGAAATATGCCGTTCGCAAAGTTACGAAAGGGTCTGAGTTACTATTAAGTGACGAACGAAAGCATGTGACGTCATTTTTTCATAACTTTACCAAATTCGTAAAATCAACAATTGATTTGCAAATTCATAACTTTACGAAAGTTCTGTTAATGACCCCCTGATTAACACCATTCAAATTCGATTTTCAAAGAATATATTTGGAGAAACAATAAAAGGCAAGTGGAATAAATTAGAAGATGGTTTCAAGTTATTTTAGAAGTCAATTTGAAACTCAAGAATGCTTTTTTGACTTATAATCACAATGAAATCGGGTGACTTTTGGGATTGGTGTCCAGCTTAGTCATTTATTTCTATCCTGTACAATCGAGTGTGTAAAAAACAAAAATGCACATGTTATCTATTGCAAGACTTATGTCTGCCACAACCGCCACCATGTTATTCAGTGTTTTTAAGTATCGCAAGGATCCTGCCATGACCGTGGTAGTGTTATTGTGTAAGCCTGGTATAACCGTGACAGCTTGGTATAACCGTGACAATGCTGTATTATATTGCAAGGCCTCTCATGACCGTGGAAGTGTTAACGTTGAAGCCTGACGCGACCATAGCCTTTATGTTTAATTTATAACTTCTTTATTGTGGTTTTTTCAGCGAATGTTTACTAGAATCCACTTTTAAATATTTTTCTATTTTAGCCTCTCCTATCCGGTCTAAATTGTTTTTTATCGTGATTCAAAGAACTTATTCTCTGTAAATGATTAATTATTTTAAAATATGCCTCTTAATACCATATATATACTATGAGATTCACTTTTTAGTTTTTCACTCCTGTGAACTTCTTTATTGTGGTTTTTTCAGCGAATGTTTACTAGAATCCACTTTTAAATATTTTTCTATTTTAGCCTCTCCTATCCGGTCTAAATTGTTTTTTATCGTGATTCAAAGAACTTATTCTCTGTAAATGATTAATTATTTTAAAATATGCCTCTTAATACCATATATATACTATAAGATTCACTTTTTAGGTGATTTATCCCAGACCTCACCAACTGATTTTTAGAGTGAACCCCCCGGGGGCAGGCGTTAGTCTTGCAACAGATAGGGTCTCCAAAAATGCGTCAGGAAATCTACCTTTAGAATTACTTTACAATTATTGTCTACTGTCATACCATCATGGAAATAACCCAATTCTTAGTCCAGCCCCACCTGCTAGGCCTAGTGCTATGATCATCACTGGTAGATCTAAATCTACTCCAAATAAAAATGAAATCACCAAAATAATCATGAAAAACAACAAAAAATATAATTTTGACTATCCAAAACATAATTCTTTAAAAGTAATCACATGATGAATAACAACAAATCGCAAGTTAATTTCTAAAACATTATAAATATACAAAATAATCTAAATATGCTTAAAAACATACCAAACACGATTTTAAAAGTTTTTTCCACACGTGTTCGCCATGATGGATTTTTACACATTCCAATATCTCTGTTTTTAGAATCTATTATTTTTCCAACCTTGATCAATTAAATTCAGTATAGAACATGCATTTCTTAAACATATGAAACAACTTTCAAGTTCTTGTTATCTTTTGGATCAAATGAGAAAATGCTAAATGATTCTGTTTTATGACAAAGATTGGAATGTGTAAAAAGACAAGTCAACAAAATTGACCTCAACATTTTTTCCGTTTTATAGTTACCAGTACTACAAATGTGAGCCAAGTGTGAGTCACATTCACTTTCCACATAAAGCAGGTAGGTTTGTAGAATATGTTTGACCAAATAGATTTATAATTTGTAATTTGTGCTGTGAATTTTGACCCAATTAAAAATAATTGTGCTCAAAACAAACGAAATTCAATGTCGACTCGAATGTGATTGTCACATGATTGTGAATTTCCATTTCTCTGAGCAGGGAGTAATCAGTAACAAATATTAAAAGATGTATTTCATAGATCCCGGCCAGATTCTTTTGGAGTAAGTAGGATCAGTAGCTCAATAAATATTCTTTGAGCCTATGAGATCCTACTACAAAATGATCTGGACAACATCTTAGTCCAACAACATTAGACCTAGCCTGGGCCTCGTTTCTTATCTGACATGTCTTATGGCCCCGGCTAGGTCTAACCTCCATGATCATTTTGCCCTTGAAGCGTTAATTTAATCGTTCCGCAGGTTTCGACAAGCGGAACTAATTAAACCCTGAAACCATGGTAACATTACACAAAGAATGTGATTCAAGCATGCATACATACCTTATGAATACATACACACCATCCCGTATCCCCCTTAGACCCTATTGATGCATAATTACGAAATATTGGAGACAGGTTTGGAATATAACGAAAATGTCGGTCAGTTTCGGCATGGGCTCTACCACCCTGATAGAGCCCATGGTTTCGGTAACATCGAAATTGCAAATCGTATCTGAAATTAACCGTCATCGCGGAACTGCATTTACAAATAGTAGGTTTGCAATTAATAACTATTTTGCGTGTATACACGCGCTATATAAATCAATCAAAGATACCTGTTATCCTCAAAATTTATCTTTTAATGCAAGTAATCGCGATAATAATTATCAATCTATTTGACAACAATTTCGTTTCGCTAATAGTTTAATTTTACGATCCGGGACCCTCGGACGAACAGACACAATGACGGACATGCGGAAATGTCATTTTAGAGATCGGTAAGTGTTAGCCTCATTTTACGAGTATAAATGAACATTAACACAATTATATTGTGTTAAATCGCTTGATGTTATGTGTTTTTATATTATTGTCAAGTATCAATTGCATGTTATCGCGGCAAAATGGTTTCGATGGATCCAGAACTTGCATCAAAGGAAAGAATAGAAAAGAGGTTAAATAACGGCCCCAAGAAAATTCCTAATAGTAACGCCATTATTGAGTTTAACGATGTTGAACTAGATAACATCTGTGATGTATTTACCAAGATAAAACATAAGTCACTATTCCATAGCTGGATGACTCTTAACTGCAGTTAGCGTCATTCAAGATGGTTGCTGAAATTCTTTTGTTTTTGACAAACCTCCGATTTCAGCTAAACAAAGTTGGATCTGGATTCCAAAACTTTTGCCATGCAAATCTAAGATTGTAAACAACCACAGATACATGCTCTAACAACCGTGATATACTGTAGATTGGGTTAATTTGGCGCTACTTAATTTGGCGATTTTGCCATTTTTGGCATATTGGCGGCTATTTAATTTGGCGGATATGCAAAAAAATTTTAATGGAATGTTAAACTTACGCGCTGTTTGCGAATTACCATGTAAATGGGCATGTTTGGCTATGTTCATTTTTTCTTTTGAGGACCACTGGCCGATATTCACCACGTTTGTACATTTTTGTTAGATCATCCTTTACATTTTACACCTCAATTGATGCTGCTACTTTTCCCTGAGTATAAATGAGTGACTGACCAGTTCTGAGCCAATTTATGAGAGACATTTTTTCATATTTTTGGAAAAAATAAACCGGAAGTGACCTAAATACACTGGACGAAATACCCTAGATGATTCCCGGGGATTCTTTCTAAATTTTGGCGGAGATTTATATTGGCGAATTTTTCAATTTCGCCAAATTCGCCAAATTAAAGCGGGCGCCAAATTAACCCAATCTACAGTAGTTTTATTAGTTTGCATGGGGAAACTTTTGGAATCAAGATTCATCTTAATTTAGCTGAAATCTAAGGTTTGTCGAAAACGAAAGAATTTCGGATACCATCTTGAATGATCTGCAGTTAGAGTCATCCAGCTGTGGAACAGTGATTAGTATCTGCATCCCTGTCAAGTATTATTTCTTACAGGGTATTATAATCCCAGGGCTGTAATTAGTGTTGTCGCGATTAATCGATACATCGCGATATACATCGCCAAAGCTGATTCTGGCGATGCATCGATGTCTGAAACAAAACATCGATGTTTTTAAAAAAAAATAATTTGCTAAAAATCACCCGTTCTTATCTTATTTTGACGCAAATCGCTTACCTTTCTCATGTCTTATTTCATTTTCCAATGTTTTCTGATATTCTTTCGCTTTAAAACTGTTTTAGCTAGTCGAAATGAACCATTAATCTAAAAAAATACTTTACTTTCATTTCACCCTTACTAGAAGTTCCCGGATGTACCGGATGTTCGGTATTTTAGTGCATTATCGTTCGGTATTTCAGTGCACTTTTCTCGGACTTTTTCGCGATGTGCATCGATGTTTACTACTGAAAATTGCCGATGCATCGATGTACGATTATGGCACATCGCGACAACACTAGCTGTAATAGAGTGGGGGGGTGACTGACTCCTCATGAAGTTGATGGCCGTTTTTAAAATGGGGATTGATAAAAAACAGCCAAATTAAATCTCTGCCAATTGTTGAAAAAATCCCCAGGAATTTTGTTCAGAAACTTTTCCGTGTGTTACTTTGCACATTACTTAATTTGATGACCGTTTTAAATTGATGATTGGTAAAAACGGCCAAATTAAGTCTAAGATGCCAATTTTTAAAAAATCCCCAGGGATTTATTTAAAGTGCCCGATAAAGTATAAAATGCGCATGCGTCCAGGTGTTGATAAACTATAAATAGCGAAAATCCAGGGTTTGTCACCACAAGGTAAGCCAGGACGTGTTGAGAGAACAGCTAGTGTTGATATTGAATTTATATGTAGCCAGATAAGTTTCCTTATTGAAATTACATATGGTTATTAGCAATACTTTGTAGGTGCTAAATAATAAAATATTTAGAGTATATATGAGAGAAATTGGTCATTTCGAACCCGTTGAAAAGTTTGTGGCTCTCGGCTACACCGGGGAATTTACTTCCATGAGTACACACATAAATGTGGGGTTCCCCAAGAGGTACGCGACAAGGTGACCTGGCATCAAATGTGCGACTCCCTTATAAAAAAAACAACCATTTTTTCCGAAATTCAATGGTTTCATTGCATATCATGTAACCATCATTTCAACCTTGAAGATCAAAGGAAAAATCATTATATCAACCATTCAAAACCATTGCGCAACCATTACTTCACCCAATCTTTTCAACCCTTTTTACATAAAGTTGCAATGGTTACGCAACCATTTTTGAGAAACCATTGCAAAACCATTACAACCATTACCCATTGAAATTAACAGTTACAATTGATTGCAACCATTGATTGGGAACTGCAACTATTGCAACCATTAATCCTCAAAATGAATGCTCATGGGCAGACCTGTAGCCAGCTTTTGCACTTTGAAAAATTTACAAGGGGATTCATATTTTATAACTATGGCCAAAAATTGGCCAAAATCACTTGAAAAGTCCTCAATATGGTGAAAAACTGCATGAATTTGAAATAATGTTGGGCTATGGCTATGTTGATATTATTAGTATGTTTTTTAAGTAAGCATGTCTGTAGTCTGCAGTCTCTCACTCTCTTCTCTCATTAAAGAATTTTTTTTGGACTTTGTGTGTCTCGGATCTTGTTCTCAATGACAAGTCTGACGTCACTTCCAGAACAACAAAAAACATACACTTATTTGTATATCATTTAATCTAATCCCTAGGATTTTAAACACTTATTTCTATGACTATTGCAATCACTTATCAGGTATCGTTTTTAAGGTGAATGAAAAATGCAGAAATCTTGAAAGAAAATAAGGATTCTTTTTTGTTTCAATTCAATATTGTTTACTTTTGCTGGCTTATTTTCATTAAGAAAATTGTAGAAATACAAATTAAGATTTCACATTATTGAATTCAGATAAGGTACAAAGACAGAGCAGCAACAGTTGCACAGAGTGGCAACGGTTGAAATGCTAATTATAACCATTGAAAAGCTAATTATAACCATTGAAATGCTAATTATAACCCTTGAACAGCCAATTAGATAAAGTTCTGTTTTGATAGTTTAACAAAATCATTACAAATTAATTCTTTTTTAAGAATTATTTTTGTCTGAATAATTTATTTTTGAATTCCCCCTACCATAATAATGACACAATCATAGTAAATTAGATGAGATTCACATTAAGATTTTTGAAGCCAGCTATGGTCTTGATGAATTCTCTTTTTTCTAGCGATAATTAACTTAAGTTCATAATACAATTTTGAGACATATCCAACTTCAAGTTCATGCTCATAGGCATAAAACCATGTCTAGTAAAAGGAAATATCATCTATTCAAGTGTTTAAGATATTTCCCTTTCAGTCATTATGATTAAAGTTTAATCCAATTAGTAATTAATATTTTTTGATTTGTAAATGATATTGAAGAAAAGACAATCAATCCGGCTCTTGCCTAATCCAAAGCATAAATACAAGGATGTTGATGTTTCAAAATCATGTTTTGGAAACATTTTCAGTTTAATCTACTTAATTGTTGTAATAAGACTTCTTTGATATTGAAGAAGCAGTTATTTTGGCACCAGCTTAATCCAAATCATAAATAAGAGGCAGGAAATACAATCTTTGATGTTTCATAATATGTATGTATGTACTTTTAGTCAGAAACATTTTTTTGTTGAGACAGGAGAAAAACAGAAAATTTCCACAGAACGTTTTGGTGTATTGTTCAGTAAAACTGAATTAATCAAGAAGGAATTTCCAAATAAACTACAAGAATGACCAGGGCCAAAAATGAATACACTTGATTCTCTTCAATAAAATAGAAATACTATCTCTATGAACATGAACTTGAAGTCATATCCAGTGCCAAAAATGAATAAACCTTATTCTCTTCAATTAATTAGAAATAATATGCCCATAAACATGAACTACTGTATTTTGAAACATAATAATGCATTCAATTTACTTGTATGTTCTTCATGTTTCAAATTGTCTCATTCTTAAACTAAATAATTTCCACAATATGGTTGAAAATAGTTGCAACCATTTGGTAAAATGCAACTTAAACAATCAATGGTTTGTAATGGTTGCAAATGATTCCATAATTTCAATGATATGCAACCAAAGTTTTCAACCAAATTTTAATGATTGCAATGTAATGGTTGGAAACCATTTCAATTGGTTGCAGCAATGGTTATGCAATGATTTGTAATGGTTGCGCAATGGATTTTAACGGTTGAAATTCGGAAAAAATGGTGTTTTTTTTCCTAAGGGCTAAATGCTACTATCGAGAAGATAAAATAACGAATACGACAATAAGTTATTGCATGTGACAATTCCAAGCCTTCATTTCACTGAAGTATTTTGAAGTGAAAATAGGATTTTTGTTTTGATACATGGTTTCAGATGAACGTAACTTTATTCTGACAACTAATCAAAACTGAACAAAATTGATTGTACGTAACAGACAATTTATTGTTTTACAATGTTTTGATTGGCTAAACGAATGAAACCAACAAATTATGACATGTAAAATGACAATTTTGAAATGTAAAATTTAAAAGTGACAAACACAACCTCCCTATCCACTCTTTGGGAGCCCTAGTAAATTAGTAATATGTACATGCAGCAGTGGTAGTGTGCAGCTTATTATCACACTACGCTTTGTATTCTAAAGCCTGTTGTTTGTAATAACACTGTTCACTCAACGTATGTTTTGTGTGTGGGCAGTCAACGATAATCATTGTTTTATCCCGGTTATATGACCTCGGCAATTATAACAAAACCGTACTAAACGCAAATAAGAGAAAGCTTTCACACACATATAAAAAATGAACTAGTCTAATCCGCCAGTATAAACTCTGTGCTATACGTAGCCGGGTCAGGCGCACACTTTAAGTGACTTTACTAGGTGTTACGTTGCACAGAGTGCACAAACTGAGAGTCTGAAGAAACACTGATAAAATGTCAATTTTAAACTAGTTTCGAACATAGTCACTGCTGGTTCAGACAAAACAATCAGATACCAGGAGAGATGAAATTAAGTTGTTTTTGATGACCTGCGAATTGAGTGATACGATTGATAATGATCAGTATGGCATTTTTTGCATCTTAGTTCAAGCTATCAACATTTTACTGATCATCATCATCATCCACCAAATAAAATAGCAACCAAAATTTGCCTAATCTGCCAAGTTAAATCGTGCCAGATTAATGGTAGTATAATTAATGATAGTACGATAACTGCAAGTATACATGTTATTATTAGATGATAAATACTAGACTTGAAGTGAAATCATTAATCAAATTGAGAAAACTGAAATGGCTAGACTAAAGCCCTGTATACACTATAAATAAATTTTCAACCGTTTCAAGGTGTCAATCAGTTCAATAGTTTCATTGCTTGCATCATTTCCTTGTGTCATTTCGAGCATTTCAATCGATTCTCCTTTGAAATAAATTTAAAGTTTCGCTGTTTGCACCTTTCAAGCATTTTAATCTAACGACCAATTCATGAGGAAACGGGCAAAACGATTGAAAAGAAAAACGAACATGCATGTTATTTCGTTTCAAGCATTTCGCCAGGGCTTTTCAACTGTTTCAATCAATTCAATTGATACGTCTTGAAAATGAAATTACTGTTTCGCTGCTTGCGCCTGTTTCAAGCATTTTTGGCCTTTCACTAAAGATGTACACACATATACATTGTAAGCATAGAATATAGTCAGTGATGTACAATCTAAATTCTATGTCTCATATACTGTACATATTGATGAAAACATGTGTTCAGCATAGAAGGAAATACTTTTTCGCATAAAGCAATGAAAAGTGCATGGTTAAACACAAATTATATGATAGCAATTGCATATAGAGTATGTTATTTTGTTACTTTGGTAAAATATCTTATAATTTAGCAATGATAAGACAGGTTCTGGAAACATTAATTAATGGAATATTTTATGTTTCCAGGACCTGTTAAATTCCCAACAAGAAATCTAATCCCAGGGTCCAGTTGTTAGAAATAGCAGAGGAAATCTAATCCCAGGGTCCAGTTGTTTGAAAAGGCAGAGGAAATTATAATCCCAGGGTCCAGTTGTATAAATCCAGAGGGCCAGAGAATCATTATACTAGTTCCTGGTCAGTGGAAACAGCAGAGAAATTCATTCATACCAGGATTTGGTTGATTGTTCATCATCCTAAGATCAAAATATCAGAGTTTGGTTGTTCAAAATCAAAAACATTATGGATTCAACCTTCCTACAATCAACATTAGAATGCTGTTAAATAATTCATCAGCTAAGGATGTCAAAGAGGATTGAAATTATTTAAAGAGTTTGAACGATCATTTTTAGATATTTGACCACAGATTGTAAAACTAATTATGTTTTTCACTCTGAAAGAAATTGTGAGATGGTTTGGCATGAGTGCATTTGAAATATTGGTGCATTTAATCGCCATTACCACATTCTCAATCATACTACCATTTAAAGTCGAAAACATCATCACAACCTCATGGTGGCTAATATTTGCGCCATTATTCATATGTGATGGACTCAACACATATTTCCTCATTATTGTCGTTGTGCGCTTATATAATGAAAGAAACTTTCGTACATCTCTCGTTAGGTTCTGCTCATCAATCCTGTTCCTGATTCTACTGTTTGTGTTCAAGTACATTATGTGCCAGAAGTTGGAGAATTCATCAGCTGTGACATATTCGGAAGTTTTCTCTCCACTCTTCCTGGTGCTTATTATACTCATTGTGAGGGCATGCCAACATAATCTGCATTAAAAGACATTTACTGGTATGACAGAACAGTGAAATATGTGTAACATGAAATCACTTAGACCAGAGGAGAGGACTGTTCACACTACAAGGTTTTCATAATACAGAGATTAAAATTTGTGCCTGCTTGAGAGTAGGGGTCAGATAGTTTAACAAAATTGTGGAGCTCCAACTGTTATTGGTCTACATGTTTCGTTTTGTTCAGAAAAATCGTTCAGTTCAGTTTTTTAACGGAACATTAATTATGTGAAAATTGCCATTTGTAAAGTTAACGCACATTCTCTAAAATAATGTAGATTTAGAAAATGTCTACTGCGGATGTTGAAAAAAATGCTGATCGATGAAAAAGATATCACTGTCAAAATATCAGATTCAGTTGATAACATATATGTATTGTTTTTCATTCTTATGATCATAGCAAAATATGATAATAGTGCGATAAGAACTGGATGACCGTCTGACCCCTAGTAGAAACTGTATGTGAATGTCATTCCTATTTGCTGAAAACACAGTTCAATGATTTCTCCAGTGTTGAACAACACTGACAGTGTGCTGTATGCTGTTAATGATTTAAGAAATATAGACCGAAAAGCAGGGGTAATATTGTCGAATACACCCAACAGGGCTAGGCACAAACGTTTTCTGTACCCTGAGCGACCCAAGGGAGTGAGGGGTTCGAAAGCTTTTGTGCCTAGCCTTAAGGGGTGTATTTGACAATATTACACCTGTTCTGAGGTCTATATTACGATTCGAACATGAAAACTCACCAAAATATTCACCGGATATTCATTATGGTCCGCCATTACTACGGTCCGTCGTTATGACATCACACATTTCACGTATTACCAGGGGCAATGTTCGCGAATATACCCCGGGTGAAATGTTGACTTTGTTTACAGTTTATAGAAGGTGTGAATACAGTCATGTTCGAATTATGAATAAAACTTCAGGTGTTCACTGCATTTAGAAATATAATGTACACTTTGTATGCTGATTGAATCATGCAATAAATTTAGAATGGTGTTATCGTGAAAAAAATTAGGGTATTATGTGATTTATGTTTGTGTATGGTGTTAGGATGAGAGGGAAAACAAGGTTTCATTTGAGCATTCAAACATTCGATAAAGAATAATGTAAAGGTGAACTTTACTGAAGTAGAAGAAAATGAGTTTGAAGAATCCTTAATGTGATTTAGTGGCTGATATAATGTCTACCCTGCACTGTTAGTAGCTAAGAGAGGGAGGAGTCGTGGGTTAATATGTAACTTTATAACAGTTTTAGCAATATCATGTGTGTATCATGTACTAAACTTGTAATTCTGCATTACAACAAAACTGTGTTTAGAAAAGTAAGATTCTGGGTCTGGTTCTTTCAAAAAAAATTAGAAATCAGGGACAAAGTGCTAAAATGAAGTCTCACTTTTGATCTTCATAGTATTTTCAATGGATAAATAAGTACCTGATCTTACATTTGACTCCAAAAATAGCTCAAACAGACCACATCAGACTTGACACTGGATCATGAAAAAATATTTTTGATCTATCAATTAATATGTGTCAAGTTTTTAGCAATGCCATAGAAAGATGGCATTGTTGTTTGCATTGATTATCCATTCATTTTTGATTTTCAAGCATACGCCATCTTTTAATCCAAGAGTTATTTAAAACATACATTTTTTGAAAAATGGTAATTCACTTTTTTCAATCTCTGAACTTCAAATGCCGTTTTCTATGCGAATAATTTTTTTTTCACTTCAGTATTATCCCAATTTAAAGTTTTTATCATATTTGATTGACTGTGTGAGTGACATGTCTCAAATAATATTTTGTCCTTTTTCCTTCAAAAATAGGTGCATTGCCTGTTTAAGCAATTATTTACTCTTTTCAAGCCTAGGCTAAGTAAATACAAAAAGGTTTGTAATGTGAGCTGTTGATTTTTTATGTCACCACCAGAAGTGCTGACATATTCTTATAAGTCTCCAACATTTCGCAATTAAAGACATGAACTCTATTGAATTCAGGTACAAGCTTAGGCCAGGATTCTGACGGAGTGGTGCCATCTATAAGTTATGCCGCCAAAGTTCAAGCGCCACCTAGAGTCTGGAGACTATAACAGGGCCCGAAACTCTGAAAAGGTAAGAGGAAAATGACAGTTTTAAAATTCTTGTATCACGTGATTATTATTAAAGTGGCTATTGTTATACTGTACTTCGAATCCTTAAAAAAATTTCTTGGCAAGAGTGGACCATTTCGTGTATATATGTATTACTAATACGCCCTTCAAAACTTTGTGTGAGACCCCTCACTCAAGAGGGTAAGGAATTTGACATGCAATATTATCCTGGGGGTAGGATTTTGATAGAGAACTTTGAGAATAAGTAATTTAATTTGCATGTGGTCGAGAGTGGAGATTTCTGACTGGAATTCTTTCATTTTAAAGTATTCATTAGAAGAAGTTCAACACTAAATAGGAAACTCTTGAAACATTGAAATAAAAGATAAGATGTATGTGCTCAGTTAGTGAAAACCTTTGTCTGATACATTCAAAATGCCTGCATTTTACAGTATTTTGGCTGCATTTTAACATTCAAGACCAACATTTTCTTCTTTGATGGCATATTTGAACTATGTGTGTAAACCCCATTGACACAATGTTAGAAAACCTTTTAATGTTCATTTTCTCTTTTAAGTTTAACTATTTTAATGTTAAATCACAGTCTACATGTCAAAAGATCATTTAGTTACACATTCTGATACTCAGACCATCTCTGCCTTGCAATTAATGTTCTAAAAGGAAACTGATAGGAAGCTGTGACAGCTCACGATGTTAGTTGAGTTTAACATAAATCCAGATGGAAATACTTAATGAATCAAGAAATTAAGTGACTTTTAGCCAGGATTCTCTATACTATCAATAGTATTCTGGCCCTACCAGTACCCATGCTGCCATCTATTTATCCATATTTATATTGACTATATGTATATCTATATAGCATTAAATGGTCTATTACAATCACACAATTTCCATCACAAAGTTGAGGATATTCTAATATAAGATATGATAGGGATATTCTCAAAGATGTTTTAATTTGTGTGGCTCTGTGTTACCCATCTTTAGACAAGGCATTTGCTTTCTTCAACTCCTGTTGAGTCTGTTGTATTTCTTTGTCATACTGTAATAAATTCTTGTACGTGTCAAAATGGTCCAAGAAAAATGCTGGTGCGAATGATTTACTCATTTTTGTTGTATCCCTTGGTATATTTTTTCCATTAAACCATGTTCCAGTCTTAATCAAGTTTGAGATATATGTGAGATTTCTTTTTTCAGGATAATCCCCCCACCTCGGGAAATCTGCGTTTATTGCTGATGTAAGTTTTACTAGGATATCTTCAGGACTGAAACACCAGGAGCAGTGCCAACCAGCTGGGTGCATTGTGGACCCCAACACCCAAATGTCCACATCTCCATATAGCTTGCGATATTTCATGACATTATTGAGGTTTTTAGATGACGACAGTTCTTTGGCAGCCCCTCGAATATTGTTCGATTTAGCATCAAGAAGCCTTTTCAGCATATTCAATGAACAAGCCGATGTTACTACTGTATTGACGTTTTTTTTCCAACAAAACGTATATACTGACCATCTTAGTGAAAATGATATACTGTAGGTTCTGGATAGCCTTCATAAAGTTTTAGAAATACAGTGTGTCCCAAAAAAAAGGAAACCAGCAATAGATTGCTTATTTCTCAAATTTGAATAATAATAGGAAAATTTCACAGCTACCATCTGATAGGTTATGGTGTCCTCTTTCTTATGATACCAAAGGTGTCTATTTTCCTTCACGGATGACTGAGTTATGAGGGATTTAAGTGACCATGTCAGAAATGAGTTTGTACCACTTTCAGGCAAGTCAATTTCACCATCATAACAAAATAAAAGTGATAAGTAACAACAAACATCAGGATATCACTCTTTTACTCATTTATTCCAATTAAAATTAAACATATCATATTTAACACCCCTTTTAAATCCCAATGTCCATTCAAAGTTGTTTTAACCCCAGTGTCCTTCAACATGACCCCCATTCCTTTCAATGCAAATGTCTGCCTTTGATCTCATCGCACGTACTGCATCCCTGATGATGACACTGGGGTTAAAACAACTTTGAATGGACATTGGGATTTAGAAGGGGTGTTATATATGATATGTGTAATTTTAATTGGAATAAATGAGTAAAAGAGTGATATCCTGATGTTTGTTGTTACTTATCACTTTGTTATGATGGTGAAATTGACTTGGCTGAAAGTGGTACAAACTCATTTCTGACATGGTCATTTAAATCCCTTATAACTCAGTCATCCATGAAGGAAAATAGACAACTTTGATATCATAAGAAAGAGGACATCATAATCTATCAGATGGTGGCTGTGAAATTTTCCTATCATTATTCATATTTGAGAAATAAGCAATCTATTGCTGGTTTCCTTTTTTTGGGACACCCTGTATTACTACTTCCTTTGAGACCAATTCATCAGCATCAGAAAATATGAAGAAGTCATCCGGTCGCATTTGGTTCAGTCGAGGAAGTCCCAAAATAGAGGCAGCATTTTTAATGTAGGTCTCAGCAGCACAACCATCCTTTCTCCCTGAGGGAGGAAATGTATCCAAGAAAATATATAATAACTTTGGAATATATTCTGCAAGGTATCCTTTCTTTAGTTTTTCTAGTAGTCTCAGTGGTTTAGGATCTCCGTGAGAGGAATAATTTGACTCAACAATTAGGAAAACATCCACATGTTTATAGTGCTCATATAATCTCGCTTCTAGTATATCAAATTCATGGTTAAATGTAAAGGCCATCAATACCCGCCTTGGATTCAGTCGGCGTTTTAATTTTGATTTCAGAGATGAGTATGTCTGTGCGTCTGCTACTTCTAGTGGTATTCCGCAATCTTCTCCTGTGAATCCATCTTTGCAGATGCAAGAATTGTTTTCTCTTTTGATAGTGCCATCTATATAACAGACAACTCCACTAACTGTATCGAAATACAAGTTCTTGCTATCTTGGAGTTGAAAAGTCCGATTGAGAAAGTAAATGCAGCGGCTGTGGTGTTCTTGAAGTTTTGAGATTTGTATCCAAAAAATAATGTATATAAGTAAGCATGCTGAAATACCGGTAGTTAAAATTGAGACCTTTCTGAAATATTTCATATTTAGTCGTCTTATCTCAATCTAACTTTATAACAGATAAGTTGATGTATATGTATGTTGTTCTAAAATGTGTGACTGTATGCCTCATTAATACAACATTAGTGTCTCATATTTGCTCAAAATGTTGATGAAAACGACAAAATTAAAACAGTTTTTATGTTAAAAATTATGCAAACGCTCCTTTGTCCAATTGAATCATCAAAAATGATTGAAAACAATTGAATGATATAAGATGTTTGCGTTGATAGCCATTCAAACACAATACCTGAGATTTTATTGTATTACAATAGATAATAATAGATAATGCATTTTCCCATACACGTGGAAGTTCTCATCAATGAAGAACATTTGGCACTTGATCGATACGCTCTGCTGAAGAATAGTTCAAAATATTTGAGTATCATATGATTTGCCTTGATAGTCACTCAAACACAATATCTGAGATTTTATTGTCTTCCAACAGACAATACATCTTCCCTTACACCTTGAAGTTCTCATAAATGAAGTTTGAAACCTGTCATTTGCAATCTTCAAATGTAACTGAATGATCTTTCAAACACATATATAATGGGAATGCTCTAAAAATCCTTCTTCAAGCTGCTGCAACATTGACCTGCCACCTATTGGGTGTTCAAAAATTTTTGGAATAAAAACATTGTAAAATCCCTGCCACCTTCGATTTCTCAATCCATATATAATTCCAAGGTGAAGTTCTTAAGTTTTATAGACAAAGTAATGTTTGCAGAAACTGATTTGTCCCAAGAGAAGTGAAGACAGTTCTTGAATTCAAGCAAATCGTTTCAAACATGAATATAAAGAATAGTTCATGTTCATTAATTATGAGAAATTTTTAAAGGACCATTATCAGTTTATCGGCTTATTGGCTGATTTTTATTACTATTTTACAATAACGATTTTTGCTACTTAAAAGTTGTAGAGCAATTTGAATAATATAAGCAAGGCACACTGTTTAATGACACTTTTGGTAGAAGACGGTCATTTTAATGCATTTTACTATAACTCGAAAAGTAGTGGAGCGATTTTGTTCATATTTGGTATGTGAATACTATAGGCATGGCACCGTGTGTAATGACACTTTTGGTAGAAGGTGGCCATATTGAAAAATGGCCGCCATCTTAACATATTTTACTATAACTCGAAAAGTAGTGGAGCGATTCTGTTCATATTTGGTATGTGAATACTATAAGCATGGCACACTGTCTACTGACACTTTTGGTAGAAGGTTGCCATTTTGAAAAATGGCCGCCATCTTAACGTATTTTACTATAACTTGAAAAGTAGTGGAGCGATTCTGTTCATATTTGGTATGTGAATACTATAAGCATGGCACACTGTCTAATGACACTTGTGGTAGAAGGTGGTCATTTTGAAATATGGCTGCCTTTTTTGCTATATACTTTGTTTGTAAAAATGCCAGCCATTCGATGGGATTTGATACGCTTTGGCGTTGCTGTTGTCTAGTTTATAAAACAATTAGCGAACCCCCCCCCCTCCACTTTGTTAAACAGTTACAAACCAATAATAAATTCAATGCCCCTTCCCTCATTTTTGTCAAAACTATCAGTTGATTCGATGGCCAGGATTCTACCAGAAGTCATATTGAAAACATCAAAATGGGCATCATTCTCATTGGCTTTTAATTATTTGGGTAATTGTGTCATTAAAAAAAGCTCTTTTTGGTTAACTAAAATCTTATAACAAGATGTTTGAGAACCTTTTATTCATAAATTAATTTAAACACATTTCGTGGCCTTTCTGCGAAGAATCTTATGACCATATATGGTATTCCCATTTTAAATATTGATACAAAGAAAGTACTGCACATGTCTTTCAACATTCATGAACATTAGCCTACTCGTCTATACTGAAAGTTGGTTGCCATTTTCTATGTTAAGTAAATGGAAAGTATATATATATGGCTATAGCTATCATATTAGGAGAGAAATGGTCTGGCAAGGAATATTTCTTTAAAGAGAGCAGATTCGAGACAGGGCTCAGAGGTGAGGGATATTCAACACGCTTTTTTGCTTCCAGGGTGGGGAAATTGACTCATTCATTTAGACCCAAGGAAAAGAAACATTTTTCTCAAATCCCTGCCCATGTCCGTGTCTCAATCAAATCTTTGAATGGTGCATACATCGTATATTCTGTATTATTTGCAGAATTGTTCAGTAATAGCAGAAGTGAAAACCAGTTTTTGTTCTTGTTATACAGAATAATAATACCATATAAGAATCCCTCCTTTTTTCATAATAAGATCTGAACTTTATGCCCGGCATGGTACATTCTCAAACCAAATATAAGCTTGTTATTCTGTATTATTTCATGGTCAATGAATAGATATACTTGAATCTTGTGTGTTTGTTCCAGAAATATGCATTTTCGGTAAGCTTAATTTTTTTTGTTCGCGTTCCGTTCATGTTTATCTTCTTGTTTAAATGCTTATATTGTAGACATAATCATTTATGACTTATGGTGTCCAGGTATCAACAGTTGGGGAATAACAATTTGTTAGGGGGAATGGATTTGTTAGTGATTTGTGTTGATATTCAAGTGAAAGACAAATCAACTTTTAAAATTTTGTTAGATGAGGGGAGGGGATCAAACAATAATGAAATTAACTTTGTTTATCAACGACTGTTGATAATTGAACACTATCCCCTAAGATAAATATGCTAACCGAATAATTCATATTTTGGGTTGTATTAGATAAAAGTTAAGTAGGAAAGGGACCTCTTTTATAAATGTGTGCATGAAGCATAACAATGTTTGAAGGTACAACTTAGAAGAGTGACAGGTCATTGTTCTTTCTAGGGCACCTGGAAAAATTGATGTTACAAATTCCTGCAAACTAATTCTCCAATTGTTTTCTGCAAACTTACTAAGAGAGATGTTTTGTTTACTTCATATCAAAAGTGTATATTCAGATAGCTGATTGATTTGTTTGTTTCAATGTTAGCATTTTATATTTTCCAGAGTTCCTTATTGGATGCTGGGTCAGAAGATGAGGAGGATTTCTTTCTCACGTAAGTTGAATATAGTTACTGTAAGTACACTTAATTTGGCTCCTGTTTTAATTTGCAGATTTCAATCCACCAAATTAAAAATGCACCAATTTCTAGATTAATTTTGGTAAATCCCCAGGGTATTGGTAATTTGCTAAGATTTCACTTATTTAACTCATTCACAATGAAGCAATGAAGGACGTGATATGGCGTCATAAAGCACATGCGTTGACTACGAAGGACAAAATCAAAAACCTCTTCATTTATCTTCATATTTCATAGTGTCTGCAAGGCAATGAGTGCTCAAAATAAGGGTTTAATCATGTGTATTGATTTGTTTTTTCAGGGGGCCAAATGCGAGGCCAAGAGAGCTAGGAGATAGTAAGATTGCAAGGTTTGTACGGTTGTTTCTTAGTAAACCATTTGAGCAACCTTCTGACAGTACCATGTGGGTTTGATAAACCATTTGAGCGACCTTCTGTACCATTCTGGTTTGATCTGCATTGGGATGGGTTGGACTAGCACAGAATATCTTGATTTGTTTTCATTAATCAATGTCACTGTTGTCAACTCAGACTTTTATTAAAATACACATGCAGATAATGTATGGTGTCAAAATGATGATGGCAGGGAAAACCAAAGTTTATTTTATTATCATGTTTAAATCCCCCCTCCTGATAGGGAAATTTTAAAAAGTTAATTTGCTTTTCACTTAGTGTTTTCAAAAAATCATCATTCTTTACAAATGAAATTATTAATTGCCCCCACTTCTCCCTGACAAAATTATTCTTCTTCAAAGCGCAACCATTGACATTTTGAATTCATCCCTGGTAAAATCAATTTGTGGTTTTAAAGGGTTCAAGGTCAGGTTCATGATGTCATAGATGTGATGAAGGATAACATTGGCAAGGTGATGGACAGAGGAGAAAGGCTGGAGGACCTTCAGGATAAATCAGGTGAGGATGTACATACAATTTGGCAAGCCATTAGCTCTGTGGTCTTGAACTGTTGCTGAACCAATCAAACCCGTGAATCGGTGTGGGTGGTCTTGCAGGCCCATAGCGCTGGCCAAAATTCTTTCAAAATCATGCAGTTTTTCACAATTTTGAGCATTCTTCAAGTGCTTTTGTCAAATATGAACCCCCTGGATTTATTTGAAAATTTAACCCCCCTTGGCAAAAGCCAGCTGTATGACAATCTACTCTGAACCAATCAGACCATAAATATTGAAGCCCCTCTCAAACATTTGTAAACACAATATCGTTGAACATTTAAGATGACCTGTCCTCCAATGCAAACATGTTCCGCAGTCGTGCTACTGACTTGAGACGTAATATGTGGTGGAAAGAGTGCAAGGTATGCTCCTTAAACATTCTTATATTACGCCCCCTGTCATTCTTGTAATATAGGGGCTCATACTAGTAATTAAAATATATCAGGAAACAGTACACCGGATACTTCTAAGATGAAGGCACTTCATATGAGCAAATTGACATTAAGTACGCAACAAAAATATCAATGGTGATGAAAGAAATGATTGAACTATGTGAAATACACACATGTGGCCTCATCACTTATTGACAAGTAAATATAAACGCTTTTGTTTTTTCAGATGAGAATCTTACTTGCAGTTGTTGTGGTTGTCATTCTTCTCATTATTATAAGTAAGTGGAAATGCATCAGGAATGTAGCCAGGATCCAAAACTGGATGAGACACATTGAAAATCTGAAGTCAAAAAGGATTGTCATTCTTCTTTTGAACATACAGGGTGTCCGGAAAGTAAAGATACAAATGCTCCAATTTCATTAGATTTACCTGTTGTGAGATGAAATTGCTACAGATTGTAGAATGTCATTGTAACAATTTATCCTGCAACTGTCATGACAAATTGTTTAAAAATAAAAAATTTATGGTTGTTATGGTAACAGGAGTCGCGGGTATGTGGAGCAGCGTCACAATTATGTTTTATAATTCTTTTCTCCTGTTCATATCATCTTGACACTCCGTCGTCTGTTGCTATTATGCATCAAATTATGTACCACAACAGCAAAAGGATTGGCACTGTAACATTATTTAATCATTTGACATTACTACTGTTATCCAGTATTATGTATTTTCCCCCTTTATCTAAACATTCTTGGTGCATTTTGATCGGAGATTCAAAGACCGGACAAAACCTTTGCGTCTCTAAGATTGCTGATAACATTGGTTTCCAGCCGAGTCTCATTTTTATGTTGAACTTCTCACAAATATTGCTTTAACATATTCATTAATGTAGAAGTCTAACTGGACATTATCAGGGAAATATGGGCCATTGTACAAAAAGGTTAATGTCAAGACATTCAATTGTAAGATTTGCTTTCTTTGCTTTATGCATTGGAGCATTGACTGTGGAGGTGGACTATTGACTTTCCTATTAATCTAGGGACCCTTTTTCTAAGCACTTATATACTCTTTTTCTTTGATTATACTTGTGACATTACATATTAATACAATATGTTAACATCAGCATTGTTAAGAGAAAACTAAAATTAAAATTACAAGAAAAATTACGTACAGATATTGAATCACAACCCAAATTGAGGACTTACCTAACTTTTAAACATGACTGTCCAATAGAACAGTATTTACTTACATCATCATTGACAAGGGGTGAACGCTCTTTAATAGCTCAGTTAAGAACTGGTATACTTCCTTTAGCAATAGAAACGGGGAGATTTACTCAACCGAAAACTCCAGTAAATCAAAGACAGTGCCAAATTTGTAACTCAAATGAAATTGAAAATGAAACGCATTTTGTATTTGAGTGTTCGCATTATTCAGAAGATCGAAAATCTTTCCTTCAAGAAATCAAAGACAATTCCTTTAAAGATATCTTTGAAAATAAAAAATATATTAAATGCTTTGGAAAGTATTTGCAAAAAATATTCTATATAAGGAAAAGAGTTTTATTTAAAAATCAAAATCAATAATGATGTTGAGCTGAACTGCACTAATTTTATATTTGTATTGTTAAAATTATTATGTATTAATATTATATAACTTATGTAAAATGTGTCTCATAAGCCCAGGTAGGGCTGGCTATCTTAGATAGGTGACACGTAAATAAATGAATAAATAAATAAATAAATAAATAAAATAAATAGTTGTGATATGTATCAATGATACCGTTATACTGAAGAAAATATCATGGCAGCAAGAAAACAATATTGAACAAAACAAAAAACTGATAAGAAATACAATAATAAACACAATTTCAAATGGCTATATTTTAGCAGTTTATCACAATTTAGCAATATCCTGGAACTGCTCCGCATACCCCTCACCACCGTAACCATGACAACCGTAACTTTAACACATTTAGACTATATGTTATAAAAGTTGGTAGATGTATTGTAATGTAGTTCCTCTACAATCTGTAGAGATTTCATTACAAAAAAACTAAATCTCTTAAAATTAGAGTATTTGTATCTTTACTTTCCGGACACCCTGTAGACTTTATAGTTGGAAACAATATGAAAAGTTTTTAAGTTGCATGCCTTTGTCATTTATGTAAATTGATTCAATAACATATAATAAAGAAACCGTATAGCAAATGTGACCAGGCCCATAGCCAGGGGAGGTTCAAGGGGTTCAGACAACCCCCCTCCCTCCCCTGATCAAAATTTGAAAGAATAATTGCACAGAGTACTGATATGCAGAAATTCTATAAAGTATTTTTTTTTTCAGTTCCAATAATAATTCACAGTCAGAAGAAGGATCCATAGAGGATACAAAGACCTACAGAAGATATGCCAACGTTCCATGGATGAAATCTGGATCTAGAAATCATAGTTATTTATTTATTGTTATGTTAAACTGGGAAATTATTACAAGAGGAGTCTAGAACAAAGGTGCAATTATCTAATAGCTGATCCAGAAATGCATAATGATCATGCAAAATGCCAATATATACATTTTGCATGTTAATATGACATCGTAAGAAATAGTTTTATTATGTCACCACAAGTGGTGACATATTGTTATAGTCTCCAACTTTTGAGTGGATGGTGTTCAGCAGTTTGCATTCAGAGTTTGGTGGTTCGCATTCTGAGTTCAGCATCTGTAACAAATGGCAGGTTGTGATATTTTGCGTGTAAATGCCTTGTTTTGTTTGTGCTGTATCTGATCTGATTTAGTTCTGTACGTTGCATCTTATCTGTCCTGTGTGCACTATGTGATGTTATGATTCTGGTTCTACTATGGCTTATGTCTTTTATTTGCTTCATTTATGGACACACTATGTCTCATGCAATTATTGGTTTGATAGGGACCAGGTCATATTGATGATGTACATCTGCAATCTAATTACAGTAAAACTTGAATTTCCAAACATCTCTCTGATCCAAACACCTCTCAATGTAAACACATTTTTGGTCCCAGTTGTTACTGTGAATATAAAGATGTCCCAAGAGAACAATGAATGACAAAGTTTACATTACTTCTGGGACAACCCTCGTACATGTACTCAATATGATTAAAATTAAAGTATTTTTTATGGTTCCCTGGTCCCTTATTTTTTATTGAGTTACAGTATGGTCATTAAAAGGCCTCTTTCTCATTGCTTACAAGTCATTTATATAACATGCTAAAGTTAGAGCATATAGTGCATTACTTCTGGGACAACCCTCGTACATGTACTCATTAAAATATACAAGTATACATGTAACACAATTATATTATGTAAATAAAATCAGAAATGGAGGTTAATCAAAAACTATATTGTAATATTAGATCACGCTTATCATAGCCTAATTGTGGTTTAAACAATTATACAAAAATGTCTTCTGGTAAGAATTGTGCTCAAAAAATGATAATTGTCCACACACAGATTTACTCTCTATGATATATTGTAAAATATTACTTACCCATGACCTACATTTGTAAAATAAGGGTTACAAATAGTTGTGAATTTTTTCAGTGTACTACAGGGTGGAGCATTATATTGTCACCTTTCCAAATTATTTTTTTCTTATCAAATTGTTTGATAGGTATTGATAATCACATTGACTTTTTTATTGCCTGTTATAAAAATTTTGGCCAACCCTGTATAGTGCAATTATTTGAAACCACTCGAACATTTTTGATGATTTAATTACTGGAAAAAATAAGTTATTGTTTTGTTGATTATAAATGACAAAAATTGTATGTATGTAATGTTATTTATAATATTATTTTAATTCAAACAGTCAGTATAGCATGATCAAACATATTCAATAAATGGTATTTTGTATTTATTCAAGATCAGACTAGCATGTTGACTGTCTAGATATGTATAAATGACAGGGAGGGAGAAATTGTACATAAACTTGTTGATATTGAGTATTGACATGTTGATTGTTAAATTAACTTTTAGATGGTACTATATCTGTATATTACACATTGTTTTTATGTATGTTGGAATTACATATACTTTAAGTATAGAAGCTCGTTACTGGTTACAAACAAATGAATATGAAGCTCAGATGAATACTAAGGGTTGATAATGTAGCATAGAGATTGTAAATTTTGCCTTACATGGCCTATCTGATGATTTAAACATGACTGTATTCACGCCTTCTATAAACTGTGAACAAAGTTCGTATTTCACCCAGTATTTATTCATCGATACAGTACCTGATCATTACTAAGTGTTTCGTTCAGTGCACCGGAAGTAGGAAATGAAGTGTTGATTTTGCAAAATGTTGATGAGTTTTCATATTCGAATCGTTATATAGACAGATCAGGTATTAGCCTATATGGAGTAATAAATACCTTAGGGCAAGGCACAAAAGCTTTTGTACATAAAATGTTTGCATCTAGCCCTGCAGTATTTAATCGTCAATATAATACCTGCTCTTCAGTCTATATTTTTAGATATCATATATTCAATTTCCATTGGAATTTGACTTTCTACCTATTTGATAATTTCACTCCATGCAGTATGTACAAATGTTTATGTGAATTTTAGAGCAATTTGGGCTAGGAGGGGTGTGTACATATGGTACTAGAGAATGTACGAGCATGAGGATCGTTCAATAAATACTAACGACTACTGTCATTTTCATGTTAATCAAAGTGATGTATGCCTAAATAAATCAGTCTGTTGTGCCCTAATGGATTAAGTAACAGAAACAAAAGCTTCTGTTTTAGTATTTATTGAGTGACCCTAGTAATATCAAATGAGAGGAGATGACATGTATGTTATAATTCTGGTGTAAAAATATAGAAATATTCTTCAATTGAAATTATTTTTCTGTTTGAATTCTTGTCAACTCGCATACTTGCCTCCCAGTTTGATTATCAGTCATAGAAAACTTCATATTTTGAAAATCCAAGATGGCTTATTTGGTCAAACCTGCTCATTCATTAGGTTGCATTCGAGAATTCAACTACTGGCTGATGGTTTAACCTACTTTTTTATGGCCAACTCATTTAGATATGAATGAAATAGTGGCAGGTACTATTCATATTTTAATGAATTGGTCATAAAATAGTATGTGAATCCGCCAGCCAACAGCCAGCAGTTAAAGGATAGATATCGGTATGGTGAACTGTATTCAACAATGTTTTTTCTCTTACTTATTATTGAAAACATTCTGTAAAACCTTTATGTCTGTATGTAATGTTGACTGATTGACAACAATTTAATGCGAAAATTATTTATATGTATTTTATATAAATGTTTTTGTTAACAATTTTGTTTTTTAGTGCAATTGTTTTTTGTTCCTTTCTACCAATTCTTGAGAATGAAATAAAATGTCTTTCCAAACCTCGTTGGAACAATAGCAATACAACATTTTCTTAGACCTCTCAATATTACAGTTATACGAAGGAAATTTTGGTTGATTTCACAAAAAGTATGCAAAAAATTAAAACAAAATCCCCAAAATAGATAGAAATTTAGATAAACCTTTTGTTTCATTAACAAGATACTTTTTTTCTTTGTACAATTACAATATTGAGAGACCTAAACATGTTGTTTATGTCGTTTTGTTCCAATGAGGTTCGGATAGATGTTTCATTTCATTTCGAACATATGATACCAAGAACAAAAGAAGTGTTTGATGTGTTTTCTAAAACAATATAGATGAAAGTATATATATATTTCAAACTATAATGTTACCATACAAAAGATGACCTTTAAATTGACGATGTGTAAAATTTTCAGAATGTTTTGATGACTGGTTTAAGAGAAATGTGTATTCAAAAAGTTCACCATATCGATACCACTCCTTTGCGAATGCTACCTGAGCTGACAGTAACAAGTAAAAAAAGGGAGGGTTGAAGTTAAAATATCAATACCCTTAAAGGCCCCATATGAAGTTTAAACCACTTATATTGTAGTCTGACCCAATGTTATTAAATGTGGTAATGTGAAACTTTTTGCTTCAGGCCTTATTTCATAGTGTTTTTGTTTGAACATTTTTGAATTTATTTAAAACTAAATTTTGGAGGTCATACATACCCATTAATAAGTAAGAATTCATCTTCAAATGTTTTTGTCGAAAAAAATTAAAAAAAGATTGGTTGATGAATCAGCAAGAAATGAACTCGTCCATGCATGAAAGTGGTTCAGAGAAAAATGCATTTTGAAATTTTAGTTCTCATGGAAACCAATGGAACATATTGAAAAAAGATTGACATAGAAAAAATCATTTTCTTTTCAAAAAGTTTTTGCATTCTAAGTGACATCACTATAATGTCAATAGGATGCAAGAATTTTGAAAACTGCTAAAACATTTAAATGGAACATTCAGATATTAAATTTTATGATTGAAATATTGTGTCCTTTGTTCAATATCCAATGGTGTTAAAAAGATTATATGTCTTTGACTGTACAGTGGAATATTTGATGATTTAAAAATGTCAACTTTTATTTGAGAAATGGCGGGAATTTTGAATATTTGAAAAACAAAAAGTTAAGTCATGACCACATGTAGTGATCCAGGTCACTGATATGCATGACTGAATTTATAGTTCCAATTAACAAATAAACACCAGCTTATTAGATATTTGATACTAATTCATAATTAATTTCATTGTTGGGTTTTAAACATCACATGATTTTATGCCACAGACACCAAACCTAAAACAAAGGATAAAACTGATAATTAATCAGAATAAAAGATGTCGCTAGTACAAACCACCTGTGAAGACGGCACCTGTCAGAAGACATCAGTTCAATTAGAAAGTCACATGACCACTTCCGTAGTAAAGTTAAAAACTTTCTCAAATATTTCTAAATATTTACTTTAATTGAAGCCGTATTGGATTAACAATGGATTAAGTGGAACTATTAAACCCTCAGGGATGGATACATTAAGTGAGGACCAAGGATTACAGGCCGTTCTGGGTGAGTAATGTTTTTGACGATCGGTGATCAATAAAAGTCAATTTTCAAAATGTTCCAAAAATCCAAGATGGTGGAAGAAACTTCTAAAATTCTTTATCTTTTATAACTGTTTGTTTGTCACATATTTACTGAACATGATATCTGGAATTCATAGGTGTATTTCTGTCTGATTGTGTGTTCATTTTGGATACTATTTTTATTTTTTAAAAACTCCCCCAGAACATTGGGACCTTTTTTGTTGTTTTTTAATCACTAGAGCTCTTCAAAAACATCATTAGGCTAATTGGGTCTGTTACCTTATAAATGAGACACTGGATAATTAGCAAGTTAGATAGAGCCACAACCAGGCATTTCACAGACCTATAATACATAAGCCTTATAAATCAAATTGATTTCAAATCTCAATTACAACAAATTGAGTCTTTTATAAGGCTAATAATACTGTGAATGTAGGGTAATGTACCTTATGTATAACTATGAAAGACTGAACTTTAGCTGTGTTTTGTCTCTGGGTTACCTCCCTTCACGCTACATGGATCAATTCCAAATTCCAATAGCTTCCACTTGGCCACGTTTTTTATATGTGATATTGAATTTCATCTAAAAAATCCTTTACACTGGACGTTTTTTAATTCTTTATTTCATTTGTATCCAAAGCATCATCACATTAGCTTCTCTGAATTATTTTTTAAATTGATCATGAAAAGGCTAGTCATGCACCCCTGCTAAGTTAAAAATCAACTTTTACAATTGTTTATTTAAACGTATATGAACATCAGCATGTATTGATTGATTCACAATAGGGCATTTATACTGTTATATTATACCCTAATTTGCCATGTGTAAAACCACATGCATACAAGCACTCATATCATCAGCATATAAAAAATGTAATTCCTTTTAATTTTGTCACTGGGAGTTATAAACGGAAACTTGTGTAAAGTAGAGTGAAGAATTCATTCATTGTTCTTACTCTGATGTCAGAAGAATTTTGAACTTTAATTTAAAAGAATTTTTAAATTTTCTTCTAATGCCCCCTCCCCTTGTTTAGTACATGTATATATATATGCACATATATAATTGTGAATGATATTGTTTCTTTGTCTTGCAAGTCTTGAGAATCATCCCCTTGCTCAATTGATAATTCCTTCCCCAGACCTAGTATGTAGAGAAAGAATGGAAGGGGAAGCATTAGGCATTGGGGTTTGACGCAAGCATTATATTTTTGAAAAACAGTGAAAAATCATTGCAAGTCATTGATGTTTATTTTGGCAATGTCATCACTGTAGGTGTACATATATAGATGTATAGATCCCTTTAGGTACAGATACAGGTGTACAGATCCCTTTAGGTGTACAGATCATCAATTCATGAATGGTTTACTGAAAATCATGTTTTGAATCATCATGGATCACCGTGACAGCTTCCAGTCAGGGGGGGTTGTGACCGCAAAAAAATTCTGTTTTCTGTCAGGGGGTGCAATTGTGGCATAAACATGCCAAAAAAATAAAATTTATTTTTATGGGGGAGGGGGTGCGGTCGCATCCCCTGGCTATACCTTTTATTTGCTGGTCAATAATACAAACTTTTAAGAAATCCTAAATTTTGTATATTTTAATTAGTGTGAGACATAAATAAATTATAAAACTAAAAAACTGAACTGAAAAAAACTTAAATATATTTTTCTTTTATTAGGATTACATGTATATCGTTATCCTTACTTACAAAACTTGATATAGGAATTCTTTAGTTATACATAGTCTCTATTGATCGATATTAGCTGGTTGAAAAGAATACCTAACAAAACAATTCCTCTTCAAATTCTAGCATGTTTATTAGCATGTTTATGTCAGTTATGAGTCATATATGCAATATTTATAATACATATATTCTTGAGATTATATATATATTGATTGAAGGGTGTGTTCAAGTATCTTCATATAGATTTTTATGTCACCACCAGAAGTATTATAGTCTGCCAACTTTCTTGTGGGAGGCAGTTAGTGTTTGGCGTTCAGCGTCTGTAACAAATGGCAGGTGGTGACATTTTGCATGTTAATGCTTTGTTTTATCTTCATTTAGAATGGCATTGAAATTATTTCTTTAAAATCTGAATAATTTATGGTACTTTCTTTAGACAGTTATTTTATCTAGTCATTTCTGTTATTTATTCTTGTTGGGAAATTATGACATTTTTATTTTTCAATGTCTTTTTTTAATTATCAAGATGACCATGTGGGAAAACGTTTGTACCTGAGCAATTGAAGCCAATTATCACTTGTACTCATTCAACTTGGCTAAATATAACTATCATTTCATATACAGTGTTTCTCCTTCTCAGAAATTGATTCTTTAAATAGTTTTTGACCTCAAGAGTTTAATTAATTTGATGTACAAATAAGGAAATGAATTTTAAAAACAACTGTTTTGATGTACACAAAAAATGAAGCATTTTGTTTTCATAAATTGAAAAAAAAACAATTCAGTTTTAGAAAAAATGAACTAGAAATAGAAAATCCCTAACATTAATTGGAATATAATTACAGAAACAGATGCCTGTAAATGTGGGATCATTTTTGGGTTGATCTATATCGGAGTTGTCACCAGATGGAAATGAAGCATATTATACTACTGTACCATCTCTATTAATCTTACTTTGTAAAATTCTTTTTCGTTTTGAATGAAAAATTCAAAAGTTAAAATCGGTTTCTAAGGTAACAATTATATGCTGACAAGTGAAGTCTCCGAGAGAGCAAAATCACCAGCCAATAAATACAGTTCTAGCTTTCAGCAAATTAACCCAAATTTTGGGAATGAATCAGTTTTTGTTTTTTTTAAACAATTTTTGATATAATCCATCCTATGTATTCATATAATCATAGGTTGAACATAATAAAATATTTTTCTAAATAGTCCAGTCTTAACTCTTAATGGCTCTGTATATGAGTGAATACATGCAAAGAGCCATAAATACAATTTGTGATTTGCTGTAAATGAGCTGAAGTGAGAGGGTTAATTTTGCAAAGTGATCATTAGAATATAATTGACTTTTATTTTGTTCATTTCAAACCAGGCATCATTTACATGCCATATGAGAACCAAACCATTAACAACTGACTTTAGGAAATGTGATATTTGAGTTCAGCAGAAAAACTGACCTAAGATCATATCCTGAGACCAAGTCTCTTGGTCTATATATATTTGGACTTCTGATATTCATACATTTGAAAACAGGGACTTAGGAGATTTTAACACATAGGTGGTTCTATTTGTGGACAGCTTATGTGGCGTCCTTTTAGTATTTGTTTATGAAATAAAGGTAAGTGGATACAACAGTATATGTGAATCTTAAATCTTATACTTTTGAAATAAACTTTGAAACAAAATCATACCACAAAGATGCTAAATGTTATTAAAAGTACATCTTTTATTTAATTGCACTTTGAGATTGTATGCACATTTTTTTGTTTTAAATATTTGGTCACATTTTCAACATGCATGATTTGTGGGTTTAAAAGATGTTTTAAAAGTCTTAAAAGTTTACATAAGAGTGGTAAACATGAATCTTTGGGCTAGTTCAGTTTTTTCTTTGATAGATTGCCAACATTTAAAACTACTTTAAAAGACATTATCATGTTTGTCTGTGATAAATAACTAAAGATGTGATTGTAAATAAATGTATATTTATAAAAATATGAGATAAAATATTCAATTATCTCAAACAAGTCATCCAAATAGAAGCAACTATACATCTTCTATCTCAAATGTATGAGGTTCCTCAATGGAAATCAAACTTGTAGGTATATATGAAAGATTGAAAGTTGTATCCACTTCAGTTGAAAATATCTAAACTTTGGCTAGTTTCCTGTCAAAATTGGTAAGATACTGAATGAAGTACTATGGTATGTAATTAGCCTTGCCCAAGTCGGTCTCTTTTACTATCTGATTTCTATTATGACTGCCTTGTACAAAAGAGAAAGCCACGTGCTTTACCGACTCAATGTTTATGTCGGTAAAATTTGACCAATCAACGACGGCCCTGTAGCGTTAGCTCATTATTATGCACGGTCAAAAACAAGTACACTTTTCGTCGGGACTTTTCACGAACAAATCTTGCATGAATTCATCATATATTTTAAATATTTTATCAGATAAATATCAATCAGAGTTAAGTGGATGCTAGACATAGATAGGTAATCAGAGGTGAGAAGATTTCAACAATAAACGTTGAAACGATCGCTGAATTCAAATGAACATGTAGGCTGAGATTCAATCACTGATCGACGACTACATGACCCGCTACATGACCCGCTACATTGGACTAGGTCTTGCATTTTCATCGCGAGACCAGTTTTAAATCTATTGCATGATTTAATTTATATTAATGACTCTTACATTCCCTATGTACATTTAATTACATAATATATTGTAACTCTAAAGAAATAATCGATCAGATCATTGAATTTCAAGTCGTAGACGGGAAGATTGTTTTGCTGTGCAGCTCAACCTGATAACGTTTTGATTGGTCAATCAGCCTGAAGTCACACGTCGTGTCCACGCGTATATCTGTTAATCAATAAGGTTTCTCGATACCCCTGATAGCGTAGGTATTATGGAAATCTCAAAACCGTTGAATATCTCAGCATAATAGCAGCGGAGATGTATTGGATTGTACAAGGCGGTAATAATTCAAGTTCAGATAAGTAAAAAATACCGACTTGGGCAAGGCTAGTATGTAATGTGCATGAGGCTTTCTTTAAGATACATGAACTATGGTCATTATAGTGTGTATTTTCATGTGCTGTCAAATTCATGTCTTCAATATCATCAATTCATTAGCAGTGAGAAACAGGCTGTTTTCTCTGGTTGTTTTAGTTTTTTTTTGTCTCCAATTGAAACCACTGAATATCATCATTATCAGATAAACCTCTTCTTGGAGGTTTTTACACAACAGTTTTTCATCTCTCAACCCTTATGACGCATCAACCCTAATGAAGTATCAACCCTTATGAAGTATCAACCCTTATGAAGTATCAACCCTTATGAAGTATCAACCCTTATGACGCATCAACCATTATGAAGTATCAACCCTTAAAGCATCAACCCTTATGAAGCATCAACCTTTATAAAGTATCAACCCTTATGACGTATCAACCCTAATGAAGTATCAACCCTTATGAAGTATCATATGCAAGGGCTGACTAATTGTTCTTTGAAAGGGCACATGTTTGTGCTGACTCTCTTTCACCCTGTTTGTTTGTCAGTATGTTGTAGTATTTGTAAAGGTCTAGTCTATCTAATGGTGTACTATGTCATTATTTATGTCAGTTACTGTCATGGTACAAGGCACTGAATTCGCACTGACAACATGTTGCTCATACTATACAATGTTCATATTTTTAATACCTGAAATCTTCCAAAATTCTATAAAAAAATGGACAGTGGTGAAAAGACAGTTCTAAGTATAATATTGCCATATATAGACTTTTTAATGTAGAAGTTTTAATAAACCATTAACTATGTCAATATCTTATCCAAAAAGGATAGGAGTGGGAGGGGGTTGTTCAGTGTCTAATTCCTGTGTCATTAGTTCATATTCTAGCTATACTACAACAGACATTTTTCTAAAAAGTTCATCCTGCCAATATCTTGTATTAAATGATCTCATATAATATCATAAATGACTTAAATAGATTCCTGGAAGATTACCCTTTGCATTCGTTCGACTTCACTTCTAAAAAGAGAGCTTTGTCTTCAGTAGTTTATAACTAGACTCTGCGGGCAGGGTACTGGAAGATCAATTGATTAAAAGTTTTGAAAAATCAGTATTCATTAAGGCTCAATGAGACTAAGTGAAACACCAGATGTTCTGTCTAAATTCACTTTAACATTACATATAGTTCTCTACATCACCAGTCTCATCTACACTCTTTAATTTCAAGCTAAATCTTTAAGCCTTCAGTTATTCAATCAGAATATGGAGTCAGAAATTATAATTACATAGTCTGCCACATAGTCGCTGACATTCTTTCATTTGTTCAAAACCTCATAAAAAGCCATGAAAAAGAACCAAAGAACTACAATACCAGCATCGAAACTGTAAAATCCACTTTTATGGTCAGAGTGTAGTGTAGTTTACCAGATGGGGACCAGGGTACAGGCCAATAAGATCCATACTAGTAACTATTTGTTAGACTCTCATGAATGTTGTAGTAACCATAGTGAATGAGGATCCGAGCCAAAGAATAAATGTATCATTGACTAAGAGCAAAGGTCGTCATCTAATATACATACACCTGCTTTGCTTTGGCACTAAAATTACATTCATTTTCATTTGGAAATACTACAACAAAGTTCAGTTAATGTTCATGAAAAATAGCACAGTACTATCTGTTGTGAGGAGAGGTACTCTGTGTTAACATTTAAAAGTGAGACCCTACTATCACTCTCTTTTAAAGAATCAAACTTTTGAATAGGGTATCCTTGCCCATAGCCAGCTATTACTATTTGGGGAACTTTTTCTAAGGGGGAGCTTTTTGACAGTTTTGGCTATAAAAATCATGTGAAAAGAAAAGAATTTCTAGACGGGGGGGGGGGGGTCCTCTACTTCCCTAGCTTTTCCCTGACTACTGGCCTGGGTACCTTAAACATGAGTCCTATCCAAGAATTAACTAGCCAAAGATTTCTCCTAAACAGGATGTAAATCTTTCATATCCCAGACTATTTTTTTTTACATCTGGCATGCCCTTTGTATAACAAAATGACAATACTGAAATTGCACCTTGGCATACCTTAAAAAGGTCTTGCCTAAAGCAATGTGATCCCCCACACAATCTTCACAGTTAAAGTAGATGGGGGAAGGAGAGAGGATTCAGAGACAAGGTCTAACATTATATCAGTCTTCAGCCATTTTTCGCCTGTTTAATCTTGTTTTGATTATTACTTTCAGACCGCATGGATGTAATGGACGGAATTGAGGGGGTGGACAATGAAGCTTTAGAGGACTTTCAACAGTTGACGGATTACCTCACAAGCAATGACCCATCTATGTAAGTGAAACAGTGATTTATTTGTGGAAGTAAAACATTGTCCCATTTATATAAGTAAAACAGTGATCTATCTATGAAAGTAAAACAATGATTTAATATTTGTGGAAGTAAAACAATGACCCATCTATGAAAGTAAAACAATGATTTATTTGTGGAAGTAAAACATTGTCCAATTTATATAAGTAAAACAGTGATCTATCTATGAAAGTAAAACAATGATTTCATATTTGTGGAAGTAAAACAATGACCCATCTATATTAGTAAAACAATGATTTATCCCCGGCGATTTATCCATGAAAGTAAAACAATGGTATAAGTAAACCAACCATCTAATTTAGTAAGTAAAATAATGACCCATCCATAGAAGTAAGTAATGACTCGTCTATGTAAGTAAACCAATGACCCAACTAAGTAAAATAATCTGTATTAGTAAAATAATGGCCCATCTATGTAAGTAAACAATGACCCAACTAAGTAAAATAATCTGTATTAGTAAAATAATGGCCCATCTATGTAAGTAAACAATGACCCAACTAAGTAAAATAATTTATATTAGTAAAGTAATGGTCCATCTATGTAAGTAAACCAATGACCCAACTAAGTAAAATAATCTAAATTAGTAAAGCAATAGCCCATCTATGTAAGTAAACCAATGACCCAACTAAGTAAAATAATCTAAATTAGTAAAGTAATAGCCCATCTATGTAAGTAAACCAATGACCCAACTAAGTAAAATAAAATAATCTGTATTAGTAAAGTAATGGCCCATCTATGTAAGTAAACCAATGACCCAACTAAGTAAAATAATCTGTATTAGTAAAGTAATGGCCCATCTATGTAAGTAAATGTTAAGCAATGAAATCATTTTGAAATTGTATTGAGATTCCCTAGAATCCTGAGAATCAATGCTGGCTGAGTTGAATCACCATTGAGTTAATATTTTATTGAACTAAAGTATATTTACATGAATGCAGTTCTGTTGCTTATCAATCATAACACATTAATCAATTAAGTTTTTGACTTTGTTACCTTGTGCTAGGCAGCATTTATAACTCTTACAGTATTGCGGAACCTTTGATGAAACCATTGCCGCCATCTTAAATCAATTTTTTAATCGTATGTGATGTTATTTTACAATTAATTTTGGGATTGATTTATGTTGAATAAGTACACTTTGATGTATTTTAAGAATATTTGTTATTATGGTATTTCTGTAATGGATTATGAGAAAGTTGTCATTTAGCCACATGTATATGTGCAAACTTTGGATTGGCACGTGGTTTATTTATTGACTACATAGTTTAGTCTAGTTTTTGATGCAGTTATTTTGTAAACATCAAGTCCATATTTTTAATTATGTCTCATCTTATTAAAATGTCTAAAAATAATTTCTTGCACTGAATGGTACAACAAATTACTCTGTAGTCAGATGTACATTAAGAGTTCTAGAAATGGGTGTTAAAATGCCAAATTATGATCTAAGAATATGTGTTATTTAAGAAAAGAAGTACAGAAAATATAAAAATAGAAATATGAAATTGTGAGAAGATAAATGAAACTTGTGAATCTCCAGTTTTTTTGCTTTTGAGATAATTTTCTGTGATTATAATATGAATTCATTATCTAGGCTCACGATTTTTATATTTTATATCCAGTTCTTTGTAAAGATCTGAATATTGATATGTAATGAAAATCTCAACGAGGATCCCATTGTGTTTAATGTGAATATTTACTTGTCTGGATGTAATTGATTGAAATCCAGGATAAGTTTAATACAAATCTTGTTGACACCCTCTTCAAAATGTTAAAATAAACAAATGTTAATCTTAAGTATTGGGAAAGAATTACATTGATTTAATACAGGCAAATGCATTTCCGAAGTTGGAGAATATAACGCTTTTCCATTGCAAGGAAGGAGACTATTTAAGCAGTGTCCCAACTGGACATTGACAAAGTAAAGGAGGGGCAAAGGGGGAATATTTGAAATGTTTGTCCCATTTTAAAATTTCATTTTATTATTCAGAAAAGGCTTATTTTTAGTAAAAATCATTTTCTCTCAAATAATTTTGGGCCTAAGATTATATTTAAAAGTTTGGGCCTCCCTTAGGAGGGTACCATGACAATGAAACCCAGAGACAAGGACAAGGAAGCAACACAATGTTTATGGAGTAACAGTTCATCTTTTACAGAAATAAGAAAGAAACATATCAGACAATAATAGAAAATACAAAAACAAACTAAATCATTTACAAACCACAAAAGATACAGTTTACTAAGATCAAACCTTCTCTCAACTAAAAATAAGTTACAATATTTACATTTGCAATGTTATACTCAAATACCATACACAATATACTTAAAGGAATGGTTCAACTTGTAATGTTCCTTTTCAATACCAATAATCTGACTTGTAATGTGAGATGTAAAAAATCAAATATAGGAAATGAATATATTTACTCAATGACTCATTGGAGCATACTTCAAACTGTATAGGACCATGTCTTTAGATTCTTTACTGGTATGAATGAATTATGAAGCTAACTATAAAACAATGAATGTACTTGACCCACAACTATCTATCTGCTTTTAACTATCTTATGTGAGGCCTTTATTCCAAATTAAAAATTTGTTTAGCAGTTAGCAGTGATTATCTGGTTATTGGCATATATCATTCATTCAATCTTTTTTTACTGGCCTTTTTGGGATTTAATAATTTTTATTTTTTATTTTATTTTGACATTTTAAAGTAAAAAGATAAAGTATGGTACCTGATTCAAAAAGACAATTTTGCGAATCAGATAATTAACTGGAAGGGCCCAAGTTAAGTAAAATCTAAAATCAAGATTTACAAAGCTCTGAAAGTAAAACAATACTAGGCTCTGAAACTCATTGTAATATTCAAATAAATTAAAGCAGCAAGACTGAGTGAAGAAAAAACTCTGAATTTTCAAAATCCCAGCAACTGACTTTTAAACGACATTCAAATAAATATAATAAAAAACCCATAAAGCTATGTGGCCTCCGGTAAACTCAGTAACAATTTTGAATTGTTGACCCATCATATTAAACTTGAGTGATTGTCAATGTGTATGTAGTATTCCAGTATAATTGAAACGATGATTGACCCATCAAAAAGAATGTTTAAGATATAAAAACTTTTAGTGGATTTTCTGATTATTTTAGAACTAAATGGATATTGTTTTTATCCCATGCTTGTGAATGATAGCATTGATAGAGGGTATGGAACCCATAGTGAGAGGATAGGGGGGTTTGGAGGCCATTGATACTTTAGTAAACAGATTTCATGGTAAATTCCCATTGAATCAAATGGTATATTATCAAGCATCATTACTCATACAAGTCCATCCCATGGATGTATAGATGCTTCTTCCTGTCTGATTGGTCAAATAAGGATCACATGACCCTCACTTCAATCATGGGAGTACATGTCATCCATCTGTACCATAGGGCCCAATCCCCAATTTTGCTATCTTTCTGAATGTACATATAACATGACTAAACTCAACTAACCATGACTTAACCATTTAATTCAAAATAAGTCAACCTCCCTGTCTTTCACTGTTCAGTTCCATTTTACAAACCACTGCATTTGTTTTTACATTAAAGCTAGAGAATAATGTGATCATCTATCTAATATTATCATATTATTGAGATAATGAGTGTCATGAATCAGTATTTCTATGAATACATATGTATCCTAGGAATACATACATAGCAACAGAAATAGATGGACTGATGTCCATATTTGAACCTAGGCTAGGAAGGGTTAATTTGCCTTGGGCAAAATCTTCAAATTATTCAGAAGATGTTATCCTTTGACAAACAATATATATGTAACCTTAGGATGAGGCCTATGTACTACATTAGTGAGACACATATATTGGACAAAGATGATTCCTAAAAGTCTGCAAGTTATGATATTTTCAAAGAGGATTAGTTCACATGTCTAGGGTTTGCGGACCTGTTTAGCATATGTTTTTGTGTATTTGTATGTCGCATCATACTTATGTCATCTCGGGTAGATGGCTTAATTTATATCAGTTATATATTATGCACTTACGATTGTCAGTTTTAGTTCTTCAGACTTGAAATAAGTAAATTATTTAGTTGTTTTAATTTATTTATGGACTTTGGAGTACAACTTGAATTTAGAGACATGATCATATGTGAATTAAAAGAAAAGGGATTGGAGATGATATGAGATCGACATAAAAATTCAGGAACCATTTTAGGGATTGATTCAACCTAGATTCACCAAATATTGGATTACAATGGGCTAATTAAAAGGTCCAGGGATAATACTCCTAATATTCAATTAAAAAAGGATTAATAAGTGAATGATAAGTGAGCTGAAGTTTGAAAGAGGATTGTTAAAGCAAAGTGGCGGATAAGTAAAATCCGTAAAATAGTTGGATCACAATTTCTACAGGATATGTAAAATATGTATGGAAATAACTTTGAAAACTATCGAGAGTATTCCGACTGCTCATATAACGGAGTCAAAATGGAGTAAGATATTAATAATTTACATACAGTTTCTTTCAAATATGGAAGATCTCTGATATTATTATATTATATAGGGATTGAGGTTAAGCAATTGTGGATTCACATTGCATTAGCTAACATAAGGTAGTTAAGTGTTTCTGCGTAAGGGGCTGGAGGAAGGAAATATTTTGATAACCTTTTCAACTTTTCTAAGGTTTTTTCATGCACAAGATTGACTTCATCTGCATGTTTCATTGTGTTTTTTATTCCCCAAGCATATTGCCGAGAACCATATTTTGAAAGTATTTTGGTGCCCTTATTTTGTAAGAGAATTGGGGTCTCAATATTGTGGTTCCCCAATATAAATTATTACATGGTATAACCTTTGTACTTCTTTTAGGAAATAGCTTCATGGAATGTAGAATGTCACCTTTTATATATCATAGACTATATTTCCTTTGTTCTAATTTCAGACCTTTTCCTGAAGAAGTCCCAGCTGTGCGCTATCAGAAAACTCCTATGTGTGACCCTCTCACTCGAGTGAAACAGTACGAGCCACCTATCCCACATCATCATCAACAACAGCAACAACAACAGCAGCATCATCCGTCATCTCAACAACAGCACCATCCATCGTCACAACAGCAACAGCCTCATACATCGTCACAACAACATCCATCATCACAACAGCAACAGCAACATCCGACACAGCAACAAGTTCAGCATCAACAATTACAACAACAGCCACAACAAAATCACCAACATTTACAACAGCATCATACACCCCCTCATCCAGCATACCAAAATACTCCAGTCATTCAACAAGGCAGACCGCCAGGGATAGCTATTCCACAGTATCATCACTCGTAAGTCAATTACTTTTTCACTCATAAGTTTTTTGCTTTCTTCAATTATATGTTGATTCAGCTAACCATAAGTTGTTTGGTTTTATTCGCTCAGTTGTTTTGTTTGTTTATTTCTGATTCATTTGATTTGTTCACTCATAAGTTGACTGATCTTTTCTCTAAAAAATATGTTTGCTCTGTTATATCATTATCTGTTTGTTTTGTTAACTTACAAGTTCTTTTGTTTGTTCATTCATAAGTTGTTTGTTTTGTCCACTCATAAGTTGTTTAAATTAATTGCTCCAAAGTTGTTTGCTTCATTTATTCATGTTTTTGTTTTGTTCACTCATAAGTTGTCTGAATTGGTCACTCATTAGTTGTTTTGTTTGTTTGTTGAATCATTAGTTGCTTTGATTGTTTACTCACAAGCTGAGTGCCTGATACAATACTTCAGTTTACAAGAACAATGATATCTAATTTTTGTCAAGTTTGTTGAGGTCGGATAAAAAAATTTCTTGCTAATAAAAGTCTATTTGTCATATAGGGCTAACATAGAAAAATGAATAAGTAGGAATTTGATAAATGCATGTATCATTTAGGACTGTATAGTCTAATGAATAAGTAGGAATTTGATAAAATCATGTATCATTCAGGACTGTATGGTCTAATGAATAACCAGGAATTAATTTCTGTTTTATATGTTCCAGGTCTCTACCAGATAGTCCTCCAGATTCTGGCTCAGAACCCCCTTATTCTCCTGAGAATAGGAACCAAGGTAGGTCCACCTTCAATTGTTGCAGGGGCAGATTTTTATCATACCCAGCGCTTGCATTAGGTTAGAAAATTTGTGAGTCCCAAGGACGCAATTTTTAAAAAAAAAGTGTGTCCTTTGAAAAAAAGTGTGTCCCCTATTTCTAGTCATATTTTCAGTTTTTGATTTCTTGCAGCGAATTTAAAACGAAAGTTAACGTTAAGTACGGACTGAATAAATGCATGTTCGTTCATTCGTCAATGAATACATTTTATTTCATGAATAACCTAATATTTGTTTCTGAATAGGAAAAACTGTGGCGTGTCATGGTTTCAAATCTAAAAATAAACAAAGTCGAAAAAATTCGAGAGAATCATGATTATTTGTAAATATTCAACATGTTGAGCCTTATTTACGATTCAAATAAAGGTGAGAGATCATAATTATTTGTTTTTGTTAGGTATCGTTGTAAACACATTGTAGTATTGACCTAAAAAAATTGTGCGTCCAAAAAACGGAAATATTTTCAATTTTTGCGTCCTCCAAATTATTTTTGAGTCCTTATCATGTAGGGGACGCAGTTAATGCAAGCCCTGATACCTAAAAAGTTACAATACTGTCATCAATTGTGCAGATGGCTGTGTCACTTTTGTTGTCTGCACATTTTCATATAAACATTTAGATCATCGCGATAGCCTTTGTCTTTATCCTTCCAAAGTGAACGGCAGATAAGAGGGGCTCTGGCATACCAGAACCAGAATGATTTAGATGGATTGATTTGAAATTCTCATTTCTCAATGTGGAAATCTAGAACCGATTATTTTTTGGGCATGCTAGATAAATTTAATGGGTCATGTTTTTATGTCACCACCAGAAGTGGTGACATATTGTCCAACTTTTTGTGACGGCATCTGTAACAAATGGCATGTGGTGACATTTTGCATGGCCACCTCTCAACTGACTTGCCTTGTTAGGTCTGATTTTGTTATCTGTGTGCATTGATATTGAATGAAATTAGTTATGTATCTGTTGGGAGGGAGGGGGAGTACAAAGTCTATAGTAAAGTGAAATAGTAATATAAGCTAGCTGTTTAAACACATCAACATATTAGATACAGGCCACCTCACTGCTGACTTCTTACTGGGTTAGAAAACAAACACCCTGGAAGTTCTGTTATGATAGCTGTAGATAACAACATTATACTGGCTATTGTCTTACAACTTTGAGACTCAACTTACAAAAACAAGTTATCTATGGGCTTCCAATTGGGACTGATTTGAAGATCTGTGAAGTAGGGTAAATCATGTGTATTTGACTGAATCAACCCCTACTCCCCTATTAATTTTTCCAGATTATGTAATTTTTGTTGAGCAATACAGGTTCTAATAAAAGTAAATAGGGGGGTCATCAGGAACTTGATCCAAAAATTAATTCAATATTATTTGCACCATTTATTATGTCACCACCAAAAAGTGGTGATATATTGTTATGGTATCCGTTTTTTACAGCGATTTGCGGTCAGCGATTGGTGGTTGGCGATCTGCAGTCGGCGTCTATAACAAATTCTTACAACTTCCAATAATTTAACAAATACTGTATAGACTGACTTCAATTGTTTTCAAAATCATCTACATGTTTTCAGAAGTTCAAATCTGACTTTATATTTAAGATTTGACCTTCAATGACCTTTTCAAGGTCAAAAAAGGTCAAAAAGGTCCAAATTAAACAAATGATACTGATGATTTTCCTTTAAATAAAAAAAAATTGCCAATAGGATAAAATTCCTTAAAGACTAACGTTTAGCCAATATTGTATTGTAAAATGTATGTTTACCATGTAATTGTATTGTAATTGTTTTTTGCAATAACTTCAACATGTTTTTTCTTTGAAATAAAAAAAGATTAAAAAAAAGGTCTTTTTTCAACTTTTCAACTCAATTGACCGATTTTTTTTCAAAATCATCTACAAGTTCTCAACATTTCAAATCTGACTATAGATTTGACCTTCAATGACATTCTCAAGGTCAAAAAGGTCTTTTTTATCTTGCTTCAACTTGGTGGTGACATTTTGTCATGTTAATGCCTTGTTTAATTTAGCGTTTCTTTATGTTTTTTTCTACAAAATACAGAAGTCCTAGACAGCTCTAGATATGTAATTATCTATTCTCAATGGTATAAACATGATTTATGTCATGACCAGTCAGAAATTATGAAATAATGTTTATCAATATTTATCTGTAAACAATGTAAATTAAAGGTAAATCATTACAACTGTACTTCTAAGAAATCTCAGATTACAAAGATATTGAGAAAGTGACAGATCTATAAGTTGACAGAGGGGCTGGTTTTATGTAAGATGATTACATTTTTATACTGAAACTTTATATTATCTGGGCCCTTTTTCCTATATCCATGGGTATATAACTGGGGTTTGATGCAAGACTAACAAATCATCAGCTGGTGTATTGTAATACTTTCTGGTCAATGCCCCAATGGACTGATGTTATGCAATAATACATAGCCATACTGTTAAACAATTCCTGATATGAATTATAGCACCTTCCTTCCATAATTGCCCTCTGCATAAATTTGACTTCTTTAAAAGAGAGCTTAGAAGAATTTGTGAATTGAAATGCTGGCTGATGCATTAACCTACATGTACTATGTTATGGGCAACTCATCTGAATATGAATAGTACCTGCCACTTTTCCATTCATATTTAGCTGAGTTGACCATAAACTAGTAGGTTAAACCATCAGCCCACAGTTGAACTCATGAATGCTACCTTGGATGCTATGCTCAATGTGCTCTGTGCTCTTTAAAAAGAGCATATCTAGTAATTACTGTTCACCTCTGAGTTTCAGGGTAGTAGTCTTTAAACCATGTTTAGAAAATGAACCAGAAGTTGTATTTGTATGTTTATCAAGAAATATGTATTATTTGTATACTTTGGATGATACTAAATGATAGTCTCCATTGTCTGTAGTGATGATGTTACTTATGATATGCAATATCACCACCTGACAAAAATTGACCAATCAGGGGTCAGATTTGCATCAATTTAGTGTCATAGATTATGGGATTGAAGTACATGTACATATCTTTTGTCCAGCATGGGTTAAGTTCAGGTCAATGTCATATGTTTAATCAAAAGACAATGCATTATAAAACAGTAGTACATGTACATGTTGTATATAGAGTGTAATGTGCATTATGATATCAGAGGCTAGAAGTTATTACTGAACTGAATTTCTCTTTAATCAGACTTTTCAAAAGGGTAACTGAGATGGAACCAGAAATGCAACAAGAAATGGCCGAGTGAAAATCCGATTCTTCTTTAGGACTGGGTAAGGGGGTAGGATGAGGGGTTAGGGTTTAGGGGTAGGATGCGGGGTGAGGGTTTAGGGGTAGCCTTCCAGTTAGGGTTAGATTTCGAATATCTTCGGCCAACTCTGGTAGATTTTTTTGAGGAAGTAATTAAATGTACAGAATCTTTGATTGATATCCTTAAAAAACAGAACAGTCAAAATGACCAATGAAACTAACAAATGCTTTCTATGATTGTGTGCTATCTTAATCCTTTGGGGTTGAAATCAGATTTTATTAAACGAAAATTTTGGGCTTAAGGAGGTAGATTGGGTTAGCATATGGCTGATTCTGTTGCATTTAGAGATAAAATGATTGAAATAATACAATGTTAAACTGATCATCATCTATGTTTTAAGAACCTATTTCCTAGGCACATACACATTCTCACGTAATCTGTTTTCATTGTATCCTTATGAAAGTAAACTTTTAATTCTGACAATTAATTAAGATATCATTTGATAAATCAAGTGATACTTCAAAACTAAAGATAAAACATGAGGAACTGTCAATTTTCCGGTTTCACTTGTAAATGCTTGGATCATAGTAAAATTAAATTCATACTCCCAAAAACCTGGGTGGTTAGATGGGTAATGACCCTGAGACCTCATGATTAAAAGTAATATAACAAAACTCTCTTGAGATCCAATATAAAACTTAAGGGTTTTTGGTGACATTCCCTGAGTACAGATATAGAAACCATGGCTGCAAATGATATAGCTAATAATAATGATGATGTGGGTTCAACTGATAAAGTATATAAATCAATTTATCCCATACTTGGACGTGTTACAGGTACATACAGCCGGTTTGTAAAAACTTATATTTTCATCAGCGGACAGATATAGAGATTATCCTATATGAGGTTCAGGATATTGGGATTATCCCGAGGCCAATATAATATATCTGCCCGAGGGCCGTAGGTCCCGAGGGTAGATATATTATATTGGCCAAGGGATAATCCAAATATCCTGAACCGACTATAGGATGATCTGTTTATCCCATACCAATCACATTGTTATCCAATCCAATCCCGATTTTGTTCATATTTTGTACACATATACCCTATGGAGGTAGAAGTTCTGCTCGAAAGCCAATTTTCAAAATGGCCACTCATTTCAAAATGGCGGCCATTTTAGTGCCGATTTTACAGTTATTTAGTTGCAATATGTATAACTGTAATAGCAATATGTTTTAAATGTAAAAAAATTATAAAGGACATTAATAATGCTACAAATGTAGATATTAAAGAAGCACATGGCAGCCATCTTGAAAAATGGTGGCCTTTACTCGTCATTTTACGATTTTTGCTGTAACTCAAAAAATAGTGGAGCGATTTTGTTCATATTTGGTATGTGAATACTATAAGCATTGCACACTGTCTAAAGACACTTTTGGTAGAAGGTGGCCATTTTGAAAAATGGCCGCCATTTTAACGTATTTTACTATAACTCGAAAAGTAGTGGAGCGATTTTGTTCATATTTGGTATGTGAATACTATAAGCATGGCACACTGTCCTATGACACTTTTGGTAGAAGGCGGCCATTTTGAAAAAAAAATTTAAAAATGGCTGCCATTTTAACGTATTTTACTACAACTCGAAAAGTATTGGAGCAATTTTGTTCATATTTGGTATGTGAATACTATAAGCATGGTATACTGTCCTATGACACTTTTGGTAGAAGGTGGCCGTTTTGAAAACAATTTTGAAAAATGGCCGCCATTTTAACGTATTTTACTATAACTCGAAAAGTAGTGAAGCGATTTTGTTCATATTTGGTATGAGAATACTATAAGCATGGCACACTGTCTATTTCTAATGACACTTTTGGTAGAAGGTGGCCATTTTGAAAAATGACCACCATTTTAACGTATTTTACTATAACTCGAAAAGTAGTGGAGTGATTTTGTTCATATTTGATATGTGAATACTTTAAGCTTGGCACATTGTCTAATAAAACTTTGGGGAGTAGTCGGCCATTTTGAAAAATGGCCACCATTTTTATGTGTGTTATTTTACAAGTATGTGTGCGATTTTTCAAAAATTTTAGAGGTGGCTACTTAAAAGCATATTATTTCTTCTGATGACAACTTGGCTAGTGAGCAACCATTTTGAAAATGGTGGCCTTTCTGATGTGTTGTTTTATGTTATTTGCTGTTCGTTTGTAAAAATGCCAGCCATTTCTGTTCGATGGGATTCGCTACGCTTTGGTGTTGCCGTTGTTCTGGTTCAATTTGCCAAAGTTCAGAAACTTTGCAACAAACCGTGATTGGGAACAGCGATTATGACGTAGCGGGCAGATATAGTATATCTGCCCGCTCGGAGTGGGACGTAAAGCTATATCTGCCCGCTGATGAAAATATAAGTTTTTACAAACCGGCTTTATGTACCCGTAACACGTCCAAGTATGGGATAAATAGCTTTACGTCCCGCTCCGAGTGGGCAGATATAGTATAACGTCATAATCGCAGCTAGCATATTTGTTCATAATTTGTAATGATCGCGTAATGACTGTAAACAACAATGGAGAAAACACAGACAATCGGGATCTGTTTGATGGTTTAAAAAAGGGAAGGAGCATCCACTTAATCAATCAACAAATTCGAGAAAATAAATGTGGGAATATTTTAGAGAACAGGAAAATCCGCCCACGGCCAAGAAAACAAAACTGGACATGAATATTCTAAAATATTTCCACGATTGAACAATGTGAACCAGATGACCAAGATTGGCATGGGATAAACATATTATCCTATAGACGGTTCAGGATATTGGGATTATCCCTTGGCCAAAATAATATATTTCCCTCGGGACCTGCGGCCCTCGGGCAAATATATTTTATTCGCCTCGGGATAATCCCAATATCCTGAACCTCATATAGGATAATCTCTATGAACCAACTTTTAACATGTAAAATGGGTTTGGCTTGCTAGCTCTCATTTGATTTTGTAATTGTATTCTTCATTGTGTGTTTTTTTCATTTTTAACCTTGTAATTAATAAATGATATTTCAGAGTCAGATTTTAGATATTGAACCCTTATTGTTTTTTGTCAAGTTGTTAGCTTCTGGGATTGTTGCAGACCTGTATCTATTTTATCCAAGTTTTAGGGAACTTTCATTTTATATTTTATCTTATCGATTGCTATCAAAGATAGGCCATGTTAGTTTCATTCGGCACTTTATTTTGATATTATTTTATTTGGCCTATTAATGGGATCTCTAATTACAGGTGTTGTTTTTATTACAGGTGTTAATTACACCTGTTAGGTGAGAGAACTCTCAGGTGTACATCAAAGGCCACTGGCCAATAACCTGGACATGGATGTAGCTCATTTCCTGGTTAAAATCCTTTATTAAATTCTTTATTATTTTGGTTGTTAAAATGTCTTTATTTCAAGACCAAAAGTTGTTCACTATTTTTTACTTTTTCCAGTAGAAACATCGACTTTGTTAGAAAATTTGTGAGCACAAATTTTATGTAGAATCAAGTTAAGGATAAAAAGATTCTTGTTTAAATTAGACATCTTTTGCTTACTAAACATTTAAGAAAGAGAAACTGCAATTTGTTAACAGCTAGATCATCTTATTTGGTTTACCATTCTGCATGGATTTGTATTAATACTTAAAATATTTTGGGATTATTACATAACAAATATTTTAGGATTATAATATTTATTAAAATATTTAGGGATTATTATTCCTGTCAGTTTATCTAAGAGATTAATTTTCACATTGGTCTGTTTCCTTCATTCCTTGTGTTTTTGTTTTTATAAATGCATAAGCCATACAAATATAGAACATATAACAATTGTATTAGATTTTAAATGCACTTAATTTAAATATTATTTTCATCCTGAGGTAATGAGGAAAAAATGAGAGCAGAATAACATTTAATATTTTTGGTTTTCTATTTGATAATTAAACAGTTCGATTAGCGTTTAGGATAATTGTTTATATGAATATATTGTCAATTTGAACTTTTTGATTTTTTAATTTGAAAATTATATCCCATATTTTCAACCTTACAGTGACTTCTCGAGATCTCACTTTTAATGACAAGGAAGGTTCTTCCCAGAATGCAATTAGAGAGTCTCATGACTCTAGATGCTCAGTTATGCATGGGAATGGATCAGCTACAGTGTGGGGCGTCATTTTGTTCGTAAATACATTACAAACTTAAAGTATCCACCTGTACATGCTTATTACACCCACTTTCTCTATAAAATTTGAATGAAAAATATCATTTTCATGTATATCTATGTTATTCAGTATGCTATTTTCTAGCTTTGTAACTCTATTTCTTGCTGATTTTATTCATTTCTACTAAATTTTACATTTTAAAACATGACTAATTGATGTTTTCATACAGGGTTTCAACATACCTGGATAAATATAGTTAGAGTTAAGCCTTGGATAAATTAAAACAAAACCTTATCTGTGTACAGCCATACTCAGTCAATATTTAACTTTTAGGGGGGCACATCAAAATATTTTAGATTTTGAGCAATATTAAATTAAATATATAAAATGATTATTTTTCTTCTATGTGACAGAGGTAAAAAATATTAGGTCTTATATCGACCTTAACTCTTATATTGTTAATATAATACATGTGTAAACGAGAACGATTGAAGTAAATTGTTAGAATTCTTACATTTTTGAGATCACCCCTGAGTCATTATGCTCAAAATATAACATGTGTATCTAGAGCATCTTTGTGTGTTAGACGAGTTGAAGCAAGAGTGTACCCCCTTATTAAAGTCCATCAATCATTAGCCTCGTACTATACCGTACCATCTTCACATACCCATCATTACATATGGCTTTTAACACACTACGATGAGCTGAACATTAACGTCAAACAAAACCAGGATATTATTTTTCTCACATTTTTCTCGGCCTGGACTAAGGGGAATTATTGTAAAAGGTTGGTGACATCATTTTAGCATGAATTATAATTTATTAATTACGACGACAGACAAATTTCACTTACTTATTTCTAGGAAAGTTATATATTTTGTAAATGATTAATAAACCAACTGAGCATTGAAAACTCAAGGTGAATATTACATGAAGTAATGAAAGAATCTAAAGTCTAAGATGTGATTCTGACAACGGACGAAGCAGCTGTGGACTTTGTATTCTGTCATTCATTGTCAGTGTCAATTGGGTGTAAACTGTTGTATGAGTGTAGGTACTGACTTGTACATATACCCGAGTGGCATTTCAGCTCACCGTTGTCATGTTGAAGTGTCATCAGTATCATATATATCATAGCGTTGCATAGTTTCACTACCGCAATCATTTTCTCATATCTTTTTTTTCAGGTTCATATCAAGTCAAACACATCTCGTACCGCTGTACATCTGTGGTCAGATGTTACTTTTTTATCAACAGAATTTATAACCTATAGTTTATAATCATACCCGAAGGACCCAGTCACTAGTACATATTCCTTTGATTTTACATTTTCATAAGAGAGCTTGCTAGGCTTACACTCATGGTAAGTCGCTAGGTGGTACAAAATTCTTTATTGTCATAAACAGATATTGTCTCTTATTTCATAGATATCTTACTCCCACAAATTCTCTATATATTGAATATATGACTCAGCATAGCCCCATCACCCCATTCCTTCATTATTGTAGACTCAGGTTAGGCTTTTAACAGGTAATTCCTGAGAGGGAATGTAGGGGTTACATACAGGGTATTGATGGAACATATTGTTTCTATTCAGTCACATCAGGCTCATGGAGATGTTAATTCTTTATGGCCAATCTTGATATATTGAGCCTCCTATCAGAACAATTGTTATCAAAGCAACGGTGTTCTGGTCTGAGTACCCAAATGATGGGTTCAGTCCCATCCCTACTTTATTCACCTCAATTCATCTTTTACCATGAGAGGAGGGTGGTTAAGGGGTGGTCAGTTGTCACAAACAAACAAGGGATGCTAATAGATGATAAGCCATGTTGCATCAAGTCTTTGTTTTATCCCACTTTTGTGTCAAGATCCTTCTCTATGCTAGTCTCTGGTTTCAGTCCATACTTCTTGTCAGTACTACTTCTTGTCTTGTTTATAAAGTAGGGGCAAGGGTTAGATTTGGAAATGGACAGTCCCCCCCCTCCCCAGATCTGCCAATGTGGGTGTTAAACAGAAATCAGATACATTTTTATGTCACCGCCACAAGTGGTCCCTACCACAAATTTTGTGATGGCAGTCAGTGATTTGTATTAGGCATCTGTATCAAATGGCAGGTGGTGACATTTTGCATATTAACACTTTGTTCAGTTTTAGTTTAGTCTTTCAAAATAGGCAGATCAGAAAAAGAAGTGAAGAAATGTGTTTGCCTTATGGATCCTGTATTGATATAGCTATTGATTCTTTTAACATTGTGATTGGTAATAGGTGATACTATAATGTTTTTTCACCCTTTCAAAATATTTCAGATCTATGGCTAATATCATATAATCTTTTGAAACAAATGAAGGAAATATCTACATTTTTTGAATATCTGTATAGTTCTAGACTTTGTTGTGTTTTACCTTTTTGATTACCTATGTTGATGTCTGTTGTTCTTTGTAAATTTATAGATTTAAACTATTTATGTAAAGGACCACTAGGTTATGTGATGTGGACTTTGTTCAGAAATCTGTCAGATTACTTGATTAATAACCCGTGTGATTCAGCTAGGTAACCATAAACCCTGCCGTCTGCTTAAAATCTCACTCGTTTATACTTATTCCTCGACTTTTCTCTCAAAAATTTGAATAAACGACTATATTTTGATGTGATTTATATATGATATAGAGTATTGAGTATACATTCATTTACTTTTTTACTTCATAATTACACTGTTATGGTCTTTATTTTTTATTATTATTTTAAAACAAGACACTGAGTTGTTTTCTATGGGTGCCACATGTAAACACGCATCAATGTCATTTATTCTAGAAACGCATCATTTCCTGTTTTTTGACGCAAAATGATAATTTAAGGATCCTAAGGTTTGGCTTTTTGGAGTGATGGGGGTTAAAGTTACTAGTTGCAAAGCAAGATGATACTTTGCACCCTTGTAATGTCATTTTCATGACTGCTTGTTTAAAAAAGGATTGTTTTAAGATATACTTTACGTGTGACTATAACAAATATAAACAAGACAAAATGTTCTACTACTGTTCTTGGATTATGCATATTTATAACCTGTTTAACTGTTTTTGAATTGAAAGAATTGAAGAATGAAATATTCATGTATAGATTAGAATTTCAGAATAAACCATTTTTTACTCCTTAACCTTTTAAGGGAATTTGTAGGAGTTTCTTTGATGAAGAATATATTTCCAAATTCCAATGCAATATTTATTTATCAGTCATGGATATTGTATTAAATCCAAAATAGGAGCTCTATTATAGGTGGTGCTAATAATAACTGGGCATCTTGATAGCAGAGTGTTAAGAGAATGCATGTTATTTGGGCATATAATAGATGTCACTTACATGTCAGGCGCTGGATGAAATGTTAGACACATTATGTTATTCTGTCAGTTGGCATGGGAACAATGGCGTGGGTTATAGCAACACAAACACTCTAAATACGTCCTATGGACCAACATAGTACTATCAGATAATTTACAACAAAAAGTTATTATTTCGCTATCATAAATCTTTTTTACTTGTTGTAATAAAAAGGTGGTATTTTACCCATTCAGAAACTCTAGGCCGGAGGCTGTGATCATGATAGCATGCTAAACTCATCCACAAAATATGGTGGCTGTGTTTTAAAATGTGAAACAGTGCGACAAAGAGTGAACTTTCCATCAGACAATGAAATATACAGGCATTGAGTTTATATTCTAAATTGTATAGAAATACTGGAAAATCAGGTAGTTTATTTACGTCAATAAAGAGAAAAGTGTGAAAAATAGAGGTTTCGAATGATATTTTCAGTGTAGGCAAAGTCACAAGCATCAAGTAATTGGGGGCCTCATCAGACAGTTGCTCAGTTGTGGTTGTAGGTTGTAAAGAGCCCTTGCAGGCCTAAGTCAGTCACACAGGTTTCTTGGGCTGAACTCTTGCTGGGAAATATAACTAGAGCCTGAGCTCGAGGTTGTCAATCTAAAAATGTTTTACCACTTTTTAAATTAGTAAATGATTTAATATAATCATTGTTACAATTGAGTCATTGCGTATACTTGTAAAAGGGAGTTGTCCAGGTACTTGGGTCTATCATATTCTTTTAAAACCTCTTATTTTTTGGATCCCACAAAACAAAATTTTCCAATATGATACTCTCGAATAATGGCATTTGCTCAAGAGCTATTCAATTTGTGTTAGCAAATCACAAAATACTACTCAAAATATTTTATCAGAAATTGGTTTGAATTTGAATTTTTCAGTGGAGAAAAAGCACAGTATTACAGGCCGGTAGCCAGAGGGGGACCTGGGGGAGCAGAAGCTCCCCCCTGGCCAAAAATTCTTTCAACATCATGCAGTTTTTCACCATTCTGAGAATTATTTTTAGCCAAAATTGTGAAAAAGCTCCCCCTCTTGGTAAAAGCTGGCTACGGGCAGGTATTATATATACTGGTACATGTATATCATTGCCTAATAGAACTGGTAATTTTGGCAATATAGCTCACTAAGCTATTGCTATTTCAAGTAATTTCCAATGATGTACCATACTGTATGACCTCATACCATGATACATACACAGTTAAACTTGTAATACATAGGACACTCTCAATCCTAGCAAATATTCCTTCCCAGATGGGTGTTCCTTACAGAGAGGGTTCATTAACATATAATGGGTTATTTTGAAAATTTGCTGCATATAGAGATGTAGTATTGTTCCATCTGACAGCCATTTCTATACAGTGAAATCTGTAAAGTGGAACACCTCTGGTAGTGAAACACTTCAGAGTAAGAGTCCCACGACCAACTTACTTAATGAACCTATATAAGTGGAACACCTCTCAAGTAGAAAACATTTTAGAGGTACCAAAGGTGTTCTACTTAAACAGGTTTTACTGTAGCAGGTTGTCTATGACTTTGATTTGTGAGACACAAACAATGTTGGTCTTGTCTGGCATGTCCTGTTCATTAAAATACTATGATATTTATTACCATATCTTTACAATGAGAAGTAACATATTTTATGTCCAGACTTGGCAACCTTGAATCCATGTGCTTATAATGAGATGTAATTATTAGGTCACTTTTCTAATTAGGGCATGATTTCATTGTGGTGAGCCATACAGATGTCCCCTGTCTTGCTCTCATTCAGAGATAATGGGATAAATCAGCACAAAGCACCTTCTGTTTCAAAGTTTTACCTAAATTGATAAAAAATCTTAGAGGTCATCATTTTTTTAACATGGTGTAAACAGATTTTCAGCAAGATGGCATATTATCAACATTATGGGAATTGTGTCATCAACATTATCGGAAAGCAGCATCAACATTTGTATCCTTCTGAATGAAATCAAATGTATATTATCTTGGTTATTTCTGAAGAAACACCTATTGATTAACCACAACAATTGAACTTCATACATGTACTTGGATCTGTGATCCACCACCATCTACCAAAGTTTCAAGTAGAACAATAAAAGATAATGGAGTCTGTGTGAAAGTCAAGGAGTCATAAAATTATGTATCATAGTTTACATGATCATCTCTTAGGCCATCTTTTAAAGTAAAAATACCACATTGCGGTGATGCCAAAACAATTTTTATGAGCATTTTAGTGTGTGTTTATACATAGCTGCTGAAAAAAGAAGGAGATACCACTTTCCTTTCATATGCCCTAGATATGTTATGAATTATGATTGTGTTATTGACTTTACCTATCCCTGATGATGTTGATGCATTGATTGTGCTTGGACATTAGATGTATTAATGATATAGGACATCAGTTGTGCTAAGAAATTGAATGTGCTAAGCTCTGATTGTGCTGCTAAGATATTGATTGTGCTTAGACATTAGATGTACAACTTTGCTCAACTCTGATTTTGCTTCAACATTTATCTCAATAAGACATTAGATATACTAAGATATTGGTTGTGCTAAGACTAAAGTACTGATTCTGTTGATAGGCACTTTTTAGAATTATCATTTTAGTCTGCAAAAGGAAACACTGGTACTTATGCCCATATTTCCACGGTTTTCATACTTCTAAGATAAGAACGACAAAATTGAGCTGACCTGGGAAGGGATCTCCAACTCGTCATGTTAAAGTACAAAGTTTTTTAAAGATGTTTTGCCTGCCAGTTGAAGAGTTATTGTAAAGATGTAAATCACATACTGAGAAGTGTATGTAGCATTTATAGCCTTGTTTTAAATATATATGGTATATGCACTTTGATAATGGTCATAAATTTTGATACAATTTTATACTAGGTATACTGTTTTCTTTAGTCTATCATACCTTAAGGTAGTTCTTCACTTTCAGAAACAATTTGAAACATGATTTAAGGTTTTCTACCATAACATGTATTTACAAATGTACATCAAATTTTGAAATTTAAAATTATTAATTATTAGGAATTAAATCCATGAAAATTAAGCAGATATTCTCATCACATGCAATTACCTTAATAAATCAAGACTGGGCTACAAGGGAAAAATGGAAGTTTGATAATTTAGAGAAGTTGTAATTGATTCCAAAGGCTCTAATAGCTTGGCCATTATAGTACCATGTACCATTATATCCATCTAAGTACATATAACTCACTATTTCATAATTTGAGAGAAACTGGATCCTTAATCATATAGCCTTCTGTTGTCAGGCTAAGTCTGATTTATAGAGAATTTATGGCTTGATGAAGGTAGTTATGCTTTTTATTTGTAATCTCATCATATCATGATTGAGTTAAATTGTAAAAAAGCTCTCATACATTATAGATTGAGGCACTGAGGCAGGTTATTTGGTGCCTTACCTTTAATGGACCAGGGGATTGGAGGGAATTTGACATGAAATATTGTCTAGGAGGTGGGGTTTTATAGGGACTTAATGTTTTCCCGATAATCAGAATTTTGACTGACTAGTTGACTATGACTTCTGACTACTGACTATCTCAGGGTAGGGAATTTGACAGTCCCAATTTTTATTTTGGCAAACTCCCCATTACTTCCCACATGGGAGGATTCCTAAAAAAACTTTGAATGGTGTTTCCATGGTTACCAATAATCTGTCTGTAAAGCAACACATTCTTAACCGATCATATAATAGATTCATTGTCATATCTCTATGAAAATATCACTTCATTACTGAAAATGTCATCAGGTAACTCGAAATAAAGAATAATATGGATTGCCCCTTTGTAACTCCTGATTGGGGAAAAGTTCAGTATGTTGTTGGTCTGAGTATTACAAATATTTACCTTATGTCTTTCATAAATCCTTCATGAGATACGTTTTTTGCAATATTTCATTTGTGATTTACTATATGATCTTTCATCATGAAGAGTCAAATATATGATGTGTGTTTTTAACTTTACTGTATTACATGTCAACAGCATCATGACATGATATCATATTGCATCAATATTTGTACAACTTAGATCTTTCTAGACAGATTTGTTTTAGTATTGTTGTTACATCTGTTAATATATTTTTAAAGCCTTAAAAACTCATTAAGATATAAAGCAACTCTGTTTTTGATTTCAGATGAAAAATGTACAATGCTAGAGAATGGTATGACCGGAATGCCGTCCCAGATGTGCGTGGGGGGTCCCCGGCAGGTCCAACCACCCCCACCCATGTATACAGAGCCCCCTAAGCTGGCCCATGCCCCTCATACACAGCATGTCCACGTACCCCAGAATCATGTACCTCCAGCTACCACTCAGCCATATCCAACACCTTGCAGTGTACCACCTATGAATCATGGGATACATATGCCTCCTCATCTTCCATATAACAAGTAAGTCGAGTTAAAAATTATATGTTTTAAGTCACATTTTGGTTCATAGTGAGAGTGCATGCTATAATTCAATAAACTTTTATCAAATAGATTGACTTGTTTTCTGGTTTTGGCTGGCCCAGTCATGAATTTTTAAAGTGATATTGATAGATATTTGAATATTTGAAAAAGTTAGGAGCAAATATACGAGTTTGTCTATCAGCATTTTCATAACATTTCTATAAGAAATCTGGATGTATTTCATGTCACCACCAAAAGATGGTGATACATCTTCACAGTCACCATTTTTGTGACCAACATCTACCAGTTCACATTCAGCATCATCATTGATGTTTGCAAGTGTTGCCATTATTAGCTCTCTGTTCAATCTCTTTTTTCTTTTTCCCTTTAATATATTTTCTTCACTTTGTATTCCAGCATGAATAACTTGATCAACCATACTAAGAAGCGCAAGATTGACTGTCCCCCAAGCACTGTGACAAACATGATACCAAACATACAATCTAGTTTGAATGGCATAATCAATAACATCAAACAAGAGCCAGGTAGGGACGCTAAACATACTACTTTTATTCTAGTAAAAATAACTCCAAAGTCATTTTTTTGTTGTAGTCTGTATTTTAATATTATAGAGAAGAAATCTTTTTTTACTTTACTTTGTAATAGTCTGTAGATCTTGACATTTCTGATCTCATTGTTTTTGTTTTTGTATTCTACAAATGCGATCAGGTTGCTAGATGAGTACAGTAAAATCTGTATATGTGAACACCTCTCTAATTTGAACACCTTGGTCTGATTTTCATAATCATAATCTACCATAGACCAAGGACGGATCCAGGAACCAACAAGGGGGGGCTTGAAGTCTTGAAAAAAATGTTGGGGCCCTAAAACCAAAAAGTGGGCCCAAATTTTGAAAATTTAAGGCCTTTTTTAGAAATGTGAACACCTGCCAATTCAAACACTTTTGGCTGGTCTTAGTGGTATTCAGATTAGACAGGTGTTACTGTTTTCCAATATTTCATTTCAATAAATGTTATTTTGAGAAGCAGTTTCTTGAAAATACCTCACTCTGAGATGGGAATAGAACATCATATATATTTGTATTAAGTGGATTTCAATGAAATATAATTTTTTATTTCAAACTATTCGCTATTAATTTAGTTAGTTTAGTCATGAGAACAATCGAAAATAAGCTTCAAATAGAAATTACACCACCACCATGCAAGAGGTCCTATCCCAGAAGGTCTTAGTATCTAGTGATTCGATCACATTCAGTCTTATTTGGGACGCTGTATCAACTATATCCAGATATGACATAGGGATTTTCTAAGAATCATGGATGAATTGTATCTTGTTGTATAACTGCTCACTTTCTAATATCACTGACTTGAAGACCTTTGTCAATATTTGGGTTGTGTCAGTGCTATGGCAACACATATTCAATTAGCAATACCATTAGGAAACTTTCCCTTCAGCGTTATGTCATGATGTTTGGATTACAACATTAATGACTGGAGTGAGCTAAAAATTAATTATTAGCAACTTTGTAATGTCTAAACTCAGATATCATGAATCGAGACTTTCTCAACTCCATGGATAAAAAATGAACATTCTGAGAATTCGAAAACATTAGTTTGAGCAAAATTAGTCTTTACTCTCCTAAACCAATACATCAGTCCACTTTCCTGAAAATTACATTTAGACGACTTATAAATCATGATTATTAGGAATTCCATCAAGATTCATGCATTATTTGTGCTTCTTAGCTGAAAAAACATCACTCTTAAAATTCATGCTTGGTGTTAAGTGATGTCATTTATTTTTATTTAATTTTATCACTGTTGCGGTTTTATAAAAAGCGCTTTTCCAAAACTCCTAGGACCCTAGTCACTAAACAAACGCCTTAAATCGTTAGGCGCTTTAGGAGTGTAGTGTAATACCGATCGGTTTTGTAAAACGCCTTACCCGGGTTTTACCATTTGCACTAAACAAAATAAGAAATAGTTCTAATGCTACACATTTGGGCTAAGCAAAAATACAGGAAATGATGGATGGAACCCAAAAAATGCAATAGGTCATCAAATTATATCTCATAAATTGAAAGTTAGTTCACATCACTGTCTCTGTTACGTTTTCTCTTAGATGCTTAAAGAATAAATTTATTGTAGACATACACATCTGCTGGATATTCTCCATATCTACATCGTTAAAAGTGCACAATAGGCGTTTTTGAAATGACAGGTGTAATTCCAAAATAAAATTCCTTTAGAAATGTTGGTGTATTCAGGATGGCGATTTAGTAAAGCGCTTTCCACTAAAGCGCTTTTTTCGTTTTTTCTGGTGTAATTGCAGCAATTGTGGAGTTCAAAGCCTATTTTATGTTTGAAAGTAAACTAGATATCACTCACAAGGTTTACTCGAAAAGGGACTCAGATAATCATAATGGATCAATCTGCAAAAGCAGATTTATTGCTAACTGAAACATTAAGTATAATGTATGTATCCACGTGTCCGGCGCATGTACATGTCATCCTTTGGGAATATTTGAATATTTATTGAAAAAACAAAATGTACCGGCACAAATCTGATTGGCAGCCAAGCCAATATCGTGGACAAGTGACACTTCAGTCAGTTTCTGTTACATCAAGGGGCCCTTCAGAAGACTTGACTTTAAAAAAATCAAATGTCATTTTGACCTATTCTCAATCTGTGTGACTTCGAGCAACAATTTAGGTGAAGTGTTGACTTGGTTGTTCAATATGTTGCAACAGTTTTATTTTAGAGAGGCGTAACTAAGGTCATTTCGCAAGTAACTCAAGGCTCTTACTAGTATACAACTCTAGAAGTAGTATCATTCAAAACAATGTAATGAGTTATTTGTTCAAACATGGGCTTTCAAGACAAATTATCAAATTTTTCTTGTTTTTTTCTTCTTTTTGAGTAAATGTACATGCATATGCCGTGGCAAATTTAGCCTACATGTAATTACATCACTGATTTAGAATGAAGGTAATGCAATGGTGGTTTTCCACGATAAGTGATCAATTCTTTGAATTATAACATGGGACTACATACGTTTTCTTTTATAAAATCCACCCTTTTCAAAATATACAATGATCTCCCAAGATTTATCTCTCAACAGGATGCTTAATTTTGGTCAAAATGTCTCAATATATCAATCTTTTGGCAGATTAAAAGCAATTTTTCAGTTATTACTTGCATTAATGGGCTAATATTCTTTGCATATTTTAGAGGAAGGTTCAAAGTCTTTGTGGATTTAAAATCATCAATAGAGTGCAGCACCAGGTTGTTCTAATACTGAATCAGAAATTAATGACCTTGGCATTTGGGACATTTGCGAAAATATTTATATATCCCTCCTACCTCCTCTCATCCTCTATTAATTATGGCTATTGATTTGTATTTAATAACAGATGAAGTGCCATTATAATGCGTCAAATTCTGAAGTTAAGAGGTACTTGGAAAATGGAAACTTCATATTGCATTAATATCAGGGAACACTTCATTTATATCTTAACAATAACCACTTGAATTATGGTAATCAAGTCATATTCTCATATTCAATACCAGTATATTTTATCATGTTTTATTTTCATGATGATGTTTCGATTGTTTTTTTTTTTAAAGTACAGTTTCATATTTGAGGCTTAGATTCATAAATCAATAAATATTCACTGTTATTCTATGCCAAGTGGAGTTTTAGGGAGATACGTTGGTAAGATATATCCCGTATCCTGATTTTGAGGTTTCCGTATCCAGAACCTCCATATCTCCCGCTCCAGGGCATATCTTCTGGCTTTAAAAAAAAAGTTGAAAAAAAATCGACAAAAGTTGAAACAATTAATTTTTTAGAAAACTCCACTCGGTATAGGATAAAGCAGTAATGTACAGTCAGTTTTGATATCGGGTTTATCCCTCGTGAGATATGCACATTTACCTTCGGTCCCCCAGGTAGATATGCATATATGGATAAACCCCATATCCAAAACCTCCCAGTATATAACCTTTATTATATTTTGAGAAGTAGAAATAAATTATTCATATCAGGAAGAATTCATTTCCAAAAAACACTAAACTGTTTCTAGATGCCTCTCCATTATGATAACTAAAACAAATACTTCAGTTAAAAATTGAAAATGAAAATGTCAACTTTGTATGATCTGATATCTTAATTCTATATTTTCATTAATTCAATTTAAGATTGTAGGGGGAATAGTGGCAAGCTTTTTGAATAGATCGCTTCTATATTCTCCATCCCATCCGATTCTTTTAAGTTTAAGCTTTGGAGGTACATGTTAACACTTATCCAAAGTAAACCCCTCAAAATTGTAGCACTATTTGTATCAGGGTGTGGCACTTGAATCCTCCTATGTTCTTTACATAGAATCACACTCCCACTTCAACCTAGCCAAGCCAGGTCTTGTGGAAGGGAGAGATTTCATTTGAAATGTTTCACTGAACATCTTTTTGAAATATGTTTATTTTAGGATGTCTACCAGATTGTACAGAAGATGACTATACATATGACCCTCCATCAGACTCGAGTCCCCCGTCAATGTACCTGGAGAACCAATACCAGGTGATCAAGTGGCAGGGATTCCAAACGTCAAAATGGATGCCACTGTTAGACCCAAATATGAAGGAATTGTGAGTATTCTATTAGGGAGAAATGAAGTTTGATAATTTACAGAAATTGTAACATCTATCTTGGATAAAGGGAGTTCACTGTACAATAAGTACTTACAAATATGCTGTTTTTGTTATTTTTATTTTATCTCTGAATGCAGAATGTATTATGTGGGTGCTTGAAATTGTGAAGGTACATGTATATAGTTCAATCTGGTTATGAGATCATTGGAAATCTAGAATAGTTTAGTTTATGTTATTTTGTTTTGGCAAAATCCATATTTGTCCTAAATGTCTTCATAGGGTGGCATCCTTTGACCAAAGGGCTCCAAAATCCAGAATATATTTTCTCTCTGGACTAACGAATTCTTGATCCCTGTGTACAGATGATATTGTGGCAGGGTAATTGGTAGAGAGGCTTCCTTCTTTGAGATATACGGGGCAAAGGTCTATGCCTTCAGGCGAGCGTCATCTTCACGAAGAACCAACCTAATAAGATGATTAATAGTCTTGTTTGCTATTATTTCAGACCTACACCCAGCTATAGAGTAGATGCGGATAAAGGATTCAACTTTTCTGTCTCCGATGACTCATTTGTGTGTCAGAAAAAGAACCATTTCCAGGTATTAACTCAGTCAATTTAAATCTTTTAAAATCACTTAACAATATTCTTCTGTTATAACTTGAGCTCTGAATTTAATTTTCACTTTTTGTGACACAATGCAAGATTGTTTTAACATGAATATTTAACTCTTTCATCAAATTTCTAAATGCGTCTATTGCTAATTTGTTCAGAAGTGGTGTTTATCTTATTCAGGTAGCCTATACTGGGCTCTCACAGCCTGTCCTTTGGAAAGGCACATCTAGACAAAATTGATTCGTTTTTCCAGATTTAATGGGACTTTATACAAAACACAGTCCATGATGCAATATCTCACTTTTTCATCCATAATGCATATCTGATATTAACTTTTTAGGTGACAGTCCACATCGGCGTTACAGGCAAACCAGAATATGTTAGAACTCCAGATGGGGTGAAAAAAATTGACAAATTTTTCCTATATTTTAATGGAATAAAGGTAAGTTTCAATCCTTTTGTATACTAGAGGGGTAAATAGTTTAATCTGAATGTATTTAATAGTTAGGGGATGAGTGTTTGATTAACATAATATGAAATAAAAGATCTGATATCTACAATAAGTAAACATGCATTGGTTATAACCATACAAGGACAAATTAAAACATGTATTGCATCGATTATATCCATATAAGGACAAAATAAAACATGTATTGCATCAGTTATATCCATATAAGGACAAAATAAAACATGTATTGCATCGGTTATATCCATATAAGGACAAAATAAAACATGTATTGCATCGGATATATCCATATAAGGACAAAATAGAACAATGTTTACATTTGTTATATCCATATAAGGACAAAATAAACATGTTGCATTGTTTCATCCAGATGGAATCTCCTAATCAACTCATCAAGATTGAGCAGTCACAATCAGATAGAACCAAGAAAGCCTTCTACCCAGTAGAGTAAGTATTCATTCTACATAAAGTCTTCGCCATTTTATTAACAGTACTATATCCCCTAGGCTAGGGATTTATGTGTTACTTTGTGAACTTAAGTTTAGAAAAATTGAAATTTTAATGCTGCATATAATACATTTCTTAAATTTTCAAATTTTTTTATATATGGTACAGTTAACTTTATGACAAGCAAACAACAATTCTACTTTGACCAGCTAAATGAAATTGGAAAAATGACTTATTATTTTTTTATTTCATTAGAATAGATTATTACGCAAATAATAGATGATAATCCTAAGATTTTTAAATTTTAGGGTTTCCTTGCCAGCAGACCAAGTTACCAAGGTAACTGTTGGTAGGCTACACTTCAGTGAAACAACGTCCAATAACATGCGCAAGAAGGGAAAGCCAAACCCAGACCAGCGCTACTTCATGTGTGTGGTGTCATTGAAGGCCCACTGTGGGGATGACAAATATGTCATAGCTGCACAAGTCTGCGAGAGAATCATTGTCAGGGTGAGTAGGGAGGTAGAGCAAATGGGGAAAAGTTGGGGGAAAGCATGGGAATTGTATGGATGGAGCTGGGCTGAGTTTATGTTTATGGTGTCCTTTTTTTGTGGTAATCATTAATATAAACAGGTTAAAGAGATGTCCTAATGTACATCAAACATTTAGAATGACTTCCATAATTCCAGGCATCTAATCCAGGTCAATTTGACAGCGACGTAGATGTTCAGTGGCAGAAAGGCCAGAACTCAGACGCCATCTATCATGCTGTGAGTACCATCTTATACAAAATTATTTTCCATCTTAATTGTATTTTCATTTCAGTCAATTTGAGGAGGTTCCCAATCATAATGTTATACTATACATGGACATAGTAATTTTTACTGTTCACTTTTTCATATTTTGAAGTAGCTCTTCTTTGGTTCAAATAAAAGAAAACGATTTTCTTAAAAAATGTCACAGTTAAAACAATCACTTTAGAATGTACGATTCACAAAACATTTTGAAGCTGAACCCATTGGAATTCTTTTTTGATTTAGGGTCGGGTTGGAATCAACACGGATAGACCAGATGAGGCTCTGGTTGTCAATGGCAACTTGAAAGTGCAGGGGGTTGTGATTCAACCATCTGATCAGAGAGTCAAGACAGATATAAGAGAAGTATGAAAATGAAATTATGTAAATGTATAAGGTGTTATAAAGTATTTGTGTAAATGGTACAAATTAACATCAACAATAATGTCTATCATAATGTTGGCAAATTGAAGTCAACATTAAAGATTGTAGAACAACAGTTCATTATACGTATTCCCAATATCTTCTGTTTATCTCTTGCAGATTGATCCCAAATCACAATTAAAAAATATAAACGATCTCCGAATTTGTTCCTGGAAGTTCAAGGATGAATTTGCAAAGGCTGCTGGGATTCCCGAGGACAGTATCAATGATACAGGTGTCCTGGCACAAGAAGTCAAGGTCATATTACCCGATGCTGTGCGGGAAACTGGTGATGTTGTCTTGTCAAATGGAGAAGTTGTTGATAACTTTCTTGTGGTCAATAAGGTTTGTTTGATGGAAAATGGATTATTTTGACATCTGTAAAACCCTGGTTAGGTTCTGGTTAGGTTACTATTACCAATATAACCAAAGTCTATGTGAGAGTGCATATATATATTTTGAAAACGCAGTTCTATTATACAAAGTGTAGTTTTATTGAAGTTCTCAAGTGATATCTCACATTTCCAACAATGCTTTATGTGAAATTTGAAGTAGAATACCCATAATGCTTTGTTTTGAAAAAGCAGACGTACATACATTGTAAATGTTACCTTCCAGGACCGGATCTTCATGGAAGGAGTCGGTGCTGTAAAAGAACTCTGCAAATTGACTGATAATTTAGAAAACAGAATAGATGAACTTGAAAAAATGAATAAAAAATTATCCAAAGCCCAAATTAAACGAATGGATAGTTTGAAATCAAATGCCAGCTCTAAATCTGCAACCAGCAGCATAAGGAGCAATAGGTAGGACTTCAAATATAGTCTTATTACATATTTGATTTTTTCGATGATTTGATAAGAATAAATTATTAAAGTATCTTATTCTTGTACATTTTCTCATCGAATAGTATACTGAAATTTCAATATTTATCCTAGCTGCAGGGCGTTTAATAAGTATTGCTTAATAGAAGGGTGTACTTCTTTTTTGTTGGGTTATATATCCAACTCATTCTTATTTTCATTCAGAGAAATCTGTAACTATATTAGTATATTTTCATTTATTTATGTTTCAGTTATCATAAGGACAAAAGTAAAGAATTCAGTGATAAAAAATCTTCAAGTAATACAGCCAGTAGCACTACAAATGCAACAACAACAACTACTACTACTAATGGCAAAAATGGGCAAACATTGCGGCAGAATCCACCTGCTGAGGAGTCTGGTATATGTAGCAATAAGTTCATACAGATCACTGTCGTTGTCTTAGTTCTCGTCATGGCATTCTGGTAAGTGACCCCTGGGAATCATCCTCCTTTATTAAATTGAGTAGTTTACAATACTAGTGAAGATCTTTAAAATTGTACATTACGAGCAGTAGATGAATAACTTCAACATGCTTGTACACATTTCTTCAGCTTCATAATGTAAAATGAACTATTACATGTTTTGAAGTATGAGAAAGTATAAGTGCTCTATGTTATGGTCTGCAATTTAATAAGAATGAATGCAACATTTGGATCCTGGTAGCTAAAGGATCCAAATCTACCATGGGCTTTCAAGAGATCTTGAAAGCCCATGGTTCTACACATATTAGCAATATATTAAAATTTTGCTAGAATTTTGAGATGTTAGAGCTCAAAAACTGGATCATTTTCAAGGTCAAATTTTAACTTGCTTCAAATTGAACAAATTCCCACACTTAGATTTGAGATTGACCTTTGGCTCACATTCAAGTTGTCAAAAATGCCTAGAGGGGCCTCTGTAAGACTGCTTGCAATCTTAATGTCTAGTTCTATGTATTATTAAAAAGATGTATTGGGATATATTTGAGTGTAGATCTTTTTGACCCACCCTGTATTTATCAAAAACTTATTTGTTTTCATTGTATAAATAAAACTTTTTTATAGCGTAGTGATGATAACTACAATTGTTCTTATGGAATATGACAAATCTCAATTCCAAAATGAGCCAAAGTTTCGCAATACATCTCATCCTTTTAGACCTCGACTTCATGGTGAAAGGTGAGGATGCAGATTGGATCACCATGACAATGTAGTACCCATGATGCACTTGTACACTGAGGACCCCTTGAACAAACCTCTGCACAATTTGCTTTCTATGTTTTCATGTATTTTTTTCTTGCTGATGACACCAACAAATTCCATAATCTCCTAAAGGAGAAACCATTTCTCCCTCTTGACTTAATCATGAGATTGTTTACAGTCTATTGGGCGTCATGACGATACTCCTGATACAACAAGAACAGTTGAGAACGGCAACACCTCCTAAAAACCGTGCCCCACCACTTGACCTAAACTTTAGTGAGATTGTGCCATGGTAGGCTTCTCTCAAGCATATCAGCTTGATCTGTTTGTGATATCAATACCAGGATTGTGTTATAGTTATTTACTATAAATATAAATAGTCTTGCATCTGATCTTTTCCTCCTCCCTTACTACTTTTCTTGAGGTAGGGTTAACAAGGATAAAATATTTATTATATGTTGGAAATAGTGTACAGTTAAAATTACAGTTCTTTTTGGGGGGGACTTGAAAGACTGGTGTATATCTGCATTAATGCTCCTCCTTCATGTTCTTGTTTTCCCAACTTCTATGTTTATTAGGGGGAGTGATAGGAAACTGATGCAAGATTATAAATATATTATTTGTATATTTGTTGCTTTGGTTTGTTATATTTAGCTAAGTTGGATGGACATTGTCTTCAGAGAATATGACAAATTTGCTACATGCATATTTGTTAATATTTTACATGCAATGATATATTGTTGGATTGGGGGACTTTTATTTAGACCTTCTTTAACTGACAGTTAAATTGAAAAATTATAAAGACTTAAAGGCAGAATCTAAAAGTAGTATCCATCATTAGAATCATCATGATCTAAATATTTCTACATCCCGCATTCAATTGTCTATAAATATGGTCACCATTCTTATTATCTGGAAGACATTACACATGCATTTTGCCCCCATTTTTGCACTTTGAATCTAAATAACTTCACCAATTGATAATTAACATATTGTGGATCTTTTGGGAGATATCATATTTGAGCTTGTAAGGGATACATTGGTAGATCAATTGTACATATTGCTTGCAATTTTGTCAACCCCTCCTATAGATTCTGCCTTTAATATTTTAAAAGAAAATCTATATTGTGAACAATGACGGACCAACATCTTCATTTATGGGCTTTCAATATTCAAGTTCAGTTATTCTTGAATACATATATAAGATTACTTAATGATTAAGCTTTTAATTTTAGATACATGTTTGGGAACTCAACCAAGAATTTATGTATCATATCCTCCCCCTCCCTTCCTCCCGAATTACCAGGGTCATTACTCACAGATGGTGTGATTTAAGATTCCTAAAATTCAGTTATATTAATCCAATTCATGTGTGACTGAAATGGAATTGATAGTCTTGCTTATGACCACACCCCTTACCCCATCAAGGGGGGCAAGGGGAGTAAATATGGGGGTCCAAAGACTCGTGGATCGGTTGTGAATGCTTCTTACAGTAGTGAGGGAGTAAACCCCAAATATGTGCAGACACCAAATTTTGGGTGCTAGATAAAAACCCTAGATAAGTTAATATAAGTCCCTCCATGAAACCCCTTTGTCTCAATTATTGTAGAGTGTTGGCTTATTCCTAGAGACCATGCTTTGCTTTTACAGCTTGGTTTCCATAACAACACTGTATATCCTAGAGCGCAATAAACAGCAAAATCAACCCCCAGGCAAAGTAGAGGAAATAAGGTAATTGGTTGTTATTACTGAATAGTAGAGTTTATTGTTTTATCAATTAGGAAATATTTACTCATTTGGGGTATAGTCGTTATGTTGGTTAAAAAGTTCACATTTACATTTAATTTACAAATGAAGTAATTATATTTCATTACTCTTTCTCATTTACTCATTGTAATGATTTGAACATGACTTGACACATTATTGCATTACCTTTTGGATGAAATATGTTTTCTTGCATTCTTTTCTCCAAATTGCAATGCATTTTACTATCTGTCTACTCTATATACCCAATAAGGGGTGATATGAGAAATAAAAAGATAATAATGGGAAGATTTCACATTATGTTTAGTTTTAGTAAAGTTTTTCTTTGTTGTCTGTCTTTCATTAACTTTTTAAATTACAAAGTTCAATTTAGTCACACTTGTTTTTTGTTTTTTAACTTGTCATTAAGCACAACTTACCAGTGAACTATACGAGTATATGATTATAAATACAAAAGTATTGAATATCTCAATATTTAGTGGTTCCTCTTAAACACATAGACATTGATTCTCCTTATTTACTTTAGACCATTTTGTGTAAAGTGTTGAATATTTTGTAGGAATTCACCTGGGACAACCAATCTTCCTACTAGACCTACAGATATTGTAAGCCAGACCTCTACAACACATTCCAGTAAGTAATTGTTTTATGTCCTTTACATATTCCTTTACATTTCCAAAATATATCCTGTGCATTTTCATCAGCCAATTTGGAATGAGTACCAGTATGTCTTTTAAGATATACACCCTGGACTGATTCCAAATCATTTTTTATTTTATATTTTCAAATTGTTTTTTAATGATCCAGATAATAGAAGAGTTTTCATATAGCTTTGAAATCTCGTTTATTCTCATTTTTTCATGTGTGTTAAAGAGATTTCCACTTTTAACAGCTAACAACGAACTTTTCTTTCTTTTTAATAGCATATCTGAATTCAGTGGAAAGTTTTCCACAATAATAACAATAATTACTGATTTATACAGTTATTTTATTTAAATCATTTTTGACGACGTCTTAAAAAGACTTAAAAAACCAAATTTCATGATTAATCACAATAGGTACATTGACAGGGTCATCCCATAGTATGCCATTTAATTGAGTTTCAGACAGATTCAACCAACACATTTTCATAAATCATTAAATTAAGTGACTATTGCAAGTTTATAACAGGCATGGCAGTCTGGCCCAAGCAAAACGAAGATGACGAGGGTGACATCTATTATGTCAGCTTTGAATTGGTTCATATTCATTCTCACTAGCAAAGTCTTGATCAAATAGGGCATCTTCTGTTTCAGCTACTACAATGCCAAATATACACACAACAAGATTACCATTAAAGTCACTGCTGCCTGTTAAGTGCCTTCAGCCAATGCAATGCCAGGAATTCTGTTGCCCCGCCCCTCCATTGGATGATCTGCCATACCAACCCAACCCACCCAACACTCAAACAACTAGTAAGTCTGGTATGTTATTAGCATCTTTTGAAATTAGTCTTAAGATTTATTGGAATGTTAAACCCTTTGTAATTACATTTAAAATACTAAAATATTTTTTGTAGCCATTGTCTATGATATGAATTACATTATTTCATGAATTGCTACTAGCTCTGTTCTTCATTTTTTTTAGAAAATCATACTACTGTCATAGTATATCATGGGGGTGACAAAGGTCCACGGTATGGTATCGAAGATAACACTAATGGTGACACTGAAAAATCTAAACAGAAAGCAATTGACCCTAATGTTGCTGTACATGATGATGATGCCCATAATGAACTGCCAGATTTGTACAGTGAAATGCCACAACCAACACTAGGGGAGCCCAACTTTCAGCTGGCGAATGATATTGTCATTGTGCCCTATGATAATGGTCCATTTGTGAGGAAGCGGCGAGGTTCAGCTGGTAAGAGAAAATGAAAAATTCATGAACAGTGTACATATACTTTAACAACAAATTGAAGGAACATGTTGAATATGTACAATATGATTAAAGAATTGCTGATGAAATGGTTTCGAAAATTAAGTCTCTATTGTTAAGAATTAGTGACAATTTATCATGTTTATTCCTTGTTTTACGTATGATTGGGAAAATGAAAGTCCAAATGTTATTTGAAACTGTACATAGATTATATTACAGAACACAGAAAAGTTACACACATTTTACTTCATATTATTATAAGTTGAACAAAATTATATATCATATATGTTATATGAAATTATGAAATGAAATGATGTTATATTTCAGATGACCTACTTCCAACAGACATGTTCCTCGTCCAGTTTAATATGTCTATAGGAGATAACTACTGCCAGGAGAATTCCTGTTACCAGGGTGGAAGCTGTCGTAATTTCACATGTAGCTTGCCACTAAGCCACCTTGTCCCTGCAGAGTCTCTAACATTACAGATCAAGTAAGAATTCATTATTTTACTTCTTTCACAAACAATTTTTGATTTGCTGAACAGTTATCGGAATAGTTTTTTTTCAAGTTGGTGTTGTGGCATATTATAGTTGGTTGAATTAAGACATAAACTAGTCAACATAAGTTCATTTTACTCAATATCTCAACCCTTGTGCCTCTTATTTTTGGGGGCCTTATACCATACTCATACAAGAACCTCTATGTCTCTCAGTTTTAGGGGCTTTATATCATATACCAACAGATTCGCTCAACTGCAATAATCAGATGTACAGTATTCTCAAAGATCATGAAATAACATGTATTATAATATATTAATATATGCAATATGTTATTTTCAGATATGAGGGTGAAGTTGATGTGAAGATGTGTAATCATGTGCTTCAACAGTGGTGCCACTCTGAGGCTGAAGCTGGGACACCCAGGGTGAGTTATGGAAATGTTTAGAGGGGCTCACCTAGTGTGAGTTAGGGAAATATTTAAAGGGGCTCACCCAGTTACCCAGGATGAGTTAGGAAAATGTTTAGAGGGGCTCACCCAGTGTGCGTTGGGGTAATATTTAAAGGGGCTCACCCAGGGTGAGTAAGGGAAATATTTAAAGGAACTCTGTGCCTAATTATGATCCTAATATACACCGAAATTGAATAATTTCTGAATAATCTGTATGTTGTATTATCAGTAGACTTTGTAACAAACCTACTTTTTAGGTGAATTTTAGAACTTGAAAACATGTTCTCATATTGTTAGAGATGTAATTGCCTTCCTTATCTTATAAGAGATGCATGCACATTTAAATAAAACATTTCCTTGTACACATTTGAAAATATGTTTATTATTCTCTAGGGTTCACAGTTAGAGTGGAGTTTACCTGTTGGCTTTTACTTCAAGAGTAAATACAGATTCAGGGTTTCCAAGTCTCCTATAGTAAGTAAAATATACTTTTTCTAAGAACGTTATATGAGAGAATTGAATTGGAATACAGAGAAATAATAGTTATGATAACTACAGGGAGATCCCAATAAAAGCAGAACCCACAAATGTGGTCGCCCTGTATATGTATGTATGTAACATTAATATATAAGAATATATGACATTGTCAGAAGCCTGACAGAAGGGTGGCTGCATCTCACTTTCTTGTCTGGTTTTTGTCTGCATTTTCAGATCAACTGTCTGACAAATTGATTTGATATTTTATGGTATGATAATCCATAAGTGATTAGATTTTTAGTAAGCTGGGTAAATTCTAAAGCAGCCATTTTTGATTTTAACTTATAAATATGATATTGTTCACTGCGTGGCCTGTTTTGTTATTCTGTAATTTTATTTGGAAAATACAAAAAGGCATAAAGAACAAAATAAAAACCCTTTCAACATGTATTGCAGGAGAATATATGTAGCGTATCAAGTTCCAGTGGAACAGACTTCACAGAGTTCAACTTAAACTTTTACAGGGACTGCCCTCCCTCTTCATAGCATAAGGTTAGTAGTCTATACACAGACACAGGAAACATGGCCAAGAAGGCCCAACTGTACAATACATGTACATGTATATCACATAAGGGAGGCAAATAATGTAATAATCACTCATAAGAAAGGTGTTCCTAGTATGTTATATAATGTGAGAGATTATGGAAATAGATAAAACTTTAAAAGAATTAAAACATCATTTATTTTTGTTTTAAGAGATTAGAAAATCCAAGGTATTATTTTATAAGCCCTTGGGCTCTTATCTCAGTTTGATGTTCAAGAATTGTAAAACTATTTGTGATAATCAATACTCTATTGAAGGTTGAGTGAACATAGTCTTGCTTGAAGACCCTTGACCCCCATCTTCTAAAAGTAGATGGGGGGGGTTGAAAAATACTTAATGTCATGTTTTTAGTAGCATTGTATCAAGTTTTGTTAAATGCCGTAAGAAGTAAAATATTCATGAATCTGACTTTGAAAAATCTGAGCTAACATTCTGATCCTTTCCTTTTCAGGAACATTCCAAGATGTGAGTGTACATAGTATTGTAATATAGAGATATATGGAGATACAACTACTTATAAATGTATATAATCATATATATGACCATAATATAGAACTATATGACTGTAATATAACACAGAATAAAATCCTATGCTCTTTAATATAGAACTGTATATAAACTGTAACATACAACTATATGAATATATAGATGAATTTTATTATATATCTAATATTGACCAAGAAACTAAGTAACTAATATACAGTATATATTAGCATATATTTTGGATAAAGGACTACAAGGTGTAATGGATTATAGATGGCATCCTCGTATTAAGACAAGGAAAGTCACTAAATTGGAAGACTTGATATCTATAAACTATATGGACTTGAATTCAATAATCTATACTGTGAAATCTGTTAAGTGGAACACTTTCCAGAGTACCAAGACCAACTGACTTAATGTTAGATTAACCTCTATAAGTGGAACACCTCCCAAGTGGATCACTTTTTAGAGGTACCAAATGTGTTCCACTTAGGCAGGTTTTACCGTATATGGAATTGAGGTCTATAAACGATATATAGACAGACCTCATAGATGGCGTAGTGATCTAGGGCTGCAAACAAGACTGACAGTGCTGTATATAAAACTGTATAACTGTAAAACTGTAAAGTGCTATTGCTGATTGATACATACTGTACATACAATAACAGTGAACATGGTGGACACTTGTTATATTATCATTGTACTTCATGATGTAACAAGTGCTATATTGGAATTATTTAATGTAATGAGAAACTGAGAGCATAATGACTGTGAACATTCAATAGAAAATATATAAAACAGATGACTAAAGACACGGTATGCATTAACATTACATAAGTAAGTGTAATAGCGTATATGGTGTTTGGCTGAAAAAGTGTACAAGAATTGCCAAATATTGAGGAAATTTCAGTGCTGAAATATTGTGAGGAATTTTTCAAAGATCTTTTTAAAAGAAATTTATTATTAAATGAACTTTATAGATGAAATATGAAATATAAAAAAAATCTGTAAATGTCGATTCCTTGAGATATATGTCTTTTTGATTGTGCCACTGACATTATCCCTGCTGTGAAGTGAAGGAACCATTATAGTGTCACCCATACAAAATAAAAAAAATTGCTTTTAAGATTTCATGTGCTTTTATGGCAGTTTTTCGAGGATTTATTTAAATATTTGATAACAACAAACACAAATTCTTTTTACTGTGAACAGTTGCAAAATACCACAAAAAATCAGCCCCTTGATACAACAAAATTAGGCCGACAAAATATTATTTTTTATTTTAATGTCACAGCGAAAGACAGCTGCTTAAATATAAACGATTAAAGAATAAATTGACTACGGAGTTGCATATAAGGACTATTTATTTTATGAACTATATATTTTCTTAACATTTACAAATGTAACTAAGATATGTGTTATAATATAGAATGTGTATCACAGAGAATTGGGCTGTCTGTATCATTGTAAAATGAACATTTATGTTTCTAGAGATATTGTGTGGAATCATAGTCCATTGAACTGTACTGTACTGTACTGTACTGTGCTGTACTGTACTGTACTGTACTGTACTGTACTGTACTATACTGTACTGTACTGTATTGTATTGTATTGTATTGTATTGAACAGTGTTTTACTATACTATATTGTACTGTCCTGGTAATATACTTTGTTATATTAAACTACTGTATTGTATGGTGCAGTATTGTACTACAAGTTATTGTACTAAACTGGTAATATACTTTTTTATATTAAACTGTACTGTACTGTATTGTATGGTGAAGTATTGTACTATACTTTATTGTACCATACTGGTAATGTACTTTGTAATATTGAGATGTATGCTGCAGAACCTTACTCAATTGTATTGTATTATAATATTATTGTACTGTACTTAAAATGTATTGTTCTGTTAGGTACCTAACTCTATTGAATGACTAGTACTGTATTTTACTTCAATTGTACTGTACTTAATTGTATTGCACTTAATAGTACCTTATTGTATCATATTGTACTAAACTGTTTCTTTACCACACTGTTTATTAAGTGTATCTTACCAAAGGTTACTTTTAATCAATTTTTATGATTTTTTTGTCTGAAAGCAAATTTTAACTGGTCCAGATACTTTTAATATATGGTACAGTATATGGCAGTATGACTCGAAGTGTACTTCAAGTAATGATTTTAATGTCTCAGACAAAATGTAAACATTAATATGTACAGTGTATGTGTATATGAACAGGAAACACATGATTTTTTTATGGATTATGTTGATAGAAAAATGAGCACTGCCAAATATGAAACTGTCTGACTGCTTGATTTTAAATATCTTTTTGAACAACCTTTGTATTTATGTGATTTAGTTTTCTGTCTTATGGTGACTCTGCATTTCTTAATATACCTATTATTAACTATATTATATCACCAATGAAGTCTCTGAAATAAGGGTCCAAGTCTCTAAAATTAGAGTTAATTACTTAAGTTAGAGTAACTTGTGTCTGAGTTGACTTGGGCATGTTGTTTTGATTTTTGAATGCTTTAGTTGTACATAGCTGAAGTTTATGTATGGAAAGCTATGTAAATATGGCTTTTTTAAGTTTGAAATCTGTATTCAATGTAGTACACATGAAATGTATAAAATATGTTGAAAAATAAATTTGTAAAAATTGTACATATGTTCTTTATTATTCCACTTAACAAAGTTAAAGAAGGGCTATAGAGAAGTAATGGTGAAAATGATGATTGAAAAGTGAGAAAACATTCCGGAAGAGAAGGTCACGTGATTAGTTGACCAGTCGCCATATTGGAAAAAACAATTCCATTCGACTTTCAATACTTTCATGCCAATCTTACCACTACAAACTGCAACATCGATGCAACAACTGAATAAAAGTATTCATCTTCAAATTACATTATAGAGTTACGTTGAAACAAATGAGCAATAGACCAAAGGAGACGCGTCGCTATTATCTAGGTCAATCTGTTCAGTGGTCTGAAAGCAAAACTATAGTACTCATTTCCGAATTTTGTTGTTCATTGTACAATCTTTTATTGTCTTATTGATTAAACTCGGTATACTGACTATTAAAGCAATGACAAAGAAGAATACTTCTGATGGTGTCATTGTTTTATTTAGCGTGCGGGTGTAAAACAAAATTGCGTAATTAGTTTGATTTAGAACTTACGGGTTACACAAAATGCATAGTGGGAAAATACTGACCAATCAAATTTTGCGAACGTTCTGATTCAAAGAGTGAACCGCGAAAGGGAGAATTATTGCAGAAGGTAAACCAAATCCTATCATCTTACTTTTTGAAATCAAAATACAACTTCAAATCCTTTTATGTGAGAGCTATCTATTTAACATTTTCAAAACCTCTTATTTGCTCAGATTATACACTTAATAAGTTTAAATACGTGATTTTCTAAACGTCTGATTCTATATGCTCCTTGGAAGTGGACAGTGAAAGAATTCATATCTTCGCATCAGTAAATGTCTCTTCTCGTTGTGACCAAACAACCTAGACAATTGACTTTTGATCCTTGTCGGGGAAAAGCTAAGAAAGCTGAAAGAAGCCTCTTCCACAAGGGCCTCCTAATCAATATCTGAACTCAATATGCGTGATTGAATCATTGTAAACTTAGTTAAGAGTAATGCACGATTGATAATTAATTCAAAAGACATAAGTATTATTGTTGAATTTTGCACTAAACTTGTATAAATGTACCTCTTTTGAAGGTGCCAAAGTTCAAATTTCCCTCCATTTTTCACAACTTGGAAATCCAGTGAATAATTTCTTGGTCGCTCATGACACCCCTGGTGTCAATTTTAGCCTTCAAATCCACAAGAAAACAACGATTTTCAATTGGATGTTGTCACATTGTTAGCGAATGATTTATCTTTAAAATGATATATAATACATGGCATAAATTAACAATTTCATATGATGTTCATCTTTAAACCATGGTATTGTTTTTTTGGCCCACCCTGTATATTTGACCTCACTTATTTAGAGGGGTTAAAGTATGATATTATTTAATCATAAACAAACGCATGAAACTATCTTTAAAATACTGTTTAATATATCACATTTTGTTTTCGGGTTACATATAATCTATGTATAAATTTACAGAATGATTTCATGAACAATGGAATAACAAAATACACCCAAACTAATGTGTTTTGTAAACTGTACTGCACTACACATAAATGTGTATGATTAAAGCATGCATCAGTGTATTGTATTGTATCAATCAATATGGTTTTACTTTAATATAAAATACAATCACTGGTTAGAAACAGGATTCATTTATGGCCATTTCTGTATCTTTTAAGATGTCAAATGACAATGAATAAATTCATTTTCATCAGTTTAAACCACTTTCCCATGGAGTTTTGACTTTGGTTATTTTAAGATTATATAAAAGTTTGTCACTGAAGAAATACTCCATATCACAAAATAATCACATGAAAGCTTGCATAGCTAAGAGTACAATGAATTGATTTGCATGATACAATTACAGAATTTCCACCATTCACCAAGATACAGTAAAAACCTCCAATATATCCTTGTACTAGGATACCAGTGGAAATAGCACCAACATTCTTTGAAATATAGTATGTACACATTGCATTGATTGGCAAGGTTTTGGGCATGTTTTAATCTAGTCATAAAGCCCTATGGGATTACAGTGATATCATTCATTTCCGGATAATTTCATTCTTTGTAATTCTTCTTGAATTGTATGTATTAACACTTTCCTATCCTCATCAGTCAATTTTCCTAATCTGGGGGAATTTGAATTTGAGTCTACTTTTTCTGACTGCTTTCGTAAAAGTACATCATTCAACGATTTATGTTTTGTCCGTGAGCTTTTCAAGCTGCTAGGATCACTGTGGTGTGATCTTGTGTCACTGTGGTGTGATTTGATGTCACTGTTTTGTGATTGAGTTTCTGAATTTGGGTCTATATCACGAGGACTGTTATTGGCTGATCCCTTATCAGACCTTGATTTTGATTGGTCAGGTCTTAAAACATTAGCCAATGAGAATGCATCATCCAGTATCTCATTTAACATTTTAGAATCTTCTGATTGTTTTTGGAGTTGGATTTCTTTGCGAAGTAATGCATCGTTCACTAGTTGCTGAGCGGTTTCTCTGAGCAGTTGTTGTCGTTCTATTTGATCTCGTTGTTTTTGTTGTTGTAACTGGAGATATCGTCTCCGAGCTAATTTTTCATCACTTTCAGGACTCTGAAATGCACAAGGCAAAAAATAATTCATTTGTAGGCTACTTTTGAGCTTATATTAAATTAATAGCGTGCATATACGAGAATAAAACACAAATGAGCTTTGGAATTTTTAGATTAACCCTCCAAATAAACGAGTATGAATATCATTTGGGTGGTCTAAAACTGAATTTTATCTGAATTGAATGTACATTAACTTTAAGTTAAATCTCAGAGTTACAGTAACTTATTGACACTATACGTTGTTAAGTTAGACATGTTCGCAATTCGAAGTCACGTTATCTAAACTTTCAAATTCATGGTAATTTATATTTCTAAGTGAGTCCAAACAAGCAAGAAAATCTACCAGATAAATGCACTAAATAAAAGGATAGCATGAACCTTATACAACATGTATTCATCTTCATAACCACCCAACCTTACTTCAGAAATAACATGCACTGGCAGGCATAGCTACATAATAAAAAAAAAAGTTTCCATTTTTTCCAACATTCGATAACAGTGAGTAAGCCAACACCGCTAAACTATATTTAATATGTAGAATATAAGAGGGAGGGGTTGACTTAATCCCCATGTATTCAATTCCATAAAATGATCAATTTCTACCAAATTGTCAAAATTCCTGCAGGCAATTCTATCACAACACAACACAAAGCCCAAATTAAAAGAATTGTGCTATTATCACAGGTAATTACCAGACCTCAAGAATCCATGAGCATTTTAGGCTCTGTGTTGAACTAATCATACCACCAATTTCACTAATATAATATATAGCCATGCAATGCCTCGGATATGATACCACCAAGCAAATTCATCATACGGTCTGGTTATTACTCATGTACTCTTGTACAGGGTGTCTATAAAGTCACTTTACAATTACAATGCTGAGTCTGTGTACACAGTAAAGATACTTTACAGACACCATATACATTAATATCTTTCAATAAAGCTCATGCATACAATATAAGCACTCACTGCAAAATGTTCATGGAAGATGGGAGGGGGGTAGCTATATTTAGGAGGTTCAAAGTTGCGATATCCAGTTAGCTTTACTGGTTCTCTTCTAGAGGGCTTCTCAACAGAGTAGCGCCCTCTGGTGTCAGTTTCTACAGGCTGGTGGTGCCCTCTGTAGGATGATTTACTGTGATGTCTGGGCATCTTAGGATGATGAGTGTGCAATGCAGCAGGATGAGACTTATGCTATTAAGGAATTAGGCAACATGTTAGTAAACAAACAATATGCATGTTAGATCTACATGAGTAAAACCTGTCCAAGTGAACACCTTTGGTACCTCTAAAAAGTGTTCCACATGGGAGGTGTTCCACTTATGGAGGTTCATTTAACATTAAGTTGATTGGTCTTGGGTGTTGTTCTACTGAAGTGTTCCACTTCTTGAGGTGTTCCACTTTACAGGTTTCACTGTATTAGAAAATCATCATGATGGTCAGAAATGTGCTTATTCTACATTTCTCTTTTTAAAATTTGAATGAACTGCCTAAATGCCTAGTATTTCTATACATGATTTAATAGTATGGGAGCAAAGGTAATTCCGTGTCCTTTTTAGAGGCGAGCTAAGCGACATATATTTTTATGAACTATATGTGATACTTACCAAGAAAAATGATGTTGGCAATTCTGAATCCGCGACGGCGTTGCTATGGTAACCAAGTAAATAAGCCACGTCCACTTTTAGGGGCTCTTTTCAGTGTTTGACCCTTTTCTCCTTCATTATTGCTCAGATTTCGATGAAATTCACACCAAATGGAAGGAAATAGATAACACACTCAAAATATATTAAGTTGGCAATTCTGAATCCGCGGCAGCGTTACTATGGAAACAAAGTAAATATGCCACACCCACTTTTAGGGGCTCTTTTTTGGTGTTTGGCCCATATATTTGTCATTATTGCTCAGATTCCAATGAAATTTGCACCAAATGAAAGGTAATAGATGGAGCAATCATACAGTTCATAAAATATGCAAATAGGGTGATTTGAATCTTAATTATGACGTCATAACTGTTTGTTTTTGTGTATTTTATTTTAATCATGATGTATAAATCTGCGAAATTATTATTTTTAAAAATGTCAGTAATGCTTTTAACTAGTTAATTAGTTTATTTCTTTTAGTTAAGTTTATTAGTTTATTACATTCCTACATGTATGGTCATAAAACATTGAATAAATGTAATGAAAGTGTCCAATTCACTCTGTTGCTATGGTAACAGCAAGTAGCAAAACGATCCGCTGTAAACAAGAGAATTCTTTAGGAAATGTTACTTTTTGACCATTTGACTGACATGTATTCTTTTTAAAATTTGGTGACAGAAAATAACCTAACAACTATATAACTATTTAATTTGGATTGTGTTATATTATGATGTCATAAGGGCAATTGTTAATCAGGGGCACCCCCTGGCTATGCCTATGTTAGCTATGGTAACCAGGTGAATATGCCGTCCCCATTTTTCAAGACTTTTCCAAAGTTTTGCTGCTATCTTTGTCATCGTGATAGCTCTGGTGTATATGAAATTTTCATCAAATGGAAGCTAAGTCATTTTGTTTTTTGCAGACATCTTTTGAATTTTTTCACAGGAAAGGGCCCAATGTCCCTCAAATATATCAGTCCATACTCCATAGGCCATTGGTCTACTAGGATGCATTTTGGGGCCACGGGGGTCCACTGGAATACGTTTGGGGCTTGGGGGCCACCAGGATGCTTTTAGGGGGCACAGGGAGCCACCAGGGTGCTTTTGATGGCCATGAGGAGCCATTTGCATGCTTCTGGCGGCCTCAGGGGGCCACTAGGGTGGTTTTAGGGGCTACTAGGGTGGTTTTAGGGGCCACTGGGGTCCAATAGGATGCTTTCAAGGGCAACTTAGATGCTTTTAGGGGGCATAATGGGGCCCTAATGGGGCCGCTTGATGTCACTAGTGTGCTTTTTGGGGGCCACTAAAATGATTTTGAGATCCACAGGGGCCCATTGGAGTGCTTTTAGAGGCCACCTGGGGCTACTGAGTTGCTTTTTTGGGTCACAGGGGGCCAATAGGATGCTTTTGGGGGCCACTAGGATTCTTTTAGGGGGCATAATGGGGCCACTTGATGTCACTAGTGTGCTTTTTGGGGGCCACTAAAATGATTTTGAGATCCACAGGGGCCCATTGGAGTGCTTTTAGAGGCCACCTGGGGCCACTGAGATGCTTTTTGGGACCACAGGGGGCCAATGGGATGCTTTCGGGGCCACTAGGATGCTTTTAGGGGGCATAATGGGGCCACTTGGATGCTTTTTGGGCCACTGGGTGTCACAAGTATGCTTTCTGGGGGCCACTGGGGCGGCAAATGGGAAGCTTTTTGGGCCACTGGGGACCACTAGAATGATTTTAGGGCCCATTGAAGTGCTTTTAGAGGCCACCTGGGGCCACTGAGATGCTTTTTGGGACCACAGGGGGCCATTGGGATGCTTTCGGGGCCACTAGGATGCTTTTAGGGGGCATAGTGGGGCCACTTGGATGCTTTTTTGGGCCACTGGGTGTCACTAGTATGCTTTTTGGGGCCACTGGCGGGGGAAATGGGAAGCTTTTGGGGCAACTGGGGGAAACTAGAATGATTTTGAGGTCCACAGGGGGCTTTTAGAGGCCACTGAGATGCTTTTTGGGGCCACAGGGGTCAATAGGATGCTTTCGGGGGCCACAAGGATTCTTTTAGGGGGCATAATGGGGCCACTTGGATGCTTTTTTGGGCCACTGGGTGTCACTAGTATGCCTTTTGGGGTCACTAGGGGGCAACTGGGAAGCTTTGGAGGCCTCTAGAATGAGTTTGGGGCCATTGGAGTGCTTTTAGAGGCCACTTGGGGCCACTGAGATACTTTTTGGGGCAACGTTTTGGGGCCACAGGGGGCCACTGGGTTGATGTCATGGTTCACAGATGGGTACTAGGATACTTTTGAGGGCCTCATAGCAGCACTAATTTGTTTTTGGGGGCCACTGGGGACAACTAGGATGCTTTTGAGGACCACATGGGGCCACTATGATGCTTTTGGGAGTCATAGGAGCCCCATGTATGCTTAGAGGGGCCACAGACAGACTAAGTTTAAGTTAATGACAGTGTAAAATAACATGTTTGTAAAAGTTATCATATGATATTATAAATAGGTTTTACAACCAAGAAATCATAACCTCTTAACCCAAAATGTTATCATGGGCACTTGTGTCTATGTCCCGTATTTGGGATGCCTCTAGAACAAAAACTAATTTTTTCTTAGTTATGCTACCCAGGTTAGAAAAACATAAAAATTATTTTTAAAAAATACTAATGCATTCAATATATAAGCACTTGTGCCAAAGGGAAAGGACCAAAAGTTGTAATGCAACTTAGCAAGAAAAAGCAAACTCTGAGTGTATACCAGTCAAGAAAAACAAACCCCATATAGCCCAAAACCATGATCTAACGTGAAAAGAAACAATGTCTAATACCCCCTTTCCCCCACCATTAAAAAACCAATATCACAATCCAAGACCAGAAGACCAAGGGACATTTCATTCATACTGAAGTCATTACAATACTCATAACCTCAAAAATAGTTATTATATTTAATAGTTAATGCCAATCTGTTGTCATTATTGGGTTAAAATGCTTTTGACTTGAGGCTTCTACCACCCCCCCCCCCCCCCCTGACTGAAAGCTGGCTGCACCCCTGATTAATAATTACCCTTATGACATAATAATATAACACAATCCAAATTAAATAATTTTCTATAGTTATTAGATTATTTTGTCATCAAATTTTAAAAAGAATACATGTCAGTCAACTGGTCAAAATGAAACATTTTCTTGTTTACAGTGAACAGTTTTGCTACATGATGTTACCATAGCAACAGTGTGAATTGAACATTTTTTATTTGAATTAGACATCTTTCATTACATTTATTCAATTTTTCTATGACCATAAATGTATGAATGATATAAGCTTATAAACTCAACTACAAGAAATAAACTAGTTGAAAGCATTACTGACCATTTGAAAGACAGTAATTTTCACAGAGTTATACATCATGATTAAGATAAAATATGCAAGAGCAAACAGTTATGACGTCATAATTAAGATTCAAATCACCCTAATTGCATATTTTATCAAATATATGATTGCTTTATCTATTACCTTTCATTTGGTGCAAATTTCATCTAAAGCTGAGCAATAATGACGAAGATATGGGCCAAACACTGAAAAGAGCCCCTAAAAGTGGGTGTGGCATATTTACTTTGTTACCATAGTGACGCTGCCGCAGATTCAGAATTGCCAACTCAATATATTTTGATTGCACTATCTATTACCTTTCATTTGGTGTGAATATCATCGAAATCTGAGCAATAATGAAGGAGATAGGGGCCAAACACTGAAAAGTGCCCCTAAAAGTGGGCGTGGCATATTCACTTGGTTACCATAGCAACGCCGTCGCGGATCCAGAATTGCCAACATCATTTTTCTTGGTAAGTATCACGTATAGTTCATAAAAATGTATGTCGCTAAGCTCGCCTCTAAAAAGGACACGGAACCTCTTATTTGGACTTATGCTCCCAGACTATAAAGTGTAAACTGTTTTCTTTAGTCATTTAATTATTTTCGACTATATTTTGCATTTCAATATATGAACATCATGATGTTTTTAATGGAGAAGTAAATCCTTTATTTGTGCACAACTGATAATGTTATGATGCTATGTAAGCTATATACATATACAGGGTGTCAAATAAGTCCCGTCCCCCCCCCTCTACAGCCAAAACCGAGATATTTGGTACCAAGTGTGATATATCATTGGAAAGGTCTTCCAAAGTTACGTTGATTGGCATATATCTGACACATGTCAATCAATCTCACACATTTTTACATTGTATCGATTGAGGTGACCATATGCCTAGAAACATGGCAATTTGGCGTATTTGGCAGGATTTTAAGAATCGGGTATAAGAAAGGTCAAGGGACCAAAAGATGACTAAATATGTTTATGGCGATGAATTTAACCAATTTCTGGATTGGGTTAGATGTGTAGAAAATAGAGGTGCAAGGAAAGTGGTGAAAACTTTTTTGTAACAAGAGGAATGCGAAAAAGATTAACTTTTTTACGTATTTCTGAGGTCATATTCTTGTTATTTTGACGCAAAAAAGCTACTTAAAGGAGGGCACGTTAACTATAAAAGACATCATAAAAATACAGGTAAATTTCATCCAAAATACTTGAGAGTTGGTGAGGTAACATAACTTTGGATGATCTTTCCAATGGTATATCACACTAGAAACCATCTGTTAAGGTTTTAGCTGTAGCAGGGGGGATGGGACTTATTTGACACCCTGTACTGTGCATGGATCTCCCATTTTCTCCTACAGGAGAGGCCTTTCCGCAAGATTCAAGCCTCTCATACAAGATTTCATCATGCCATGAGACACACTCAGCTATGTCACAGTTAAAGGTTTTAAACTACTCCCTCTATACGTATATTATATCTTATATCTATATGTTAGGTCAGATAGACATCAAAGCAATTTAACGGGTTCAATACTGGAACATTATTTTGATATGTTAAAATAATAAAAAGATTAGATTTTCATAGCATGATGAATGTTTCCCGTATTGAACCTCAGTCACACACATTTAATTGATTAATTCAGCTTATCTATTTGCGCTTTTGTGTTACAAATACTTACAACAAAGGGTGACAAGGAATTGGAAATTATGAGACAACTGTAAAATGTTATATCATGTTAGGATTGAGCAATGGATAAGTGTTTGAATTGGCTGGTACATTTTCCAAAAGTGTTGAACACTTTCAGTTACTCATTTTAGACTGCCATGTTAGGCTATTATAATCTTTTATGACATTTCAATGTGAATACTTTTAGCAAATCCTATAGCAAAAGGGTTTTTAGACAGGTTTTCCATCCTAAGTTCTGTAAGGAGACTACATGTTATGCATTATGGTTAGACACGTCTACAATGTGCAAACAAAGCAAATGGAATCAACAAGGGCCACGCAGACTTTTACAGTGTATACTGTATATACCTTTTCTCTATGTTTATGGACTCTGGGAGACTCTGCTGAAGAGCTTCGTCTCCTGGAATGTTTGCTCTCTGGGTGTGAGGTCCCAGCTCTCATGTTCCTGCCAAGCTTCTTATCCTCCTGAATAACAGATTTTCACATTTTATTTTTTCGTCAATACTGTGAGACTAGAGTAAGTTAAGATTTTGATTCTTGCTTTTTTTAAATCAAAGAAAGGACGGGAGTGTTTGGTATTTTCTTAGCTTAGAAGCAATGATAAATACAGGAATTTTTTGTTTCAACTTGACGTAAACAGTAAATATCTGAAATGGTTTAGAAATAGGATCAATGGAGCTGAAAACGTACCTCTAATTTTTTAGAGACATCTTCCTCACGTTCTTTATCTCGATGAGCTTTCTTTGTTTTCTTGGCCTTGTACAGCTTCCTTCTTGCCTCGCGGTCCGCCTTCATGCTCTCCTGGAATGGAGGTAAAATTACATAATTATGGTGGCCATTTTCAAGATTGGAGATTGGATCCATTGAATGTAAATCACTTTGATGTAGTCTGTTAAGTAGAATTTTGAGTTGTAAATAATATGCAGTTAAGCCATGCAATTTATGGGTACAAAAATTGGAATTACCTGACTATATATGTCACGATATAGGGACAAAAAATATTGACATTTTAAAAGTACTGTTTATTTCGTTTTGTTATTATGAAAAGTAATTAAGGAACGTTGGCTACCTTGGCTGTTGAAACCTGGTGATATAATCATTATCTTTACGAAGAATAGATTATGTTTTATGCAGGCATTTCAAAACACGTTACTCTGCCTTTAAAACGTTCGTTCATTGTCAATGGATGATTTTTTATGTAGCCATTTCTAAAACACGTTACTTTGCCTTTAGAACGCGCACGTTACCTTAATAGACTTTAAGTTTTCTCTAATAAGATTGGATGCTTTTTATGTACGCATTCTTAAAACACGTTACTTTGCCTTAAAAACGTTACTTTATTGGACTTTAACTGATCTCTACGAATGGATGATTTTTTCATGTAGGCCATTTTCAAAACAAAGTACTTTGTCAGTAAAACGTTACTTTATTCGACTTTAACAATACTCCACGAAGAATGGATGAATTTTATGTAAGCATTTTCAAAACACGGTGCTTTGTCTTAAAAACGTTACTTTATTGGACTTTAACTTATCTCCAAGAAGAACATATGATGGATGATTTTTATATGTAGGCAACTTCAAAACACAGTATTTTGACAGTAAAACGTTACTTTATTCGATTTCGTTAACCATACTCCACGAAGAATGGATGAATTTTATGTAAGCATTTTCAAACACGTTACTTTGCCTTAAAAACGTTACTTAATTGGACTTTAATTGATCTCCAAGAAGAATGGATGATTTTATATTAGGTATTTTCAAAACACAATACTTTGTCAGTAAAACGTTACTTTATTCAACTTTAACCATACTCCACGAAGAATGGATGGCTTTTTATGCAGGCATTTTCAAAACACAGTACTTTGCCTTAAAAACGTTACTTTATTGGACTTTAACTTTTCTAAACGAAGAATGGATGAATTTTTGTGTAGTCTTTTCAAAACACAGTACTTTGTTAGTAAAACGTTACTTTATTCAACTTTAACCATACTCCACGAAGAATGGATGGCTTTTTATGCAGGCATTTTCAAAACACAGTACTTGGCCTTAAAAACGTTACTTTATTGGACTTAAACTTTTCTCCACGAAGAATGGATGAATTTTTGTGTAGTCTTTTCAAAACACGTTACTTTGCCTTAAAAACGTTACTTTATTGGACTTTAACAGATCTCCACGAAGAATGGATGATTTTATATTAGGCATTTTCAAAACACAGTACTTTGTCAGTAAAACGTTACTTTATTTGACTTTAACCATACTCCACGAAGAATGGATGGTTTTTTTATGTAGGGCCTTCTTAAAACACGTTACTTTGCCTTAAAACGTTACTTTATTGGACTTTAACTTTTCTCCACGAAGAATGGGTGAATTTTTGTGTAGTCTTTTCAAAACACGTTACTTTGCCTTTAAAACGTTACTTTATTGGACTTTTACTGATCTCCACGAAGAATGGATGATTTTATATTAGGCATTTTCAAAACACAGTACTTTGTCAGTAAAACGTTACTTTATTCGACTTTAACCATACTCCACGAAGAATGGATGGTTTTTGATGTAGGGCCTTCTTAAAACACGTTACTTTGCCTTAAAAACGTTACTTTATTGGACTTTAACTGATCTCCACGAAGAATGGATAATTTTTTATGCAGGTATTTTCAAAACACGTTACTTTGCCTTAAAACGTTACTTTATTGTACTTTAACTGATCTCCACGAAGAATGGATGATTTTTATGCATGTTCTTTCAAAACACAGTACTTTGCCTTAAAGACGTAACTTTATTGGATTTTAACTTTTCTCCTCGAAGAATGGATGATTTTTAGGAAGGCATTTTCAAAACACAGTACTTTGCCGATAAAACGTTACCTTCGTGGACTTTAACTTTTCTCCTCGAATAATGGGTGATTTTTTATATAGGCATTCTAAAAACACAGTACTTTGCCAGTAAAACGTTACTTTTAACTTTATTCCTTCAAGTTTCGAACATTTTAGCCTGGTGTTTTTAAAAAGCGTTACTTTGGACGATTTCCGTAACTTTCTTGTACTCTTAGTTTTCCTCCATCGAGCGTTGGTGAAATTTAGGTAGGCATTTTCAAAAAGCGTTACTTTGGCCCTTTTCCGTTACTTTCTTGGACTTAAACTTTTTTGCCCGATTGAGTATTTTGAATGTAATAAATAAGGAATCAAAGGACGATATTGAACAGTATTTTGTAAAAGTAGAAACAATTGTACGAGGCCTAACTTTTGTTTATTTTGGTTTGTTTTGTAGTTAGCTATCATATGTGTGGCCTCTTATATTTCGATGCTTCTCTGCCATGACATTTTCGACACTAAAAATTAACATGGATGAAACTCAATAAATTACTGAATGCCACATGTTTGCTGTAACTATCTGAAATACTGAAGTTAGGCCTTGTACATAGGTTTCTATTTCTCCAAATATTGTTGCAATATGGTCATTTGATTGCTTATTTTTTAAATTCAAAGTACTCAATAGATGATTTTGAATCGCATTTTGACGAACTTCAGTTTTGTCTCCGTCAGTCGATAAAAAGACCACAGTGCAATATTAAATGGAAAAATACATTGATATTCTGATGCAAACGATTGTATTGTTTGTTAGCTCGTGTTTTTAATAATACAATGTGTATATAATTCTTGAAAACTAGTGATTTAGTTCGACATTTATGAGATGTAGTTGAAGCGAACGACATCTTTATGAATTACTCATACTTATAGTCGGATTGAAAACTGTGTTTTATAAAGATGTCGCTCAGTATCATACAACATGACTTGGCACAACAAGATCGAATAAACAAGATACACCATCAGACCTAGGATGAAGAAAAGAAGAATATTTGTTTAGGAAAGAGGGTCAAAATTGTTGCATCAATGTCTAAGATGGTTGCATTCAAACGTACTAGGAAAGGGAAGTGAAAAATAATGCCATGTTATAAGTGACCTAAATGGCGCGGACGTCAGAGAGCGCCTTCCGGTAAAGTGGGTGTTTGGGATGAATCGATCTTTTATCGTATGAATCGCTAAAATTGCAGTAATTCAACACTGTTATCGGCTAAATTAATCTATAAATTAACGTACATTCATGAAAAAGGATCCACTTTGGTCTTTTAACCGCCTAATTGAGTACATTGAACGTTAAATAAGCAACCGACATTGCAACAGAAAATGAAAAAAATATAAACATACGTACCAGACGTAACTATTGTATATTACAGATAGTTAGGTATAACGTGCAGTAAAGCTGTACCTATTTAGGGAGTTTCATCCATGTTATTATTTGGAAAATAACATGGAAGATCATCGAACTACGAAACAAACCAAAACAAAAGTTAGGCATTGTACAAAAGTTTCTATTTTTCCATAAACTGTTTAAATATGGTCATTTGATTCGTTGTTTTCTAGGTTCGAAGTAGACCTACTCAATGGAATTATTAATCGAGCAAAATTGCAAGAATTTAAGATTTTCAAGAGGGAATAAGTGAATTAATAGATGGAAAAACACTACTAGCCTCTCTTTACACTATGGTCCATCTTATCTTTTACAATAATTAGTAATACCACTCACTGACAAGATTTTCAAGTTACACATCGAAAAAAGTTTAAGTCCAAGAAAGTAACGGAAAAGGGCCAAAGTAACGCTTTTTGAAAATGCCTACCTAAAATTTACCAACGCTCGATGGAGGAAAACTTAAGAGTACAAGAAAGTTACGGAAATCGGCCAAAGTTACGCTTTTTAAAAATGCCAGGCTAAAATGTTCGACACTTGAAGGAATAAACTGGCCAAGTAACGTGTTTTAACAACTTGGCATGGAAACAGCTAGAGTCCACGAAAGTAACGTTTTATCGGCAAAGTACTGTGTTTTGAAAATGCCTACCTAAAAAATCATCCCTTCTTCGAGGAGAAAAGTTAGAGTCCACGAAAGTAACGTTTTATCGGCAAAGTACTGTGTTTTGAAAATGCCTACCTAAAAATCATCCATTCTTCGAGGAGAAAAGTTAAAGTCCAATAAAGTAATGTTTTTAAGGCAAAATAACGTGTTTTAAGAATGCCTACATAAAAAATCATACATTCTTTGTGGGGAGAAGTTAAAGTCCGATAAAGTAACGTTTTATTGGCAAAGTACTGTGTTTTGAAAATGCTTACCTAAAAATCATCCATTCTTCGAGGAGAAAAGTTAGAGACCAATAAAGTAACGTTTTTAAGGCAAAGTATTGTGGTTTAAGAATGCCTTCATAAAAAATCATACATTCCGGCTTTTGTGGGGAAAAGTTAAAGTCCAATAAAGTAACGTTTTATTGGCAAAGTACTGTGTTTTTAAAATGCTTAATATAAAATCATCCATTCTTGAGGAGAAAAGTTAAAGTCCAATAAAGTAACGTTTTTAAGGCAAAATATTGTGTTTTAAGAATGCCTTCATAAAAAATCATACATTCCGGCTTTTGTGGGGAAAAGTTAAAGTCCAATAAAGTAACGTTTTATTGGCAAAGTACTGTGTTTTTAAAATGCTTAATATAAAATCATCCATTCTTGAGGAGAAAAGTTAAAGTCCAATAAAGTAACGTTTTTAAGGCAAAGTAACGTGTTTTTAAGAATGCCTTCATAAAAAATCATACATTCCGGCTTTTGTGGGGAAAAGTTAAAGTCCAATAAAGTAACGTTTTATTGGCAAAGTACTGTGTTTTTAAAATGCTTAATATAAAATCATCCATTCTTCGAGGAGAAAAGTTAAAGTCCAATAAAGTAACGTTTTTAAGGCAAAGTAACGTGTTTTAAGAATGCCTACATAAATGCCTACAAAAATCATCCATTCTTCGTAGAGTATGGTTAAGTATCATACATAAATGCCTACATAAAACATCATCTATAGTCATGTTTGACTTTCCATAATAACAAAACGAAAAAAACAGTACTTTTAAAATGTCAATATTTTCTGTCCCTATATCTTGACACTGTTGTACCTGACACAGTATCATGTCAATTAATGAGTTCAAAAATAGGAACCACCTTTTACAAAAGATTGAATGTAACGACATAGAGTGTTCTTCTTGCATATAGACTACATCAAAGCAAGCGAGGTCAAGCTCTAGTTATAGCAATTCTGAAATATTAAACTTACTAATTCATCATCATATCTTGCCCTTTCACGATGTCTCTGCTTGTTCTTCTGTCTTTCCATCTCTGCCTTGTCATCTAAGTGTGTCTCAACCTCACCTGGTCTCATCAGGCCCTCTTGTCCTATCATTGGACTCTGAAACAGCAATTTCAAATGAAGGCTCGGCACTGGTTCTGGCACCTCCATTAAATGGACACTTTTCAAATTCCTATTAGCCTTTTACTTAAGATAAAATTAACACCTGAAGGAACATTATTTTGAGGTGTTTTACTTACACAGCTTTTACTTATAATGGAAACCAGAAACTTAGCAAAAACAGTTTGATATCATAAGAAGAAGCATTTCACATTTAATAATTAATTTTCCTTATTTATGTTGAAAAACTTAAATGAACTTACACTTCTAATCTTAATAGGAATATATTTGGAATGTCTTCCGATATCTCCATTGATGTTAGGTTCAGCACCCCCATCACCTAGCAAACCATTTGGAATTCTCCCACCAGGGGGAGATATACAAGTTGTCGGCAGTTCAAAGGAGCCTGCATCTGATGGATGGACTGAAGATCGAATACGTAGTGGAGGAATGGCTGCTCTATTTTCAGAAATATCATCAAATCTGCTCATTTTGGCAACATGCTCAAAGAGACTTGCGCTTGAGGCTGTTGACTGGAAAAAATTTAAAAAATTGAATATAAACTCACGCTGGCTAAGATTGATGCAATCTAACTTCAATCTAAATTCAATCACTAGCTTAATATTTTGTTTATCTATAGTATAAAGCAAACAAATCATCATTTGCTGTATTGCAATGGGATGTACTTCTGTTAAATATTTAAAAACATTTGTATTTAAAACTTACATCGAAACTTGTTCCAGAAACCAAGCTCTCTCGAGAAGATTTCAAATCTCCATTCATTCCTGCATAAGGAGACATCTCTGTGGAGAATACTTGCTCTTTTTTGATTGGCTGATCCTGATGCTCTTGTCTAACTGTTGAATCAAAAGACAACCGCTTTCCTGTTTGCCGACTCATGGACAATTGTTGGCGTTCGGAACGTGATAATCTGTCTCTTGGTTTTAAGTGAAGATTACGTCTTGAAACGCTAAGTGTATCATCACTTAGCACTATAGGGGTCTCTGGTGTCACATTCGTTAAAGTACTGAAAATACAAAGATTGAAATATTTAATAAAACAAAATGATGATAACTCATGAGAAATTGATATGTTTTGACCAACTTTGGCCACAATTGTTTCAATGAAAATTTTGCACCAAATAATGAATAACATGGATGTGCGTGCAACTGTTAAACACTGGCGGCACTATATCTTTATTTATTGGCCAATTTATTTGGAAATTTTAGTGTTTATACCTTTTTATGATGTTCAATCACAGAATACAATAATCCAAAATAATGAAGAATTTGCGGTATAAAATCTGAGCTAAATTTAGAAATTTACATCGAATCCAACTCCACACATGACATACTAAGTATATGTTCAACAATAGTTTGTAGCTTGACATGAAAAAGATTGCTTGTTTTATAACATTAAGAATCAATAACAAACTCACTACTCTCGCTCTCAATCAGGTATATAACAAATATCATATATTTCATTTAATATTTCTGCAATTTTCACACCCAATGATTTGATTTAACACATGCATAATAATAACTAATATATTAGATATAAAATTTAAATAAAAATATTGTGACTTTCACAAAATTTGTTTAAATATACACAAATTTATATCTTCATCAGCTGATCAATCTTTGAGCTATAAATTCTATGTTCATCACTGCTGCAATTGAAGAAATGAGAACTATTGGCAATTGAGTACTCCTACTATGTCATGCAATAATAGCTTTAGAATTTCATTTTTATTAATTATTATATTTAATTAATTTATTAATTTTATTAACTCTCTATTCTTTAATCATTTGTGAGCCTATGAATGTGTACACCTGTCAATCTGAGCACTTTTGGCCAATTCCAGCGGATTTTGGATAATTAGGCAGGTTTTACTGTGTTTAATTTGCAGGTGTTTCCATAGTCTCTTACAAACTCTTATGAACCCCTTTCTATAATATTTAATAATTTTGTCTTAAACTTGTCTACTATATTCATTAGTAACTTACTTTAAATTATCCAAACTGTTTATAAATTCTTCATTATGGTATGTTTCACCTTCGTTAGGGTATGTTTCATTAAAATATACTTCACTCTCATTATGGTAAATTTCATCATTTTGTATCTGCTGTATATGCTTCTGACTTTTACGTATCTTCTTACGTTGCAATTTCTTCAAATACAAATCCAAAAAGCTAAACATTGTTAATTTTATTAAGAACTGCTTCAACGTTTCTCATGTTCATATATACATACAGAACTACATGATATCTACAATTTAACTATGTATTAATAATGTTTCTCAATTTCATCTAATTCAATCAATACTTAGTGTAAAACCTGTGCTGGTTATTAAAATATTATGATGATAAAATCTTTTGAAAACCTGGTCGTTTGTTTGGTACCATATTGCAAATACTAATCGATGTTCTGAAACTAAAAGTTAGCAAGGCCATTATTGTATTTTTCTCCATAGCTATGGATTTTTTGCTTGTCTAAAGATGTAAAATAGAAATTGTTATTTAGCTGTGTAATTGTGAGAGAAGCAGTCAGTCTTGAAAGAGTTAAGTTAAATAGTGATCTATCAGAATTATTCTGCATTTTTGAGATGTCTCATAAAACATGTAAAACAAAACTTATTGTAAATGAACTGATTGGTTTCGGCAAAGATTCTGACAGAATCAGGAAAGGGTATTCATTAAGAAAAACCATACAGTGCTAAAAACGATTTTGATTCTGAAACGGAGCTTTGCTCAGCAGACTTTGAGATCATAAAATGGCAAGGCTTTTAAAAAAATCTGAATTAGAAGCCTCTAATAATTTTCCGAATTCGGAGATCATTAATTGGCAGTAAAGCTTTAAGAAAAATTATTGAAACAGTGGACATACATTGATGATAAGGCTTTAACAAAATTATTAAATTAGTGGGTCATTAATACTAACTAGTAGAAAGTCTGATTCATCAGCATTGAATATATCAGCATCAATAACACTCTTTTCATCATATTTTTCATCATATTTTTCATCGTATTTTTCAATCTAAAACATGACTACCATTTCCAAGCCCATAGTTTACAATATGTCTACATACATTTGTATATTTCACATTTTTACATTTTGTATACTCTCATCCATTGGTGTGTGGCCTCTTGAAAATTCTCTTATTTTTAACAATCCTTACTTCAGCAAATCCACGACTCATTAATTTATGGTCCAAACTGTAAACTGTGAGATTTTCCAAGAATGAAGGAAGTGATGCATGTAATACACCCATCCATCGCTGGCCTCATGTATTATTCAACATTGATGTGTCTAGATCCTAAGATAGATACTCATATATCATGTTGTGATTTTTATTTATTTTCAGATTCATTAATTATTTATTGGTTTCTACATAACGATGCTTTAGCTAGTTCTGTTAGATTCCTGAGCATCAGTTTTATATTTAGATAGCTAACATGGCTAAGTAATATTATGATTCATGATTTTGAGTGATCTTATTTATCAATGTGTTTAATCGATATCAGAATGATTGATATGATTTATTAAGGATCCTCTTTAGCTATTGCTTGAGAGGGACTCTGATTTATCATGAGACAATATGTTCCTGGCCAGTGCATCATCTCATTAATTAGTGAATATGGAGGTTTTGTCTACTCATGTAACCATGCCACAGCACTGTTTCTCCATCCCAGGCATTAGCAGGTTGAATGCATTCAATATCCATCCCTTTTTGTATTACTGAGGAGGTGCATAACTCCAAAATATAAGTTGGACCATACTGTAAGGCCTGCAATATTGTCAAAGAAAAAAGTAAATCTGCTTGATCCATGTAATATCTCATAATGGGTATACATATTTTCTTTGGATCTGAATTCAGATATGGAATATTATAGATGAGGTTATCCTGACCCCAACTACAAGAGAAACTGCTCCGAGTTTCCATAAAAGCATCGATTATCAATAATAACGAATACTTTGGATACAATAGAAAACTCATGCAGTTATTTTGTTCAGAATTAATGGGCTTTAGATGTTACAGTATTGCAATCAATGATACTATAAAATTCTATTTCATATTTAAAAGACATGCACATAAAATCCTTATAATAAAACTGGAATGTTTCTTAGGACTGCAACGGGGCTTCTGTTTTTTCTCTATGACAAAAAGATTCTGCATAAATACATGTTGATTAAATATCCAGACTTTCTGCCTTTTCTGATGTTTTAGTTTTGACCTATTTCTGCAAAGGTTTGATTAAGACTGATTATTATTTCATTGCTGGACAAAGGTAATATATGTTTATCTGATTTCAATAATCTAATCTCATCTTCATACTCTGTATATTTGATCTAAGATCAATGTTTATTTATCTTATGGATGTTAACTGTAAAATTAGATTTATTTGGCGCTCATAATATTGGTCCCTGATTTGACAATTTAAGGAAATCCTGGTGTAATAAGTACATGGCAATTGACTCTTATCTAAAATCAGTTAAAGTAACTGTCCACATGTATAAAATTCAAACATGTGGCCCATTCATTCAATGTTAAATATAACATTATTTTTGTCAACGAACAAAAATTAAAATGGTGAATTTTCTCCAGGAGAGGAACAAATAAAAATGTTTAACAGGAATAATTTTTGAAAAAATATATTGCAGGTATAGCAATTTTTCAAAAATGTTATAAACATGTGCCATAATTGATTTTTTTCACGTATTAGTGATGATTTGTGCCTCATCTTTCAAAAATATTTTATTCTCTCTCAAAAATTGAATAAGAACTGATGTAGACGGAAATATGAACTAACACTTCAGAACGATATTTATCATAATTTTGTTCATAATTAGCCTCGCAGCTGCATAGCCGACGCAAGGCCAGAATGCAAAGATGGCCTTGGAATAAGGTAAATCAAATAGTCTTTGATTTATCGAATCCTACAACCACTTTAGATACCCTTTGCATTCGTTCAACTTTGCTCCTCAAAAGAAAGCTTCGTCTTCACTCTTCGTCCTCACTCTCTTCACACTCAGAGTTCGTCGTCGAAATAAAGACAACTTTCTATATGGTCATTTTCTCTGATGTAACTGCATAATTATTGTGCATGCATTTAGCACTTGTTCCTTCCCGGTGGCTGATTGGTTGAGAATAGGTCAGCACGGTAGGTGTGAAATGATATATGACCAGAGCTGTCACAGGTTATCCCGTTCCCGGACTATAGTCCCGCACTGAGCGCATTCATTTGCCTGTACGATTACAACTTGGGAGAATTATCTACGCCCCTTACACTTAAGATACCTACCTCAATGCATTATAGAACTCAAGATGTAACTTCTAATATATTGGAACCGCCGATTGTCTGGGTATATCGGCAGAACGGGAACAATTTCTCTTTTTCATCGAGAGAGATTCCATCACCTTTCAAAATGGCGGTTGGATTTAAAAGGGGAATCCCCCGTTTGGCTGTCCCGGATGTAGCCCGGAAGTACCAATATGGAGGAATTTGACGGTTGAAATAAGTTAAATGTTACACGCAAATATTGCGATCAAAAACGAAAATGTCTTCGTTCTGCCGATAAACCCAGACAATTGTGGATTCAACTACACGAAAAGAATGCTAAATTACCAAGGAATCTATTGAAGTAGGTATCTGAAGTGTAAGATCAGTAAAAAATTCTCCAATGTTGTAATCGCACAGGCAAAAGATTGAGATGTTCACAGGACCATAGTCCTAGTATGTATCCAACAGACCGAATATAATATTCGGTCTGTTATGATTGATATATTTCCTGTGGAAATCGCGGTGATATTTTTTGCACATTAATTTCTCGTTTATTATAAGAATGTTCACCTTGAAAATTGGTGAATATGTTGAAGAGATGTTCATCTTAAACTAGAAGCAAAAATATTTGTATAAGGCGGGTACAAGTTGATATAAAATAATGAAATGGTCAGACTCACCAAAACTTCAGGATGTGTTCATAAGTAGATCGCGAAATCAATGTCAAGGACGTTGAGTTCACGAGATCCAAACGAGATATGCAAATTTTTGAACTTTGACAACACATGACCACTTGATTACCTCGGCCTTCTTCATGAATATTTTCGCTCTATTTACTATAAATGAAGAAAATTAATCGGGATAATGATAATAAATGACTAGATCTAATAAATTCCCGCACAAATGGAATTTAGCAATACGCTTCCGTAATGTTGCTCCCGCTCCACGTGTTATTTGTTTACAAATAGACTGACGTCACTGGCTAAATCTCGTTTATCGTGAGAATTGGCATTGCCAAAATGGCTTGACCTAATCAATGGCTTCGCTACAAGAAGCGTCTGTACATTTTATGAATATCTTCAGTAAGAGGACAATATACGAAAAAATAATATTGTGAGTTCTTTATAAGGTAATCATTCTATCATTAAACAAACTTATTTGTAACATTTATACAACACCACATTTAACAATAGGTGACTTACAATCTGAATATTTATTCAGACGATAGATACAGTCTAACCATAGTCCGGGAATGGGATAAGTCACAGGCATCAGTCGTAGAGGCAGGGCTGCTAAACTGTAATATAGTCTATATTCGGTCTGTTGGATACATACTAATTAGAGCCTACCTGCTTAAAATATAACCGATATCATTAGAGTTACTTATTGAAGTTTGAACTCAATTTGAGTCAAATTTTGTAAAATTTGCAAATTCTGAAAATTATTCAGGAGGTGGCTTTTAACTTTTATTTCACTGATATTAACGTGCAAAACTTACCTAAGATGAAGCAAGGATGAAGATATGACACAGATGAGCAAATGACACTGTCTTCCAGATAATTATTTAATCGATTCTTACAAATATTGATGAGTTTTCTACTTCATTTCCCTGTAGTGACAGTTGTTATGCACGATAAACACACCTGGTCTAATTATGTAGGTCAAAACGAGGCGCCGCTTCAACATTGACAAATGTAAACAAACCCACATGGCTATTGGCTACCTGCAATACCTCTGTATGGATTGTTTTTCAAGCATTTGTTCTGATTATAAAATAATTGTATGTTCATAGATAGATACAACCATTGGTATGAATGTGTGTGTTATATGTGTATGTTTTGTCAAGTCATATTCAAATATATGTGTTTCAAAGAAAATTTCAATAAATAAACAATGTTAACCCTTCAACTACCACTCCAACTACTGCAATACAGTATACCTTTAAAGACCCTACAGATTGTACTACACATTCTGATAAAAGATATATATATATTTCATGATCTTCTTCCATAATATCCTCCTTCTTAATATCTGTAATAAACAAATAAAGAATATATTGCAACAAATCCCTGCCCCCCCCCCCCCCCCCCCCTTCTCTATCTCTCAATCCAACCACACAGGCATACGAAATGGAGCAAAAGTTGTAAATAGATCATTAACCATGGAAGAACTATACACGCTGCTGAGTCCTCCATTCCACAATTAGTATATAAGATACAAGACTATAGAAACAAGATCAATGTACAATATAATACTTACCTTTCAGGTAAAGAAAATGCATCTGATGCATATCCCAAATTGGCCAATCCCTGTGGGTGATCATTTTGTTTCTGTGGATATTTTTGAAGACCATTGGTAAACCTTGTTTGTTTCGCTGGAGTGAACATCTGCATTCTACATCTCTTGTTAACACTTCCATTTCTATAGGTGGCGCTTTCAGGAATGATATTTGGAAGTGTTGGGTGACTTGGGTCTGAGTAGAACTCGGTAGTTACGATTGGTGTTGAGTTTACAATGTCACCTTTTTCAAGATCAATTGCTAAATTGTGCATTTGAAGTGAATCCACATCTCTTTTCTGAAATTAAGGCAGAGACATCTATTGTATGACTGATGAAGAAAAGTAAAACAAAATTTAATAAACTATAGGCTGAAAATGCTTGTTTTGATAAATTATGATCATCTTGAGCAGTACAATGTTGATGCATTTGTGGCATGACCTTGCATAAGAAAATTATCCCTTACACTGATTTAGAGCAATGAAAATTGTTTATGTTAGAATGTCAAATACAAATATTCATCTACCACAGATTCATTAAATCGGTATGGAGAAACATATTAACCTTGGTTTCATCTGCAAGTGATATGACTCTTGACTTCTTTTGCCTGCAGAGATAGGCAACCATCAGGATGATGATCATTAGCAACAAGAGACTTGGTACAGTGACTACCAAACTCCATAGCAACACAGGTAGAGCTGTGGGAGTGGGAGGGGGAGCTGCTAGCGCATGAACTGGTTTCAGAACCTAAATGAAAGTAAAAGAAAATATAGAATTTTATGTTTATTTGCAAGGAGGATTGGAAGCCAGGGTTCCAACTCGATATTCTTTAATCTCCACGCATGCGTCATTTGCTATTCGTGTCTGTATAATTTGTACGACTGCATGGAGAATGACCCGATACTCTCCAACAAAGCTATCGCTAGGTGATTGTTTTGCAGAATATCGGTGTTGCATTCTGGGAGCCAATCCTCCTTGGTTTATTTGTTTGAAAAATCAATTTTGAACAATGATGGGAGTATTTTGAAATGAAATTGGAGCATTTTGATATTTAAAGTGTAATGTTATGAATTTTATTGTTCTTTATAAACAGTTTATAATTTTATAAAATACATTCCACTGGATATATTCCTGGTATCAATACATGTCAGTTGTCTCCTGAGGGAGTCTTTCTTCCAAAGGAGACTCTTACCTAAGAGACTTACTCTTAAGGTGTCTTTCTCCCAAAGGAGACTCTGACCTAAGAGACTTAATCTAAAGGTGTCTGTCTCCCAAAGGAGACTCTGACCTACGAGACTTACTCTAAAGGTGTCTTTCTCCCAAAGGAGACTCTGACCTAAGAGACTTAATCTAAAGGTGTCTTTCTCCCAAAGGAGACTCTGACCTAAGAGACTTATCTAAAGGTGTCTGTCTTCCAAAGGAGACTCTGACCTACGAGACTTACTCTAAAGGTGTCTTTCTCCCAAAGGAGACTCTGACCTAAGAGACTTAATCTAAAGGTGTCTTTCTCCCAAAGGAGACTCTGACCTAAGAGACTTATCTAAAGGTGTCTTTCTCCCAAAGGAGACTCTGACCTAAGAGACTTAATCTAAAGGTGTCTTTCTCCCAAAGGAGACTTTGACCTAAGAGACTTAATCTAAAGGTGTCTGTCTCCCAAAGGAGACTGACCTACGAGACTTACTCTAAAGGTGTCTTTCTCCCAAAGGAGACTCTGACCTAAGAGACTTACTCTAAAGGTGTCTTTCTCCCAAAGGAGACTCTGACCTAAGAGACTTAATCTCAAGGTGTCTTTCTTCCAAAGGAGACTCTGACCTAAGAGACTTAATCTAAAGGTGTCTTTCTCCCAAAGGAGACTCTGACCTAAGAGACTTAATCTAAAGGTGTCTTTCTCCCAAAGGAGACTCTGACCTAAGAGACTTATCTAAAGGTGTCTTTCTCCCAAAGGAGACTCTGACCTGAGAAACTTACTCTCAAGGTGTCTTTCTTCCAAAGGAGACTCTGACCTACGAGACTTACTCTAAAGGTGTCTTTCTCCCAAAGGAGACTCTGACCTAAGAGACTTAATCTAAAGGTGTCTTTCTCCCAAAGGAGACTCTGACCTAAGAGACTTATCTAAAAGTGTCTTTCTCCCAAAGGAGACTCTGACCTAAGAGACTTACTCTAAAGGTGTCTTTCTCCCAAAGGAGACTCTGACCTAAGAGACTTAATCTAAAGGTGTCTTTCTCCCAAAGGAGACTCTGACCTAAGAGACTTACTCTAAAGGTGTCTGTCTCCCAAAGGAGACTCTGACCTACGAGACTTACTCTAAAGGTGTCTTTCTCCCAAAGGAGACTCTGACCTAAGAGACTTAATCTAAAGGTGTCTTTCTCCCAAAGGAGACTCTGACCTAAGAGACTTAATCTAAAGGTGTCTTTCTCCCAAAGGAGACTCTGACCTAAGAGACTTACTCTAAAGGTGTCTGTCTCCCAAAGGAGACTCTGACCTAAGAGACTTAATCTAAAGGTGTCTTTCTCCCAAAGGAGACTCTGACCTACGAGACTTACTCTAAAGGTGTCTTTCTCCCAAAGGAGACTCTGACCTAAGAGACTTAATCTAAAGGTGTCTTTCTCCCAAAGGACACTTCTACCTAAGTCTAAATGTGTCTTTCTCCCTAAGGAGACTTTTACTTAAAGGGGCAACAAGGACTGTAGAGAAAAAATTCGAAATTTTTTATTTTTTCTGAGCTATTGGGTCAATATTTGGCTTAACACCTTCTTTGACATATAGGCCAAGCAAATGGGCTCATAAAAGGCCCAAACATCCCAAAAATTGCAACAGTTTTTAAATTAGTCTTATATTATGTATTAATATCAGTTGAAAAACATATCAAAAATATAGAAAAATGTATGCAGTGGACAAATATGAAATTTCACTTCCTAGATACCCCCTACAACCCTACCCCAAAATTGAGTATTGGTAGGAAACAATTTTTTCTTCCCAAGTGAAATACTTTAGTCAAGTATTCAAGCTTTATTATGATGGATCACATATTCACAAATAATTAAAATATTATTTTAATCAATGTTGAGACCAGTAATTGGTCATTTGACCCCAAAGTATAACAAAATAGGCCACAAAACAGGCATGTTATCACATATCTATTTAGATATTTTAGGATCAGTTTGTCAGAAAAGCATGAAAAAAATCATGGTGTTACATATTCATATGAACTTCATATTTGGTGAGTGTCAGAATTCTTAGGTGTATACTTAGGAAGAAAAAAATTATTTCATTTTCATAGTTTTGCCCCGCCCACTATAGGGGAGACTATAGTTTTGATGATTAACTCCCACAATGTATCACATTTGTATTAGAGTTGACATCTAAATCATTTATATAGGCTTGTCATCATCTAAAATACAAGTTTTGTGAAGGTTTATACCTTATTAGTATGAAAAATAGGAATTATTAGTTGCACCAGGTGAAATGTTAAGGTGACCTCACTTTTATTTGATGAATAATTACATATCACCACTCTGATACTAGGGTATTTGATAACTGCTCTATACTAGGCTTATCTAGATAATGTAAGTTGTAGTTTTTGTGGAATTTAATATTGTTTAAATTATTAATTACAATCCGCAATTACAAAATTTGCATATATTTAAATTCATCAGATAAATAAATCATTACATAAGAGTACATTACTATGGAACTATCAATTGGATGTATAATGCTGTAGAAACGAATTTATGGTTATTAAACGGAATTTAAACTGACAGAGAACATTAAAATCTCAGATATCTGGGAATTTTTTTATTAATATAATTTCAGTGCATAGGAATGATGGTAATTCTGTCTGTCAGGTTGGAAAACATTGAGTGTACATGCGCTGCATTCAGAATCGGATGCAGATTTTGTGATTGTGAAAACTGCAATCCAAAGTGTCCAAACCTCAAATACAGTGCTTCTCAGTTATCATGCACAAAACACAAACTTCAACATTTTCTTCAAACCTGAACCAAAAGCAGCAACCCAAGAAACAAAATGTTGGAATATAAATGAAATAAGATTGTCTTTGGGAAAAGTGGTCTGTGACAATATTTTGTTTCTTTTCTGGGGTGTGACATCGCATTCAGGTTATATATGGCATAGACAAGAGTCTATCATTGAGGCAGATAAAAAAGAGTGAGTTCTTGAGAAAACAAGCGGTTGTTTTTAAATTACCAAAAGCACTGGTAATCCGCTCGATTACGCTTGTCGTTTCGGTAACAAAATGTCTAAACGTCGAAAGTACGATATTTCTTTTTTCCCTTTTTTTCACGCGTTGTAGGCAGAATCCCCACGATGTTTTTTTCTCACAGAATTGTTGATTTAATTCCTTATTTAAGTTAAATAAACGGTTTGGGTTAAAAGTGCAGATCTTAATTGTTTATCGAAATACCGTATATGTATCTTAAGTGAGGAATTAAATCGAAGATTCTGTTGTCTTCTGAACTATTTGTTCGCAAATATGTACATTTTTAAACATATAATACTGATACATGTTTGTGATAACAATGTTGTGGGAATTCTGCCTACAATGTGTGAAATAAAGAAAAAAGAAAAATCAAACCTTCGATGTTCCGACATTTTGTTACAACGTAAACAAGTAGAAAACCAGTGAAATGCAAGCAACTCTGTCATTGCAGAGGAACATGCTCTTTTGTCAATTTATGGTGGAAACCCTAAATTATCTTAGGCTTCTAAAATTCTATTAAAAGAGAGCAGCAAGATCTGAATTATTGCAGCCCCGTGTTCTTCCTCCATTTTCTGATGCTGCGGAATACCACAGTTACAGAGTGTACCATCAGATCCAGGAGTGGGAGGGAAATAAACTGCCTCCATTATAATTGGGCTGGGAAATAAGCAACGAAACTATGTACCAATTGCCTAAATACAGCTCCCCTTTCTCAGAGATCATCCATTGTGTGTGTAAGGCAGATTGTATTTCTATGAGATGTTCTTGTAGAAAAATGAAATAACTGTTCCTTGACATGTAAGGTATGCAAAGGCATTTGTGCAAATACCTCCATCACTGATCATGAGAATGATGATGACTAAAAAAAATTGGGCCCAAAAAGGCCTTAAGGTCCCGAAAAGTGAGCCTTTTTGGTCATAAATGGGCCTTTTAAAGCCTTATTTTTTAATTGAAGAAAATGGGTCTCAATATTTCAAAATTTGGGCCCACTTCAGGGTTTTAGGGGCCAAAAATTTTTTCCGCGGAAGTTTTTTTTCTCAGACCTGACATTTGCCCCCCCCCCTTGTTGGTTCCCATATCCGCCCCTGATGAAGGCTGGTGATAGACAAGGTTGTAACTGATTGTTGTTACAACATAATAGTATTAAGCTTATTTAATCAGCATTCTTTTTTGCTCTCTATAAGTAAAAAACATATATGAAGGTTAAGATTACAAAATTAAGGCAGCATTTTTGATAATGAACATAACATAATCGAACCAGGCCCTGTATAAAGACCAGGGATTTACTTTGCGTTACACTAGTCAACTCAAGAGGATTTATTAATGTAGAAACCTTTTCCTCATTTTTTATTGAATTTCATCTTGAAATCGAACATTCTTCAGTTGAACTTCTTCATTTCATTTCTCAATATCACTGTGTGGTTAAGAACACCTTAGTCAAAAGTAACACTTTTTCCTTAATACAGGGCGAGCCAAAAAGGTAACCCAAACAAATCTTAATAATCCAGTCCAATCATCCTGCATGGATTTAGTGTCATATTTGGCAGAATTGAGTCTTGGTCAATGTATTATCAATCTACCCAGTCTCAGTGGTCTCTAGTGGTCACGATTTTATGGCCATTTTATACCATGCCATGAAATATGGGTGTCATGCCTGGAGGCCAACTTGAACGTATCGTGTTGTTCACAGGAGCATAAAAATCATGTGTTATGACTCTCATCTTCATTCTTATCTCTTGTTTTAATGTTTCAAGTGTTGTTAGTATCGAAAAAAGGTCCACAGATAAAAAAAACTGGTGGTATTTATGTCCAGTCAGTTAGGCACATTTCGATATTTTGAGCACATTTTGTAAATGGCCATAAAATCGTGACTATTAAGGATAGATCAATGACACTTATAGAATGAAAGAACATTGAACAAGGTAATTGTGCCAAATATGATGTCAAACCCATGCTGAATGACTGGGTTATTACAAACATTTGGTTGGGTTACCTTTTTTGGCTCATATTAATAAACTGATGTCAGTGACAGGGATATTTAACATTTTGTTGCCTTTTCAAGGATATTTTTTGACCACTGATTGTAACAAATCGTTCTCTGTTTTACCAGAAAAGGTATATTATATATCAAATTGAATTTAAAAGGAAAAAACATTTGATAATTTAACAGTTATCAACTAAAAGTAGGGTTTCCCCTATATTTCACCTGGCATTTGCTGTTTTTCTACTTTTTTTTTACATAATCCTTTTCTGAAAACCTCAAAAAACTGTTTTCAGGACAAAATAAGCCTTTACAAATAATTTAGTTGTGCTATTGAGTTCAAATATGACATATCTTGGAAGTAATTAAACAAAAGTAAGGTCACCCCAAAAGTGGGTGTGGTAAAATATTGAAATTTCAAATATTATTTTCACGCTCAATATTCACTTAATGACCCTGATACTTATCAAAGACAATGTTCAGGTGTACAATACCCTCCTTGATATTTTTCATGCAATTCTAATGAATTGATGCAGAAATAAATACATTGTTATATTAAATTCGGGCTATTTGATGGCCTATTTTCAGATATTTGGCGCTAGAAATGCCAATTATTGCACTCAAATAGTTGGTAAACAATTTTTAGTTGCTCTTATGTCAGTAAACTATCATAATATTACTCGTTTAGTTGACAAGAGTATTCCATTTTGAAATAAAAAAATATTTACAATCCCATACTCAAATTTGGAGGGGGTTACCTGGAATGTGACATTTCATATTTGTCCACTGCATATATTTTTCTATATTTTTGATATGTTTTTCAACTGGTATCAATATACAATATAAGCCTAATTTACAAACTGTTGCAATTTTTGGGATGTTAAACTTCCATTTGCCTAGCCTAATACTAAGTTTCTTAAAATGTAAGTTTAAACTATCAATTTCAGCATTGAGAAGTGTAAATTCAGTTCAAAGCTTCTATAAAGGGAGTCCCACTTATAGATTTTTAAGATCCAACATGTTTCAAGAGGAATATCAGCTGAAATAATGTTCATCCAGGGGGTTTCTTTGTAGATAATGAAAATATATGTTAGTCTTGATGAAATATCCAAAGGCCTCCAAACTTGAATATATTTTGACACTGGTCGATGATCGTTGAATGGCCCCTTGCACTAATTGTTGCACCTTTAAGAGAGTCTTTATTTTGAGGAACTCTTTCTCCTGAGGGAGTATATCCTGAGAGAATATTTTTTCATGAAATCCTGAAGGAGACTTACTGCATATCCAAGGATGGCACTGAGCTCATTGTCATTGAGTCGTTCATGTAGGCTGACAGCTACAAAGGCATCTACAATTTTGCCATCTTCATAATGCACAAATGATGTATCAACTGCCTTGGATGTAACATTAGGGGTCCTCTCAACTCCAAGGATCTGCAAACCAACTCAGTAAAATAAGCAAGACCTTTGGGCAATTATGTCATTTTGAGTTTTGATATTCATCAAAAGTGCCTCATTTTATTACTTAAACATTGAATAAATGCCATCTTCATCTGGTAAAACTGAATATAAATGAAACTAAAATTCAAATGGAACCCCTGCTGAACTTGTGAAGATATTGGAATTGTGCTTTCTTTTAGAATTTCTTTGACAGAGGAGTATTACAAAACACTCCAAAAACCCTTTTCAGACAAAAATAATCATGATTAAAACCTCTTACTAAACTAATATTGGAAAGACAAGAATGGTTTGGAAGGTCAATTTTTCAATAAATATGTTTTGACTGAGAAATATAAAGATAAAATTGATCAATTTCAGTGAAAAATCTGTTTTCAAATTGTCTTAGTGAGTGACCAGATCAGCTTGACCTTGGAGTTTTAACATAGGACATCAATTTCATGTTCCAAATATGGAGAGCTGTCAATCAAATCTTGAACTGTGCACGGGAGAGTAAAAGTTATTTTTAGTTTGATTGCTTTGGATGATATTCATCTTGAATTGTTGTCACAAATAGAATCGAAGTTTTGTAGAAGTGCTCAAATTTAATTTGTAATAAAGGATTTTTGTTGTACAACTGTATTATAAAAGAGAATTCTAAACTTTACTTACTGACACAAATGAGATTTCAGAATTGGAATGAGTCTTAAATTGATAATATCAAAAGCAATGTCTTCATTTTTTCATACCTCAACTTCATATCTGTCTTTCCATGTATTTCTCTTCTTTCTAGTTCGACCAGCTCTTTCCAAGGCTTCAAAGAATGCCTCATTTAGACCTAGAACAAATCAATTACTCAATGGAGCATAACTATTGCATAATTAAAATCATAAATATTTTGAATTGAATAACTAATTACTTTACTGGTATTCAATTTCAAATGAGAGTAGTAGGCAGACACTTTGAATAAATTATTTCATTTACATTTTTCATTAAAACCCCCATATGTTGCATATTTCAAGCAAGGTAAAATTACCATGGTTACACCTTTACAAATAGATTAACAAATATGTCTATATGTGGATAATGAGTTTCAGAGGTAATAAAAATATACATAATAGTGTAAAATGCAAAAATGTCCATGAGCTCTTTGAAATTTCAAAATGAAGAATAATTTAAAGATATCTTAAAATATCATAACATCTTCATGATATATTATTTCTAGTAAAGTCAGAAGTCTTGAACATCTGAGAAGGAAAGTATTACAATGTTGCAAAACATGATATGGTAAGATGATAAGATAATGTTTCTTAAAGTAATACCCTCAATTCATCTAAACCTTTTTTGCCCCTTTAAATATCCTTTTAATACATTATTTTTAATGTCATCTTTAAATATGATATACCTGTTTTCATTGCAGAGATGAATTTGTTGGATGTAATGTTCTCCTCAAGTTTCACCTTGACTTGTACTCCAAGGATATTCCTTGCTATACTTGGTTCTATAGTGAGATTGGCATCAGGAGTGATTTCTGTTGTTATTGTAGTTGGTTCTGATGTCACATTAATGGCTGGATTGTTCGTCACATTATTTGCTTTTGATGTCACATTAACTGGTTTATTTGTTAGGGTACTTGGGTCTGCTGTCACAGTAGATGATTTTGTTGTTACAGCTGTTGTTTCCAATGTCACATTAGGTAAATTAGTTGTCACATCAGTTGGTTCTGATGTCACAATAGTTGGTCCTGATGCCACAGTGGATGATTTTGTTGTTACAGCTGTTGTTTCCAATGTCACATTGGGTGAATTAGTTGTCACAACAGTTGGTTCTGATGTCACAACAGTTGGTTCTGATGTCACAATAGTTGGTTTTGGTGTCACATCGGATGATTTTGTTGTTACGGCTATTGTTTCTGATGTCACATTAGCTGAATTAGTTGTCTCAAAAGTTGGTTCTGATGTCACAACAGTTGGTTCAGTTGTCACAACAGTTGGTTCTGATGTCACAACAGTTGGTTCTGATATCACAATAGATGGTTCTGATGTCACAGTGGATGATTTTGTTGTTACAGCTGTTGTTTCCAATGTCACATTGGGTGAATTAGTTGTCACAACAGTTGGTTCTGATGTCACAACAGTTGGTTCTGATGTCACAATAGTTGGTTTTGGTGTCACAGTGGATGATTTTGTTGTTACGGCTATTGTTTCTGATGTCACATTAGCTGAATTAGTTGTCTCAAAAGTTGGTTCTGATGTCACAACAGTTGGTTCAGTTGTCACAACAGTTGGTTCTGATGTCACAACAGTTGGTTCTGATATCACAATAGATGGTTCTGATGTCACAGTGGATGATTTTGTTGTTACAGCTGTTGTTTCCGATGTCACATTTGCTGGAATAGTTGTCGCCAAATTTGGGTCTGATGTCACTGTAGTTGGTTCTGATGTCACAATAGTTGATGTTGTTGCTACATTAGTTTGTTCTGATGTCACAATAGTTGATGTTGATGTTTCAGTAGTTGGTTCTAATGTCAGAGCAATTGATTTTGTTGTTATAATACTTGGTTCTGACGTCACATTTAAAAATGTACTGGTCATATTCATTTCTTCATGTGTCTCATTAGTTGGTAGAGAAGTCACTTTAGTTGGGTCAGATGTTACATTCATTAGTTCAGTTGTTATGTCAATTGATTCAGATGTCTCATTAGTCGGTTCAGTTGTAACATTAGTTCGTACAGTTGTCACATTAGTTGATCTGGTTGTCACACTAGTAGTTGGTTTAGTTGTTACATTATTCGATTCAGTTGTCACATAATTTGGTTCAGTTGACTCAGTTATCATGGTGCTTGCTTTAGCTGTCACATTATTGAATTCAGTTGTTGCATGAGTTGGTTCAGTTGTCACATAATTTGGTTCAGTTGTCACATTTGTTAAATCAGTTGTCAGGCTAGTTGGTTTAGTTGTAACACTATTTGATTCCGTTGTTACATAAGTTGGTTCAGTTGTCAAATTAGTTGGTTCAGTTATCAAATTGGTTGATTCAGTGGTAAGGTAAGTTGGTTTGGATGTCACATTAGTTGGTCTTATTGTCTCATTAGTTTGTTCAGCGGTCTCAATTGCTTCAATTGTTACATTGGTTGACTCAATTGTCATGGTAGTTGGTTTAATTGTCACATAATTTGATTCAGTTGTCACATTAGTTGATTTGGTTGTCAGGTGTATTGGTTTAGTTGTCATATTATTTAAAGGAGTTGTCACATTAGTTGGTTCAGTTGTCACATAAGCTTGTTCAGATGTCCCATTATTTGGTTCAGTTGTCAAATTATTCGGTTCAGTTGTCAAATTATTCGGTTCAGTTTTCAAATTATTTGGTTCAGTTGTCACATTAGTTTGAGCAGTTGTCATAGCAATTAGTTCAGATGTCATATAGGTTGATTCAGATGTCCCATTATTTGGTTCATTTGTCACAACAGTTGATTCAGTTGTCAAATTGATTGGTTCAGTTGTTACATTAGTTGATTCAGTTGCAGCTGTTACATTAGTTGATTCAGTTGTCACTGTGAGTTCAGTTGTCAAATTAGTTGGAGCAGTTGTCATAGCAATTGATTCAGATGATGTCATATAGGTTGATTCAGTTGTCCTATTATTTGGTTCAGTTGTTACATTAGTTGGTTCACTTGTCACATTTGTTGATTCAGTTGTCATAACACTTGATTCGGTTGTCACATTGATTGGTTTGGTTGTTATCACAACAGTTGATTCAGTTATCTTATTGATTGGTTCAGTTGTTACATTAGTTGATTCAGTTGCAGTTGTTACATTAGTTGATTCAGTTGTCACAACAGTTGATTCAGTTGTTATGTTAGTTGGAGTAGTTCTCATACCAATTGGTTCAGATGTCCCATTATTTGGTTCAGTTGTCAAATTATTTGGTTCAGTTATCACATTGATTGGTTCAGTCGTTACATTAGTTGATTCAGTTGTCACATTAGTGAGTTCAGTTGTCAAATTAGTTGGAGCAGTTGTCATAGCAATTGATTCAGATGATGTCATATAAGTTGATTCAGTTGTCCCATTATTTGGTTCAGTTGTCACATTTGTTGATTCAGTTATTACAACAGTTGTTTCAGTTATCATAGTGATTGGTTCAGTTGCTACATTAGTTGATTTAGTTGCAGTTGTTACATTAGTTGATTCAGTTGTCACATGGGGTAGTTCAGTTGTCAAATTAGTTGGAGCAGTTGTCATAGCAATTGATTCAGATGATGTCATATAAGTTGATTCAGTTGTCCTATTATTTGGTTCAGTTGTTACATTAGTTGGTTCACTTGTCACATTTGTTGATTCAGTTTTCATAACACTTGATTCAGGTATCACATTGATTGGTTCAGTTGTTACATTAGTTGATTCAGTTGTCACAACAGTTGATTCAGTTGTCACGTTGATTGTTTGGGTTGTTACATTAGTTGATTCAGTTGCAGTTGTTACATTAGTTGATTCAGTTGTCACAACAGTTGATTCAGGTATCACATTGATAGGTTCGGTTGTTACATTAGTTGATTCAGTTGTCACAACGGTTGATTCAGTTATCACATTGATAGGTTCGGTTGTTACATCAGTTGATTCAGTTGCAGTTGTTACATTGGTTGATTCAGTTGTCACATTAGTGAGTTCAGTTGTCAAATTAGTTGGAGCAGTTGTCATAGCAATTGATTCAGAGGATGTCTTATAAGTTGATTCAGTTGTCCCATCATTTGGTTCACTTGCCATATTAGTTGGTTTAGTTGTCAAATTATTTGGTTCACTTGCCATATTAGTTGGTTCAGTTGTCAAATTATTTGGTTCACTTGCCATATTAGTTGGTTCAGTTGTCAAATTATTTGGTTCAGTTATCATGTTGGTTGGTTCTGCTGTTATCACATTGATTAGTTTAGTTGTCACATTAGTTGGTTCAGCTGTAACATTGGTTGATTCATTTGTCAAACTAGTTAGACCAGTTGTTGCAGATGTTGGTTCAAATGTCTCATAAGTAGATTCAGTTGTCACATCAGTTGGGGAAGTTGTCATAAAAGTTGATTCTGATGGCATATAAGTTGATTTAGTTGTGGCATTAGTTCGAACAGTTGTCAAAGAAGTTGATTCATTTTTCACATAAGTTTGTTCAGTTGTTACATCAATTGCTTGAGTTGTCACATAAATTGGCAAAGTTGGCAGTTTAGTTTCCTTAATTTTTATAGTTGGTTCCATTGTCAAATATGTTGATTTAGCAGTGGCATTACTTGATTCAGTTGTTAAATCAATTGACTCAATTGTCACACCAGTTGGTACAGTCACTTTAGTTGGTTTAACTGTTACATTTGGTTCAGTTGTCACACTGGTTTGTTCAGCTATCAAAGTAGCTGGTTCAGTCATAACTCTAGCTGGCTCAGTTGTCACAATAGTTAGTTCAGTTGTCACATTAGTTGCTTCAGTTGTCACATCAGTTGCTTCAGTTGTCACATCAGTTGCTTCAGTTGTCATATTAGTTGGTTCAGTTGTCAAAGTAGTTGATTCTGTTGTCACAATACTCAATTTAACTGTCAGAGATGACTGTTCAGCTGTCACATTAGCTGGTTTAGTAGTTGTTGCAATAGTTGTTGGTTTAGTTGTTATATTAGTTGGTTCAGTTGCCACTATAGTTGGTTCAGTTGTCATGGCAGTTGGTTCAATTGTCACATCAAAAGGTTCAGCTGTTACTGTAATTGGTTCAGTTGTCACAGCAGATGGTTTAGTTGTAGCATTAGTTGGTTCCATCATAATAGTAATTAGGTCAGTTGTTACATTAGTTGGTACACCTGTTACATTGTCTGGTTTAGTTGCAACATCAATTGGTTCAGTTGTCATATTATTTGTTTTAGCTGTAACATCCATTGGTTCAGTCATTTCATTAGTTAGTTCAGTCATCATGTTAGTTGGTTCAGTTGTTGCATTTGTTTGATTACTTGTCACATTAGTTGGTTCAGTTGTTGCATTTGTTTGATTACTTGTCACATTAGTTGGTTCAGTTGTTGCATTTGTTTGATTACTTGTCACATTAGTTGGTTCAGTTGTTGCATTTGTTTGATTACTTGTCACATTAGTTGGTTCAGTTGTTGCATTTGTTTGATTACTTGTCACATTAGTTGGTTCAGTTGTTGCATTTGTTTGATTACTTGTCACATTAGTTGGTTCAGTTGTTGCATTTGTTTGATTACTTGTCACATTAGTTGGTTCAGTTGTTGCATTTGTTTGATTACTTGTCACATTAGTTGGTTCAGTTGTTGCATTTGTTTGATTACTTGTCACATTAGTTGATTCAGTTATCAAATTAGTTGGTTCTGATGTTACAGTAGTTTGTTCACTTGATACAGCAGTTGGCTCAATGTTTGTTCCATCCATTTTAGTTATTTCTACATTCATTGTAGTTCCACTTGATATTAGAGATCCTTCTGTTATATTTTGATTATCAATTGCTGCAATTGCTCTATTTTGAGTTGTTTTATCTTCTGTATTTGTTGTTGTTCTTGCTATATGAGGAGTAGATATTCCATCACTTGTTGTTGAGGTAGCTAGGGTGCTGGAATCACTAGTGTTGAATCTTGATTCACTTGTTTGATGATATTCAGCTTCTTCAGTTGTGATGTCACTGTTATGTTTTGATGTATTTGATGATCCTGTGCTCCTGTCCATTAGATGAGATTGTGTTGTATTGTTGGTATTTGGACTTCCATTTGTTGTTTTCTTATATTCATCATTTTGGATTGTTGTTGTCTCTGGTTTGAGAGACACTGTTGATTGTGTTATATTTTGTAGCTTAGCCAGTATATTTTGGGTTGTTATTCCTGATTGTGTATCAGATTGTGCTGGCACAATCCATTCAGATTTTGCTGACTCAACCACTGCAGATTGTGTTGTAGATTCATTTGGAGTTTTAGAATCTGCACTTGGTTTGATAGATGCCATTGTGTCTGATATAGTTACTGGATTCTCAGTTGGAACAACCAAATCCTTTTGACCTATAGTCCTCATTTCTGTTGAGGATTGTAGACCTACAATAACAAAGAGCCATGCAATATTGAGTATATTAGGTAGAACAAATTTATACAAGAATAAATTTTGCTTCTATTTCTCATATTGTGTTGCATGAAAGAAGGAAGAGATGAGTATAAGTATAATCGGCAAAATAAATTAAAAGTGGACCAAAAATCCACATGGACTAAAAAGTTGATTTAACCTGCTTTCAGATATCTGTTTCAAACTGAGAAAACACAAAACAGTAAACATCAATCTGTCACTCTCATCTTTCACCTTGTAACAGCTGTGGTTAATAAGTTCAGATTAAAGAATTCATATTTTATCTTGTTAGGTTAGCACAACATAACATGAAACTGATCCAAGTTCATGACACACATCAACCAGTAAATCCATGACACATACCAGGATGTAAGGTTAAGCCAAGCTGGAAATTGTCAGCTACACCTACTAATTATGGGTGTGATAAAAAATTATTTTGTAAATGTTTGTAAAATTATATTGTGTAAATGAAAAGCTACTTATTCTTGTCTTATGGTACTTTGATTGTTTGTTTGTTTGTTTGATTGTTTGTTTGTTTGTTTGTTTGTTTGTTTATTGAGGCAACTTTGTTAATGTAGCAGGTTCTAATTATACGTTTGAACAGGCTAAAATATCTGAATTTCATAACAGAATTTGAAATGTTTTAACAGTCTTTCTTATACGAGTATTTTGATTTCTCTTCTTTAATAAAGAACCATAGGCATCTACATTTCCCACATAATTACTCAGCTAACAGTAAAGATAGGTTAAAGTTGGTACCCTCTTATCACACTCCTATGTTACATGATTTAGCATGTGAACTGTACCAAAGAAGTATCATCTCAGTTGTAAATAGATCATTCCAAATCTTTAACCAATCATTCCTCAAGATATGTCAGATAAACATAGCAAAAATATGTATCCATGAATTGACTTGATTCTCTCCTACCTGTTTCAACATTCCTTATTTAGGTTACATATGTAGACATGGACTACGGAATCTCCATAGTGATAAAGAGATAATGGGACACATTACCAGGAATTTTACCTGTATTTGAACTATCTAGACTTGCTCTAATGAGCAAAATGCCAATGAAATATCTTAGCAAATATCTTGGTATTAATTTTAATGGTATGGTTTTCATTTACTATTTTTGATTGATACTTGGGAAATGTCACTTAATTTTCTTGTCTCACTCATTGTGCTATTCTATAGTGCCACGTGTATAATTATAGTGACACCTTATAGTGCTAAAGTATAGTGCAACCTTGTAGTGCTGCCAATAACAATGGAGTGAATTTCGCGCTAATGATCTAACCATAAACACTGAAATAATACCTAAAAGAGAGATTCAAGTGTAATGAGTTTGACTGGACCTCCTGCAACCATATGTAGTGAAACATCTTTGATCAAAAAAAATTGTTTTAAACAATGTAAAGTGTTATGAAATATGCATTAACTTATATTATGAGTTATATATTATATAACATTGAAATCTGTTAAGTGGAACAGCTCTTTTAGTGGTACACTTTTCAGAGTACCAAGACTAACTGATTAAATGTTAAATGAACCTCTATATGTGGAACACCCCCAAGTGGAACACTATTCATAGGTGGTACCTAAGATGATCCACTTCAAAAGATTTACTGTATCATTATAAGTTAGCAGTTATTTTACTCACCTTTAGCAGTCAAATTATTGGCAAATATATTGGATTCCAGTGACATGATGAACACAAGTACAACACATATTCTAGTCATCACAAAGTCTCGTCTTTGATAACTTCTCAGCTTCGTTCAAAGTTCTCTTTTGTAGATTCTCTGACAACTTCCTGGGTATCCTCTAATGAAGTATATTCTATGCAGTTATACACCATTTTAAAGTCAAGAAATTTCCAATGTTGTATCAATGCCATATGTGTACATCCTCAAATTGTTTGCATCTTGAACCTTATATGTTATCTCAAATGAATTTCTGAAAATAAACAGAAGTCAATTTGATTAGGCCAAGCTTTGATAAAAAATCAACTTTCAATATTTTCCCTATGGAAGCATTCATGACAAAAGGATTCAATGTTAGTTGTCAATATCTTCCTGGTTCCAAAGTAGTTCTATTGTACTTACTCTCCTTAATTAGTATAATTTTCTTTGTAAAAAGATCATATTTTCAACATTTCCTGACAAGCTTTATATTTTTAGACCAGTGTGTTAGTTTGACTTAGCTTCATTTCAAGATAACAAGTCCCTGAAGTAGCTAATCATTTGTACTAGTTTACTCAACTGTAGGGGTTTTAATAGGGGTATATTGACAGATGGGTAAAAGGTCCCTAAACATGAGGTATACACTACAGGCTCTAAGACAATGTGTTTAGAGGCCTTAACCAAGACATGGGCAGAGCCAAACATGAGGCAAAAGAGGCAATTGCCTCAACAAAATTTTAGAGAAATACATGTATATTCCTCCATATGCTTTTTCAACTAAAACTGGAAATGAAGTCCAAATGTAGTAATATACCTCATTTGGTCTCAATTTGCCTTGCAAATATTAACTTTTGCCTCGCCTGATTTTAGATCTCGGCTACACACCTGCAGGGGAATGACATAAATTCAAGAATCTTATATTTAAGGATAAGACTCCATTGCAGGGTCTTCCGATTACTCCCCGTCCCTCATCATTTAACAAGTAGTAATGTGTTTTAGTAAGGACAGCAAAAGGGAATCCCCGCCTCCTGCCACCTAATATTGCCTCCCATGAATTGTCTTAAATCGTTTTCTAATTGTTGAATGGTAAAGTGCTACTTTTATTTGGTTCCATAAATAATCAACTGCTTTGGTTAATTACATTATATGTGTTTTATACTTTGACAGAAAGATGGGGAAATAACAGACAAAAATATGTTTTGGATGGATAACCAACTATGTAAAAAATATGTTTTGGATGGATAACCAACAATGTAAAAAAGAAGAAACCCTCAAACCAAACACCAAAATCACTTAAGGTGGGACAATTTGGAATCTATATGGAAGCATCTGTGATAAAGATCCTATATGAAGTCATTCAACACTGCCTACCTAAACCTCCAATATTAAATATACTGCCTTACCTTAGCAAAGATTGACTCCTTTTATTCCTATTATGTCACACAATTGCTTCCTTATGGTATTTCCTTATGGTATATGAGTTATCTTTTCCATGGAAACGCATTAGTAGATCCATAGGTATAAAACAAACATTTATTCATGCTTTAACATATGTATTTTGAAATATTGCATTTAATTGAATCTGTTAATATTGTTGATTTCAGTCCATTAAATCTTAGATGAGTCATCAGCATCAGGACACAAGGAAGGCCGCACGTTATAAAATTCCCTCATAGAATGATAGCAAAGTAACATTATTGATATCAGGCTTAATAAAAAGTGAAATGCAAATATGAAAATCGGTTCATTGAGCCATAACTCCTAGTTATATATTTTAACCTTTTAGTTCATTAATGAAACCATTCTTAAAGTTTCCTCAACATTTATATCCTCAATAGGATAAAAGTCATATCCATTACCCATTATGAACAACGATCCTTCCACGCTCCAAAGTGCAGTATTGACTTCATTTAACTCACAATAATAACATTTCTGCATGAACTGAACTGAATCTGACTTTACAGGTCAAAAATATCATTTATTGTGTAGTTACTGCTGAATACCGATGCATTTACTGCTAAACAAACTATTAAACGATTATTTGAAAATTGAAATAATCAATACATATTCCCAATCAATTCTACATCTACATTTTTCAACTGTTAACCTGTGATGATATGAACAGAAAAATCTGTTACAAATTATCACAAGGCATGCTGCAATCCACTTTGCATTCAATAGATCACTATCTTCTGGATACTTAAAACATCTAAATCCAATTTAATTAAAATTAATATGATTAGATTTATTTCAAATAAACAGAATAAATAGTGGTGCTTTTATATTCATTCAATTGACCTCTGATAGATTATATAAGACAACTTGGAATTCATTAATATTTTCATAACATCAAACGAAGATTTAATCTATGGAAGCTTCGTTGATCAAACCAATGCATTCAAACATTTCAATAGATGTAATTAAAATTGGTGTGGTATGGTATGATTTGTTGAAAAGAAATAAATACTGTACTTACCATGTTAATTTATGCAGATAGATATAGATATTTTAATCAAACTAACAAATGATCAGTAGTTATCCCATTGATATTGGTAGTTAAAACATTAATGACTTTCCATAGATTCATTGGTTATTCCACAGATTCATTGGTGGTTCCACAAAGTCATTGGTTTTCCAAATATTCTTTGGCTTTCCATATAATCATTGTTGGTTCCATAGATTCATTAATTGTTCCAAACATTCATTGTTGGTTCCTCATATGTAATGCAATGGTTACTTCATATAAGCATTGTCTCTCTGTCATAACACATTCAATATTGGCCATAGATTCATTGGTTATTCCACATAATCATTGTTAGTTCCATAGATTCATTGGGTGTTTAATTTATTCATTATTTGCCCCTCTAGATACATTGGTTGCTCCATATATTCATTTGTTGATCCATGTATTCAATGGTTGTTCAATAGTTACAGTTGCCATTTCATAGATTTCAGTAGTCCAATGTTATGAATCAGACATTTTACTAGAACCTAAACACTATGATAGAAATGATTGTCTGATACCATGGTTACAATCACACAACATGGTTAGATATTAACTTAACTGCTTGGTGGATGATTTTAATAAATAATGGCCTTATATTATGATACAAGTAATAAAGTTGAACTGATAAGCTAACAATGACATACAAAATCTTCAGATTCAAGGAGTGAAAAATGAATGACAAATAGATGGCAGCATTGCAATAGAAAGAATCTAACAGAACCTTTAAAGTATTCGAGATTGCTTACCCTACTATCACACCAAACTAGTTCTCACTACGTTCTCGAAAACGGGCTTCAACTGTGTACGAACGGACTGGACGTACTTAGAACCATTTGGGGTCTATTTACAAACTTCATCGAACGTACTTGAATGGGTAGGTCCTCTAGAACTTAGAACATGCTCAAAATGTTCTCGTGGTCGTCACGTTCTACAATTAGAACAAGTGACAACGTACTAACGACGAGCTGGACGTACTACGAATGGAACCGTCGTACTTCAATCCCACTAGGGACGTTTTTACAACGAGTTGAACTGTCTGAAGACGTATTGAGAACGAGGCAGAACTAATTGCAAACGGGTTTAAACTGAGTAAGAACGTATTAAAGACTGCTTATGAACGAGTTAGCAAAAATATAGCTATCACACCAAACAAGTTGCCACTGCGTTCTTCAAAACTGGTTTTAAACTGTGTGCGAACGGAAAGAACGTAGCTGCAATTTTCTAAGGTCTATTTACGAACTTCATGAACGTTCTCAGACGGAAAGGTGATTCTAGAATTTTGAATCGATTCAAAATTCAATGGCGACCATACCGTTCTGTAATCAGGTCATGATGACCTTCTAGACGAAGGGACGCGTTATACGACGTCGCACACCGATCGTGGTACAACCTGAACGAACTGCGAATGAGATGGACGTATTGAAGACTGGTTATGAACGAAGTAGCTAATTATTTTAGAGATATTTCCCGACCACAGCCAGATTGAGCCCGTTTTACGACGTTTTCGTAGGACTGGCAAGAACGGGTAAGAATTAGTTTGGTGTGATAGGGGGGTTAGTCATTCAATCCTTCATTCCATGTTTGGTGTGATATAACCTCCAGACTAGGGGCCTGTAACCAGTAACTTTTGATGTGGGATATGTTTTTTCAGTATACGTAAATAACATAGCTAGTGATTTTTAATTATTCCACCAGGTCTTTAAAGTCTTGTGATGGTACTGGGTAGTATACAAAGACATAAATAGGGGAGTGGATCTTTAATATAAGTAGAGGTAAACTTAGATATGACTTCTAGAACCAGAACAACGGCAACGCCAAAGCGTAGCGAATCCCATCGAACAGAAATGGCTGGCATTTTTACAAACGAAATATATAGCAAATATCATAAAACAACAAACCAGATAGGCCACCATTTTCAAAATGGTTGCTCACTACCCAAGTTGTCATCAGAAGAAATAATATGCTTTTAAGAAGCCACCTATAAAGTTTTTGAATAAAAATCGCACACATATACTTGTAAAATAACACACATAAAAATGGAGGCCATTTTTCAAAATGGCCGACTACTCCCCAAAGTTTTATTAGACAATGTGCCATATTTAGAGTATTCACATATCAAATATGAACAAAATCGCTCCACTACTTTTCGAGTTATAGTAAAAAATGTAAAATGACAGCCATTTTTTAAAATGGCCACCTAATATCCGAAGTGTCATGAGACAGTGTGCAAGGCTCATGAGTATTCACAAATCAAATATGAACAAAATCGCTTCACTACTTTTCAAGTTATAGTAAATTACGTTAAAATGGGGCCATTTTTAAAAATGGCCACCTTCTACCAAAAGTGTCATTAGACAGTGTGCCATGCTTTTAGTATTCACATACCAAATATGAACAAAATCGCTCTACTACTTTTCGAGTTATAGTAAAAAACGTTAAAATGGCGGCCATTTTTCAAAATGGCCGCCTTCTACCAAAAGTGTCTTTAGACAGTGTGCAATGTTTATATAGTATTCACATACCAAATATGATCAAAATCGCTCCACTACTTATCGAGTTACAGCAAAAATCGTAAAATAACAAGTGAAGGCCGCCATTTTTCAAGATGGCTGCCATGTGCTTTTTTAATATCTATATTTGTAGCTTTATAAATGTCCTTTATAATTTTTTTAAATTTAAAACATATTGCTATAACAGTTTTACATATTGCACCTAAATTACTGTAAAATCGGCACTAAAATGGCCGCCATTTTGAAATGAGTGGCCATTTTGTAAATCGGCTTTCGAGCAGAACTTCTACCCCCAAAGGGTATATGTGTACAAAATATGAACAAAATCGGGCCAACGGTATTTGAGTTATTGCCCGGACGGACGGACGTATGTACGGACGGACGGATGTACGTACGGACGGACGGACGTACGTACGTACGGACGGACGGACGTACGTACGGACGGAGGCGTTCCCTATATCCCTCCGAACTTCGTTCGATGGGATAATAAGTAGTTGATTGAGTAGTACAGAATATAGAATTACATGTACTGCACAAATATAAAACACAAAAACAAAAATCATCATATATGTCATTCAAAATTCAAATTTTATTCCATTTGATCCCTTATAATGTTAAATCTATGTTTGTATTATTATAGTGACCAACAAGCTTTAAAGTCCTAAATTATAAAATAGTGTTTTAACCACTTCACAATATGTAAGTGTTCACAAGTACCCACACCCTGACTTATACAGAAAAACAAACAAAACTGACCCAAACCCCAATGATAAAAAAACACATCTCGCTTAATATTAAAGCTTCATACCTTCCCTTAAACCTTGAAGTATATTTTTTTTAAATTCTTTATTTCCCAAATGTTTTTCATCCTAAGTCAAGGTGTTCAAGGGCCACTGTTGAATCATTATTGCACACACTTATTAAACAGGGCAAAAAACTACACTCACACCATATATAAGTGTTCAATTTATAGAAATATTCACCAAAACATACATGTTTAAAATTTTGTTCACACTTCACCTGTTAAATTGTTACACGATATTTGATTTAAATTCAAGTGAAATTCTAAAATTAACTCCGGTGAACATGTATAAATGTTGCATTTCAGAAAAACATAAAAATATTCAAATCTCTAATGCCTAATATAATGTACAAAAATACCATTATGTTTTTCTGAAATCAACGCTTTCAAAGTAACATTTGCTGTTTTCTTATCCTATTATTACCCATAGTGGAAGCCATATTGGATTAACATACCATATTTGGTCGAGCAGTTTAAGAGACACCTATTGACTAAAATAAGTACTGTATGATATATAAATGTACTGTATGAATGTACTAAGATGAGCTATACAAGATTAGCTGTTAAGGACCTTAAGCCAACTAAATTAAACACAATAATATACAATATTACACAATATTCTAATGAATTCAACAAGACAAAAAGATATTCCCCGAATTTGACTTCATAAAATGGTATTGCATCATACATGTCTTACAGCCCTGTGGCTGTAGGTATAGAACAATGGAAATATATATTCAAATATATTTAAGTCAAGGTCATTTGATAGAGTCTTATGTGGTGAAAATGATAACTGACTAGAGGACACATATTTGGGACTGTTAAACAGCCTAGAAACAAGAGGTAAGTGTAGTTGGGGTTATTAAATAGCCTGGAAACAAAATGTTTTTCCTCATTCACTCAATCTTCCTCATTCCATAGATCCTCATGGAGGTCAACAATTACAAAATAAACATTTCAACCTTTTTATGGGAGAGTTCCATTAAAACTATGATGTAAACATCGAAAACCAAGTGATGCTGTCATAGCAACACATGGCAACAAGGAGCATAAAAATACTAAATTGCTCGAGCACGCATGATGCCCTTAATGGATCTCTCCTCAAGCAAAGATATGCATCTTTAAAAGGTTGAAACTTTTAAGGAGAAAAGGAGGCTAGCTCATTATACTTTTCTCAAAATACTTTCCTCAAGCTAAGGTTTTATAAAAGTTTATAGGCTATTAGTAATTCTCTTTTTTGATTTGTTGAATTCATTAGAAGTTTGTTATTACATCTATGGCAACGGTGATTAATCAAACTAATTAGCTAACAATTCTAATTTTTTCTGACTAGAAACCAAAAGTACTATTGACAGTGCCACTAGGAACCACATGTACTATTGACAATCTTGAGTACTGTTTACAAAGCAACTACCAACCAAGGCTGATGTTGACAGTGCCAGTAGCTACCAAATGTGCTGTTGACAGTGCTGCTAGCAGCTAGCTGTCGTGCTGACAGCGCCAACGGAAACCAAGTGTACTGTTGAAACTACCACTAGAAACCAAAGGTTGACAGTGACAGATGACAGTGTCATTAGTAACCACAAGTACTGTTGACAGTGTGCACTAGGCACCAAGGATATGTTGACAGTGCCACTAGCACCCATAGATACTGTTGAAACTACCAACAGTTACCAGGTGTACTGATGACAGTGCCACTAGAAACCAAGGATATTGTTGACAGTGCCAACAGTTACAGTGTCTATTGATGACAGTGCCAATTGCAACAAAGTGTACTGTTGACAGTGTCACTAAAATCCAAGGATATAGTTGACAGTGTGTCATATAAGTACAACCCATTACCCAAGCTATCTACAAACATTCAAAATAAACACACTTGGCTGTCTGATACATATTGTATTAGCTGCACGATTTGATTCAGTTTCTCCCCCTAAATAATGCATGTTTTCAGACAGCCAAGGCATTAATAGACAGACACACTGAAATTCCATGTACGATGTTACTGCCCCTACTTCAGTGCATGGTTCCAATATGGCTGCCTGAGATGGAGCAAGACAAAATCAGTAGAGCATATACCCTGTATACCATGAGGTTCTTATGTTCATTAATTAAACTTAAAAATATTAAACCTTCTTAAGAAATCCATAAATATGGAAATCAGAACACAATTTCAATGGGAGGATCCTGCAACAAAAGCAATGGGAACAGATCAGGTTTTTAATACCCATTTAAAGACTGACTTAGAAAAGGATGAAGACTAAACTCTGGAAGTGATTAGAAAATGTGCTTAGATATTAAATATGATTATAAAAATCCTCAACTTTTTTCTATATAACACCTTAATTTTTCAAATAATGACCATATCCATATTTGTTCTAATCAATTCAAACTCATACAGCATTGTCACAAACACCAGAAATTCTTTCTTGTACATATGAAAAAGTATTGCTCCATCTCATTGATTATTTCCTACTACATACACATCTATATATACTGCATTATCTATACAATCATTATACATTCTCTTGAGATCATAATACACAGCTTGGCCCAGAATTAATATTTTCTATAATACAACATCCAAATATATGCAGACATTCTAATTGCTAATAAAAACAAAATACATGTGTAGAGCTCGTGATTAATTACATGTACAGTATGTATGTAGTATATGTTCACGTGGAAGTCTACGTCTAGTTATGTTTACCTACATCATAAAATCTGTGCTCAAAAAATGTTCATAGTAAAAACAAAATGCATTTTATGTTATTTTGCGTGACGTGACACTCGTGACATATGTGGCAAAATGCATTTTAAATTTTGTGCGACATGACTGTGATGCATAAATGTGATTTGATGATGCGGATAAATTTATCGCTTGTCCCACTCCATAAACAAATAACCCAATGTCATGGGTCTTAAGAAAAATAAAGCAGTACATTTCAGATAATTGTGATATGCCTTTATAATGCATTCAGATGAACAATATATATACATATAGTTAATAGATATATAGAAATATAATACAAATTACCATATGAATCACCAAAGAGTGAAATGGTCACCTGATTTGAAGGAGTACCATAAACTCAAAAATTTAAACCATACTAAAACTTACAAAATTTACTCAATACTAAATACCAAATTGTACAATGCTGAACTACCGAATTGTACTTAACCCAGTACATGATGTATGAAAATGGTATCTCCAAATTAGGTACCATTTCAGTTATACTGCAGAACATTGTTATACTAGCTAACATAAAGTGGTGGGTATAATGCATGCAAAATATATATCCCCAATTTATTATTTCTTTACAATTTCAAGCAAAAACTACATGAGGTCATTTGTGTATTTGTTATAAGCACCACTCGAATATATATATAGCTGATTCACCAAAATTAAAGTCTCCACATCCACAATTCATTGTATAAATAAGTTTATATTCAAGTTCCAATATCAACATTTATTGGTATATTTGTGTATTTGTTCTCTACAAGTTCATGGCTTTTTGTTTCTCACTCTAGATTATGTATGACTGACTATCTTTGGCATTAAATGAGAGATTAAATGAGAAAAATATAGTCGCCCCTACTTCCTGCATCAAATCTACAAGTCTATGCAACCCTTCTTTAATCTTTACTATATTACATTCTGTACAATTTCTTTGATATTATCTTACGGCACTCTTATATTCTAATTAATTTATTGATAAAATTTCAACAATACTATAGAATTTACACTGCATTAGTTGACATAATTGATAATTTGATTCTTTTTCCTTGAGATTCGACTAATTTCCTGATTAAATCTCACTAGCTGTTTAATATCTTTTTCCACTTAATATTGCAAATGTTATATAATAAAGCTCCCAAACACCTGAAATATTGTTGTTTTTCTGGAATTATCCTTAATTGAAAATAAAGTTCTCCTCCATTCACATTTAATACCTCCACATATTTCCATTATATAATATGGTATTACCATTATATACTATGGTGTTTCATTTTAGGCTTAAAATCACAATTTCTTGAATATACAACATTTATGATTGTATAACACTAAAAGTAGATAGGAATATACAACACACATAGATATCACAAGGACAGTGAATATTAATTCAATGTTTCCCTTGTTGACAATTACAATGATGTGAAACAAATGTGTTGAATTTAGTAATTGTACCGCCCTTTCAAAACAAATTTCCTCGGATGTTAAACAGCGCCTAATAAGGTGAAATTCAAAATCATTATGATAGCAATAAAAAAAATGTGGTTATTAATACAAAACTTAAGCCGAATGGAATGTTAAACTCAACTTCTAATAATGTATGCAATATTAAATAAATGAACTTCAGTGAAAATCGAAAATGAAACCACTCTGGTTAATTATTTTGTTTAATTATGAAATACTGCAAGAGATATTTAAATAATATGAATTGAATTTACATTGGCTTGATTATAATGAATATGGTATGTACTGTTTATAATAATGTCTATGTTTAATTGGCATCTGTTAGTGTTTGAGCAACAGTGATCTGCGCAAGGCAAATATCAAAGTTTCTGTACATACTGGCTTTTTAACCCTTTCACATCCGGGGTAGCTGATTGTGTTAACCCTTTCTAGCATGCTGCCTTCCTTTCCCATTTTGACAAAAGTCAAAGCTATGTAAGGTTTTACAAATAAAATGTAAAATCATCTCAACATTTGTCATCCCATCTAGGTCACTTTCTCTTCACATATACAGATTTCAGTATATAAAGTACCAAGCACATCCTTTAGTTAACCATCTGTACTGAATTCACTATCTATCTACCGTGAATTAGCTATCCATAGTGAATTCACTTCTCCAATGATTATATAATATAGTACTATGTGTATATGTAAATATAATTCTAAATATAATATAATACAATCCACCTATTTCATAGATGACAATATATACTAGATTAGTACATAAGAAAATAATACATGAATTATCTGTACAATCTATATCTGTACATTATATAATACATTCAACTAATGTAATATGGATTTATATATATATATAATACACCTACCTACATGAATCACACCCATGCACTACATGTATGAGGACAAAATGTACAGTGATAAACATGTGCCCATTCAATGAGTTATCCATTGATTATAGTATAATAATGATTCAAAGTTAAATTCATAATAAAAACATTTTAAATAAAACCATGCACTCGCACAACATAAGAATTATAATAACAATCTAAAATAGTCAAAATGTTAAGTATATATTCCGGATGATCCCATAAGACATTAACCTACAGGGTGACCAAGAAATAGTTGAACAGATGCTGAAATTTCCCAATCTTCTATTTCTTGGATACCCTGTAATCCATAATTCATTCTTGAAAAGCAAAGCAATATTGTATATAGTCCAATTTGAACATGTCTTCTGTGACCATCTCTTTAAAAAGCATTCAAATGCAAATTCCAAGGTTTTCAGCCCAATAATATACAAGAAATACATGTTCTTTGCCATATTGGCGAATAAAATACTAAAATTGTTTTGATACATCATCATGCACGCATCAATAAAATCATTTCATAACATTCAGAAATCGCACTAAAATTCCATTCATGTACCATAAATATACACATTACTTCTGTTAACAGAAGTAGAAATTCATCGGACACACATGTCGTGAGACACTTGTGTGTTTGTGTCATTTGACACCCGTGTCATAAATCATAATACTTTCTTGTGATCTATTCAGATCCTTTTCAGCACTTTAATATCACTGTGCCTCAATATTCATCCTTGTTCTCAGATGTGTGAACCCCACACTCCTTGTTCTACAAAGTGTAAGCCCCACACTTTATTGAAGTGTATTCATACAACAGACTTGTGCATTTTCTGTCATCCCTTCAGTGTTGACTATAGAGTGACCTCACTGCCCAGAGAAGGTCTGATACAGGTATTGATATTGGCGAGTCTTGGTGGGGCTGAGGGGATATGTTGCGTAAACAGGGGGGCCTGTCGGGGAGCTGATATATGCAGCAGGGGCAGCAAACTGTGGGTGTACCTGATGGAAGGATGCAGCTGGAATACTAGGTGACTGCAGCACTGGGTGTATATGAGCTGGCAGTGGGTGTGTGGTATAATGCACGTGCCTTGGGCTCTGGTGAGCTGGTGGAGGTACTCCTGTAATCCCCCCAGGGGAAAATGGACCAAATGCTCCGTGTGGGGCCCCAGTGGCTAACTGAAGGGGCTGTGTCTGGTGGGCGGCTGCTGCCTGCACCATGTACCTCTGTGCTGCTGGGCTGTTAGAATACTGGCTAACTTGATGCCTGAAAGAAATTCAATATTACACTTCATACAATATTCCCTCTTGAATCATGCTACGCAAATTACGTAAAATTTGAAGTAATTTCACAAAGAATATAACCCTTTCCCTTGCTCTCCTAATTAAAACGAATGCTTAACACGAGTATACCATTATTGCAATTTCAACATTTTTTAGGCTAACAAATCAAAGAAATTTATTTCAATATGTACCTTGACGTTTCCACAGTGAGCTGTTGATGAACTGGAGGAGACCGTTTGCTATTTCCAGAATGAGGCTCGTGATTCCTATTATGACCATTTTTGTGCGTGGACAAGTTTAATGTGCTGGGTCGGCTCTTCTGTAATTTGTACGTAGAGGTCGTATTGGGCATGCCCATGGATCTTTGTGGAATATTCCGGAATCCCTGGTCCATCTCTGATAATTTTGAAATATTACGTTTGGACGTGGAATCTCTACGTTCATATCGTTTTGAAGAGCTTGACGACACCTGCCTATGTGGAATGTTAGCATTGCCTAATTTACGTGAATGCTGTGTATTTAAAGCGTCATTGATCAAATCTGGAGGTGCGGCCATTAATTCTCGTGCAAGGCCACGTCGCCTTGGCAACTCAAGTTCCTGATTATATTCATCTGTGTGACCTTCAATTTCATCATCCTGGGATGTCACTTCCTGCTTGATTGGTGTAAATTGGGAATTATGATTGGCCAAATCTTGATCATTTTCAGAATCAGAATCAAGGGAATCCTGGACTGTTACACAACTAACGATGTTCCTCCGTCCCCTTGGTGATCCTGCAATGAAAACAGTTACATACAAATCTCTATTCTAGTAACTTCAGACAGGGTTAACATTAGACTGGGGTCATTTTAAGTTCACAAGAAAGAATGCTTGCTATCAATCGCAAACTGAATTTAAACCTTTATCTTATAAATGTATAATATGAAGACGGACAATTTTGACTCTCGAATAAATATTCATCTGGTTCCATTTTTATATCAAACCCCAAAATATTTATTTCAGTAAACATAAACTTCTAGATGCAGGTATTTTTTGCTCAAGATCCCATGATCTCATGGGCTAACTCTACATTTGAATATGTTTTTCAGAAAAGATCAGGTTCATTAAAATCTATAAGTCTAAAGATCTAAAGGTGGCTACCTTTGGTTCTGGTTGTGTAGTTGTCCAGACTGTCGGCAGACTCTGGGCTGCTACTGAGGATGTCGTCACTGCTGATGGAGCATGAGTGAGTCATGTTCTCATTGCATGCTTGGCAGTCAGGCTTACACCTATGAAAGAAGGGGATGAATATTACTGGTCAGCATTGTCTAACTTATGGAAAAATGCATATTTAAAGCTATACTGATGAAATGATCAAACTTAGCTTTTCGTAAAGGATTTTACATGCATATTTACAAACTGTTAGAATAGGATTCTTAAATTCTTTTGAAACATAATGCAATGTATAGTTGGGATTAAAGATTTTCATTTTAACCAACTTCAAATAAAATAAAATATTTTTAAATTTCCTTTTATTTCTATGAGTACCAAGAATTGACCAATGATGAATACTGGTACTCTTTGGAATACAATATGTAATCCCCTAAGTGTGAACCCCACACCTACCCTTTTGGTTTTGAATCTGGCTCCTCTTCACTATCAGAACTGATGGTTATAACACTAACTGCCGGACTAGGAGTATCAGGTATGACTATAGTTTGCCTCTGAGTGTTATATGCCTCATCAGGAGTCTTAACCTTTGACCTCTCCTGACCTCCGTTCACCCAACGAGCCTTTGATGAAGACTCACTGTGAGCCGTTTGTGATGTAACTGTGTGGGGCGGGGTGTTTTCCTTCACCCGCTTCTTCACTGGTGACGATTGACTGGTGCTTTCTTTGACATACCTAGAGAACAGTAGGATCATGAGTCCACATACTAAATCTGATTCTATATAGCCTATATCACAATGTGTGAAGTCAGTATAACTTATACTTATCAATTCTCATGTGAAAATTATATTTTGTTAACTATTTCACCCAGCAGCATGATGGCAAAACAGTACTCATTAAGTACTTCAATAAAACAGAAATAAATGTAATTTTATTTTATGTTCTCCTACAATAAAATCTGAAGTTCTAGAGAAATAAACAGTTCACCATAACAAGTGCATAGCTTACTTTTGTTTGTTGCTGTTACGTTTATTGCTGTTACTCCCCTGGCTGGGTTGCCGGGTGAGGACTAAAGGGGGTGGGGCAACCCCGACCCCCCATGTCTGACTGGTAGAAGACTGAGGCACAATTGACGTAATATTGGTTGATACCCGTGAACTGGGGATGTGATGAGGAGCACGTTCGACGAAAGTTTCATATACTCTTCCATCTCCAAGATCCTAAACAAAATAAAATGAGTTATACCTTGTATAATAGAAACATAAAAGATTTGTTTAAAATAAGGAAACATTCTGATTTACTAATGTGATTGCATCAAAAAGTACAACACTAAATCCAAAATTGAATTCATCAATTCTCACTACATCACACATTATGACTCTAAATTGAGCAGAGATCTATTCTAAGTGCAAAGTAAGCGCACCATCATATAGTGAAAATGAACAATTAAAAACAAGTGGGCAATTCCAAGAACCAATAAGGCTACAAACAGCTTAGAACAAAATGCTGTGAATGAAATATCAGTGATATATGGTAGCTAACTTAAATATCTCATTGAAAGGAATGTAACCTTAAGCAGGTGTGCAGAAATTCAAAGATATCCCACAGTTCCCAGCTAAAGGTGTACATAATGTAACTGCCACGAGATGCTGGTATGTCCATATATGGGATAAACCTGCAGCAATGGGCAGTGCTTGTTAGTTAAGCTTCAATTATAATTACTTTATTAAGGCCTATACTTTTCTTTTACTTATGATTCTCATTTAGAATAGTATCTTCTGCAAAAGTTCAATTTGAGGCATCAGTATCATCTCATTATATTTGTAGTGTGGGTTGAATAATGCACATATACCATAAATTGCACTTAACCATATATTGCTATTTTCATAAATAGTGGTTTACATGCCTTTAAGGGTGGGGTTCAGCATAATATACGGTAGTAACAGCAATGCTAAGCATAACATATCCGATTCTCTGCATTTCCAATTCGCTTAATTACATATTTGAAGATATAACATTAGAAAGCCTCATTTTATATAGAACACATGATCGAGAATCACAGTGTTAACATGTAACATACCACTGGAAAAACTGTTGAGCCCTGATCGAAATTATCGACTATAAGTGAACGTCGCCACGACTCTGGTAAAGTAGTGGATGCCGCCAATGTCTCGGGGACCAATTGCGGCTGGATCTGCCTGTGTGCGGACAATGCCGGAATCTGTTGCCATGAAGGTACAAGAACCTGTCGCTGTGACGGAAAGGTCGTGATTGGTGCATTTGTGACAAGCATCTGACGTCCTGTTGGCTCAATCATAGACACAGGCAAGAACTGTTGTGTGGGGACTTGCTAGAATAATGAGATAAGAAATCTCTTAGAAAAATGGTGGCTGTGCATTTTATAATTTTCTCTCAAAACTGCATGAATTGCTTCATTTATTGGAGCTTTTGTGTAAGGCCTAATAGAGTGTGTAACTCGAGCCTGTTACCTTTATACATTGCTATTTCATTCCTTTGTCACTATTTTGCAATATTCACATAGAAATGTGTAAAAAGGGTGAACAGAAGGTGAAACAAGGTTAACTTACGATTTCTGCTAAGATACTATTTTTGTGTTGAAAATAAAGTACATGCAAATTCTAATTTTGTTATGATGTAACTCTCCTACGTATAAAATTGAAAATGTTCATTTGCTATTCTGAAAATTCTGATCACTAGATCTGAAATCCAGCGATGATGTCACATTATTTAACATAGTTACCTGTGTAATGATCTGAGGTTGCAACTGCAGTGTCTGGGGAGGCTGCGTAACCATGGGAACACCATTCTCCACTCTTAGGGAGTAAGCATGTTTGTTGGGAGAGCTAATACCTGAAAACAAGGGAGTAAGTGTGAATGTAGGAATACCCTGAATGTGACATTTTGATTCAATATCTATTAGATATAGACCCAAACTAATTATTATCTTTAATGTAACAATAACAAAACAAGTGAGTGATCGCAAAAGCTCATCATGTGAGCTAAAAAAAGCACAGACAAAAACAAAACAAATGCTTTAGAAAGGCAACTACCTTGTAATGCTGATGGCAGAATGAATGACGGGACAAGAGACTGCTGAAATGGGTCAGTTCTCGTAAACTGGGCCCCTGTCCGTGGCTGTTGAAATTGTGTCTGTGCGAGCCGTTGGGTTGGATATGGTATATACGGAGCTGTCTGGAGCTGATATTGCAAGTATGGTATATCTGTGGGAGGATTGTTGGCCCCAATACTACTTGTTAATGTCTGTGTGGGCAACTGGAAGAAAAGATATTACATTCATGATTGATTCAAACATTCATATACTTTTCTGGATTGGATCTTCTAAAATGTTTGCAATCTGGAGCAATTTTTAAACAAACGATATTTTTAGAATAACAAAACCTAAACCTAATTATTGTGAATATCACTGCCTGATTTGAAAGTGAGTTTTAGGGGTAAATTTAATTAGCCTAACTCTCTCTTAACCAAAGATTAATTCCTACGATGGAAGGTGAACATTTGATTAAAATTTTCATGTGGACATACCTGACTTTGAATAGCGTTCAATTGGTTGTTAAACAGTGTGATATTGGTGGTCGTCGGGGCTCCAAAGTTCATCATGTTGCCAGGGTTCTGGTTGATGTCATAGATAGATGACTTGGCTCTCTTACATACGTCCATGTTCTGTACAGACTGCTTTACTCTGAAATTCGCATAAACAGTCATAAATATAGGAATTTAAATTTTGGTAATATTTAGAACAAAAATTGCTCAACAGTATACCTTTGAGAAAACAAGATATGCTGCAATAAATATTGCACTCTATGAAGAGCAAAATGGCTGTCTACTCTTGTATTTGTAAAAATTTCAAAACAATTTTCCCTGAATTTTGATGATGAAATTATGTGTCCCACCGGTCAATAATATTTTGTTACTTTGATGAATCATAAAACCTCTACTCTAGTTACATGTAAATGAGCCCAACTTGCAGACTAGTATGGGCATAGTCTACTAAATGAGCTTAAATTACATATTGGTATGGGGATAGTCTACTAAATGAGCCTAAATTACATATTGGTGTGGGCATAGTCTACTAAATGAGCTCAACTTAAAGATTGGTATGGGCATAGTCTACTAAATTAGCTCAACTTAAAGATTGGTATGGGCATAGTCTACTAAATTAGCTCAACTTACAGATTGGTATGGGCATAGTCTACTAAATGAGCTTAACTTACAGATTGGTATGGGCATAGTCTACTAAATGAGCTCAACTTACAGATTGGTATGGGCATAGTCTACTAAATGAGCCAGTGAGATGAAAGGATGATTCAATGCTTCGCCTGGTGTGATACGTCTCTCCTGGTCTAAGGTCAACATCCTTTTAAGGAGGTCTATAAACTCTCGTCTGTCCACTTTCTCAGACATGAGCTCGCTGCCCTCCAAGTCTGTCGGCACATTGATCTACAATAACACATAAAAATAATTTAAGTCATTTCCTCAATCTATATCTTTCAATCTGATAATATTATACTGTTTCGTCCTTCTGTTGTGCCATTTGTTTAGTTTGCAAATTGTAAAAATCTGTTGTATTGTGCTGCTAGACATTTGATAATATTTCCATGTGAACTTTTTATTTTCTATGTTTTTACATTACTACGTTGACAAAAATTAATGAAGTAAAAATATTTAATTTTCAAAAATACCAATATCATGATATTCTACCCCTAACAATTATGTACAAGGTATGTTCCATAAAATGTTTGTATTTTCCATAAAACTAATATTTAAAGAAAATGAGTACATGTAGTGTATAGTTAGAAAGATACAATGCAGGGGGTGAAGTAATGAAGTCTTACCTTTATAGCGGAAAATAGAAATCACATAAGGGACCACATGAAAACAGCAATGTAAACCAAACCATGATGTTACATAACCATTCCCTCTTTAGGTTCACATTGATTCCCAAGGTAGCTTGAACTTTGCCATGAAAATCTATGTTACCACATCTTGATTCATATGGTTTCAGTTATTTCAACCTCATACTTTCGAAGGTAAAATACAGGTGTTCGATAGGTTCGAGCGAACCCCCCTCCCCCTGGCCAAAAAAATCTTTCAAAATCATGCAGTTTTTCACCATTCTGAGCACTTTTTAAGTGATTGTGGCCATTTTAGGACCAAAATTGTCACAAGTGAACCCCCACTGGAATTTTTGAAAAAGTGAACCCCCTTGGCAAATCCTGGCTACAGGCCTGAAATATGATGTTCCTAAAAGAATTGAACTTTAGCCACCCCACATTCCAGTTGAAAATACCATCATGATTGGGTAGACATGTTTTAAAGCAATCCCTATTATATGGAAACTTGTGTTGTAAATAAAGCATTAAAATATGTCAGTAGGAAAAACAGAGGTACTAAACTAAGGTATTCAGATTCAATCAAATCGCACTAGAATAAAATTCTGCACTTAAGTGAATAGGGAAACGCTGCACTATATAGAAAATCTGAACTATGTTCAAACTCTGCCCAATGTTTAAACGACACCATATTGAAATTCTGCACATTAGTGATGTACACTGAATTAAACATTTATACATTTATAGAGGTCACTTGGATGCAATGAGACAACAATATATTCATTCACAAGGTCACAGACAGCTATAAAATTAGCACTCTACCAAATTTGGGTAAAACTAATTTCATCGTAAAAGCTGTTCAAACAGTGTTCACAGACAAGATATTTCATTACTTAAGACAGAGACAGCCTGATAAGAAGTATTTAACTCTCGAAATCCAATAAATGTTTGTATTTTTCAGGCAAGATGATCCAGGGTTTGCTTACAAAAATAAATCATTATGAAAATAGAAGCATTAATGACAGCGCACAGGGAGCTTTCCAAATGAATATGTCCAATAATGAATTCTACATCTTCATACCTAAAGAGCTTAAGAATGAAAATGTCAGGGACAGTGCTAGCTATAATAATGAATAGCTATAAAGACAAGGCATTAGGCATTAACATGCAAAATGTCACCACCTCTCATTTGTTACAGATGCCAACTGATGACTGCTGTTACAGATGCTGAACACCATCTGCCGAACACGGTCACAAAAAAGTAAGACTATAACGATATGTCACCACTTCTGGCTGGTGGTCGAACTCCCGTGCAGTGATATATCACTGCGGCGGGCAGGTGTCTCACCGTAAGCATGGTAACATCGTAATAAACAACTGACGTGATTGGTTCTAGTCCCATGCTCAGGTCGCTTGATTGTAAAATTTAGACAATTTCATTGGTTATATTGCGCGTATTAACTAATAAACAACACGTGCGGTAAACTTTTATCAACACAACTTTTACTCAGAATTCCTTCTGCGGGGATTTGCTCTTATATTTCATTGATTTTGAAATATTTTGACAAAATAATGGTTGGTGAACATAAAAGAACATATATTTTATAAGTTGTATGAAAATCAAAGTACATCTGTGACAAAAAGGGGGACTATCTTCCCCAAATTTTGGGGATTCCATAATCTGCCCGCCGCAGTGTCTATACCGAGACACTGCATAGGAGTTCGGCTGGTGGTGACATAAAAAGGGAGACTTTGCTACTTTTTTGTTCATAGGTAATTTTGCATAAAGCTTTGTGTTCCACCCCTACCCCTAAGCCAGAGCAGGATATAATGTAATAGAATGGGAGGAAGCAGGGAGAGATGATACTTCCAAACTGGTTATCATGTCACATCTTCAAACATTTATCAAACAGAAGGAATTCAGAGAAAGGGGCCCCATAAACAGGAAATCAATTTGCAGACTTGGGATGGCCTAAGAGATAGATAGATTTGAAGCAAGAAGGATATAAAGGGAGAAAAACAGACTACTACCTGCGCCATATCATCCAGACAGTTGAAGATATACTTTCTGGCCTCTTTGGACTTCACTTTTGTCTCTGCTTCATGTTCCTCAGGACTCTGCAAGTAAACACCACAAGATCCTTCAACATTTTAAATGCACATGGCCCTTTAAACTAATTTAACATGACATATAAAATTTTTTTAATTGTTCCGTTTGGACAGAAAAAATAAGTTTATACATAATATAAAACAAGTGATGATAAAAAATAACTGTGTTTCGTACATAAATCATAAAACAGATAATGAATAATTCGTACCATTTATCTTGAATTATTATTTGTTCCACAAAAAATGTCATAAATACATGATCGTAAAAAATCATCACTTTCATAATTGCTTTCATTTTGCATTTTTTTATATGACTTATATTTATAGCAATATCACAGAGTTATTCTTGATAGAAGCGGAAACACGGATCTGCCAGCAATCAGCGTGTGATTGTAACTATATAATGATTAATACCACCATTCTCGGTTGTTCTGTCCTAAAACAATACATTTATCATATTTCATAGGTTATGATGCCCTAAAAAAGATTTTTTCTGAACTCAGAGCAAAGTTCTCTTTTTTACACATCTGACTCAGAAATGTCTGTAAAATCAGAAAAGTCAGTTTTATAAAATTTTTCAATTAGGTGCAGTGTGTTTTAAACTGAGCCCAAGGTTAGTCAAATTTGAAACTGGGTTTATCAAGTAGGGGCATCTCCTAGATTTAGTTCTGGGGAGATCACAACAATATCATTGGGTTCAACGATTTAGGTTTGTCAAGATCTCAAAAACATGCTTGATCTATGGTTTCTATGAGAGAGAAATACATTCAATAGGGGCTGACTTCTCAATATCAGGGGCAGACCATTCAATATTAGGGGCCAACCATACAATACCACTCTATCTAGAGGTTAATCATTCAAAATAATATATTCTAGTTATAGAAGTTTAATTCATACGAATACAGCAAATGGTTTATAAATACTGCCATTATCAAAAGAACTGATATCATGTCAAAATATTAATGATATCAATTTGTTTTATGAGTCTGGGCATAATATGCAGAGAATGTTGGCTATGTAATTACAGAGTTTAACAAGGACATTTTATGGCAGAATGGCTTTAGAGAGATTATTACCAGAGTTCTAATCTTGGATTCTTGCTAATCCCACATAGATTTACATTGCTAGATCTCCAAGATGTTGCCATATTTCAGACATATGGATCGGAAACAACTTATAATGAACAAAGAAGAAAAATATCATAATTGTCACGCAATTCAAATGAATAGATGAGTGGAATCTGCAAAAGATTAAATTGAAAATTGAATTGAAGTAAACTGAAAACACCCATGAATATCTATAATGTACAAGATAAAAAGTTAATAGTTCTTTCTTCATGGAGAATGAAATAGGGATGGCCTCAATGACCATATATGGAGATAATAAATGTATTTTTGGAATAATGATATACCATAAATGGCAATATCACTAAGCATGAGATGATCTGCACTCAGAAAGAGGCAATAATTTCTGATAATCATAAGACTTAGGTGCTCCCGTCGTAAACTCTGAAAGTCATTGGAAAATTGAAGGAAAGCACTCAATGTTAAAGCCCCAGGTAATTTATCTTAGCGTACCTTTAATCTCCAGAACGGATAATTGCTATCTGTACTCTCTCGGTTGAAAAATCGCGTCGTTTTTGTTGCTGAGCTGAGCATATGTTCTGATGGTAAACCCTGTGTCTGGGCCACATATCGGATCTGATCGTACTCTGAGGATCCTGGGTAAAGTGGCCAGCCGAGGAACAGCTCTGCGATGACGCACCCTAATGACCACATATCTATGGCTTCACAAAATGGCAACCCTAATAGAATTTCTGGAGCTCTGAAACATACAAAAAGTACTTTTAAATAAAAGCTTTGAGAAACAGATTTCAAACATAATAAATAAATTCTTACAAAAAGGAGATTGAGACTGAAATTGCTACTGGCAATTCAGCAGATGATAATGATAAAGGACATCAAACGAAAGCCTTGAATGTGACAGTAACTAGTGAAAGCTGGGTAATGCCATATTATAAACTGAGTCTATTCACATTATTGAATTTATCTTTACGAAGAACATCAAGAAATAATTGCAATCACGATTCTATTAGTCGACAAGAAATGAAGGTGACATTCAAGATACGATTACTTTACACAAATGCTGATGACATTACAAAACATCTCTATTATCTTTAATGTTCTATGTTTAGTACATTTATATGAGGTTTTCATGTTGTTATGCATGTTGTGTTATGTAAGCACATTTATGGACTTTTCATGCTCATAATGATGAAGAAAAAATTAGAAATTGATAGCCAATACTCATAAACTCAAAAATAGTTGTACTCATACAAGATAGGGCATAATGATGATGATGGTGTACAATGATGTACCATTATGTTTATAGATGTTCCAATATGTTGATAGATGTACCATTGTGTTTATGAATATACCATTATGTTACAGGAGGTACCTGGGGTACCATTATTTTAATGAATGTACCATTACATTTAAGGAGGTACCATTGTGTAGTTGGATTAACCATAATACTCATGAATATCTCAATGTGTTATGGATGTACCGTTATATTTAATGGTTTTTATTCTGACCTTTTGTTTGTATTGAGAGGACTGGGTACATGTTTATGAGGACATTGTACTATGTACCCTTGAAATAGTAATTAACCTGACATCTACCACCTCATTATACGACTACTTGAGTATATGTTATTCAGTAACCTTCCCAAGTTTGTTTCTTAGCTCAATCCTAATCCTTTACCCGATTAGGGAAGCTCACAAGGGTTTGTAGCTGGACTACACTCTGATCTATCTTAAGCTAGTTCTCTATTAGGGCTAATAGAGGTTATGGAACCTACAATGTGCCTATACTGTTAAACCAGTATATCATGACTATTCTGTATATGATACCTTGATTTGGTTTGATTTGGAAACTATATTGATTCTGGGTAGCTCTATCAGTTCAGGACTGGTCTTGATGAATCGAGATACAATGGGCATCATTTGAGTCTGGATAAGCAATGAATGTTAGGCACAAAATGCAGAGTCATGATTGTGAACAATGTCAAACCCATATCAAGGGTAATATATACAGCATTTGATAGTCTTGCTTTAAGTCCCTGAACCTGCTCCCCTTATACACTAGTAGATAAGTGGGGAGGTCTACAGTCTTTGAAGCAAGACTAAGCATTTGAATATATATCATTTATTACTCAGGCTTGATATACAGTAGCCTTGTTCATCTGATAACATAGTGTTGACAGGTTCAACACATTCTGATACTCATAGCATCTTTCTGTTTCAGGGCTGAGAAGAAATGAGATGTCATGGTATATCATGATGGGTTCAACATGTTTAAAGGGACATAGTGCAATTTGCACTTGATAATGGATAATAGACATGTTTACATTCATGTATATATATACAGCCCTAACAAATACATGTTTACTGTTAGAGACAGGTTTAACACATATACTGATTTTAATAAACACCTTTATAAACAGACACATCATCAAATAACATTTTAAACTTAAAGAGAAACCTTGTTTAAATGATTCAGATAACAGGCCTAACAGATACTATATTTAGCAGATACTGCTTTAAAATGGTATATGTACTAAGTGAAGAAACATGTAATATAATTAATTACTGTTCAGTGCCACATTAATGCATGAATATAAGTGACACTGACAAAGTATTTTAAACAGATATCATATATGACTTTTCAACTGAGAGGACTGTTCATAACATAATCAGGTGATCACCATCAGACAAAACAACCATCACCAGTCAGTATAAGACATGTGAGTTAGCATGTTAACTAACTCAATAAGGGGCATGCTAGGCCAAGAAGGAATAGTCAATATTATGTTAAAGCCTACAAGCCCAAGGACACATTTGAGTATAGCCGATTCAGGTGATGCCATAACAACAACATTTTCATTTATCAAAGTCCCTATTTATCCAATACTTGAGACTGGGAGTCCCATACAGAATTTGTGTTGACATTACAACGTCATTTAAACTGGAAACGTAGAGTAGAATGGAGATGGGGGGGGGGCATTACATCGTCATTTAGACTGGGAACGTAGAGTAGAATGGAGATGGGGGGGGGCGTTACATCGTCATTTAGACTGGGAACATAGAGTAGAACGGGGATGGGGGGGGGGGGGGGGGGGGGGTAGACTGTATTGATACATACATCAGTTCACATTATGTCATTTTTATCATTTTTATCATATACTCTGAATCTTACAGACTTGAAGATCTTACAGTAGATGTAGAATTAAACTCACCATTATTGTAGGCAAAAGAGGGGACAGTACTGATGAGTATATCAGTTCACATTATGTCATTTTGACCATCTTTATTATACTTTGAAGCCCAAAGGCTTATAGCCCTTACAGTAGATGAAGTTCTCATTTAAGTACAGTATGTAAAATTAGACTCATTGTTGAAGGCAAAATAGGGGACAGTATTCAATGAGTATATCAGTTCACATTATGTCATTTTGACCATATTTATTACACTCTGAAGCCCACAGGCTTGCAGCTCTTACAGTAGATGAAGTTCCCTTTTAAGTTTGTAAAATCAAACTCTTAAAACAGGAATAAAAAATTAGTAGTATACTAAGGAAAATAAATTGAAAAAAACAAAGAGAGAAAAACATATCAAAACACATCTATGGTTTCATTGATATAAATCTACCATTATATATAAACATTATGGTCATATTGAGCCTGCAACAAAATTATGAACATTATACAGCAGTGATCTCCACAGGATTTTTTCTCAAGTGGGTACAAAATTCTAATTTTCACAATTCAAACCAAAAGGAGTCAAAATATGCCCATTTTTCATGATTTTTTCTCATTTTCAAGTGGGTGCAAATAGATTTTCAGGTGGATGCAAGGCTATTTTCAAAATCTCAGGTGGGTGCTGCGCCCACTTGCTCTAATGCTGGGGAGATCACTGTACAGTAATTTCTGTTTCTTTGCCACCAGATCAAGGTATCTCAATATGCCTTTATCTAAATGTGCCTGGATTATTCAAATCAATCTACTGTCTATAACATCAGGCAGAACTGCTATTAAATGAAAAAGTTCATAACAACCTCTGATAATTAGTATACTATCTGTTAGATAACAGTCATCTTCACTATCATTATTCCATCATTTTTTCTCAAAATGTATTGAACTACTTACTTAATGAAGTTTCTTACATTTAATTTCTTGATTTTTCATTTTCCTTTAAATAATTTCTCGTTATTTTATTCTTTTTCTCTGCATCGTGCGTTTCAAAATGATATGATATCAAAAACGTTCTCAATGTTTTAGATTTTAGGAACGCATGGATAACATATCAAAGGTAGACAGTCTAGTATACAGGCCTAAAAAACAGTCCCTCAGAAGTTAACTATTCATTATAATAAATGGATTATCAGCTTACTTCCCGAGGCCATGCATTAAACTAACACTACACAGCAACTTTTAATAGATAATCATTGATCCATTGATGAGTTCTCTATTCATAGAAATAATGATGACATTTGCAATTTGTATTCATTGGTATATGCACATCTCTGTCTTGAAACAAGGATGTCTAAAAAGAAGGATGGGGTACTATGGTTTGATAAATTGATTGATACACTTGTTTACTTGTTTGCTATTTGTTGACAACTCTATACTAGGATCTTACAATGTTCCTCTTAGCCTTGTTATACCCTGTAGAGATCCCTATTCTATAGTCACTCTTCTACCTGTGGCACTGTTATACCCTGTAGAGATCCCTATTCTATAGTCACTCTTCTACCTGTGGCACTGTTATACCCTGTAGAGATCCCTATTCTATAGTCACTCTTCTACCTGTGGCACTGTTATACCCTGTAGAGATCCCTATTCTATAGTCACTCTTCTACCTGTGGCACTGTTATACCCTGTAGAGATCCCTATTCTATAGTCACTCTTCTACCTGTGGCACTGTTATACCCTGTAGAGATCCCTATCCTATAGTCACTCTTCTACCTGTGGCACTGTTATACCCTGTAGAGATCCCTATCCTATAGTCACTCTTCTACCTGTGGCACTGTTATACCCTGTACAGATTCCTATAATTCCTCTTTCTACATGTGATAGAGGGATGTAATGGGGGAGGGGGATAAACAAAGGATTTTAATTGAAGATATTATCCTCACGGACATGTATTGCATATCAGCTTCTGTTTCCAAACTAGCAATTGGAAAGGAACAAATAGAAGACTGTAGCCTCTCATAATATTGGCAAGTTAAGCTCAATTGATACAAAATCTTCCACGATGAAAGGCCTTTTGTCTCCTAACCTCTCCAATGATGCTATTATTAAGAAAATTGATCACCTTTATGAAACTAACAAGCAAAATGTGAGCGCCATTGTCTGAAATATTCAATATATTGTAATAAGATACAAAGTTCCTGTCGCTATTATTTGACCGGGTTAGTACTCAGGTTATATATGCTTCACAAACACATTTATGTTCCCGATTTCAGTCATATATTATGTAAAGATAAAATGGAATAATCGTTGAAGAAAACAAGGAAACATTTGGAACTGACATATACTAATGTAGGGGTTTCATTAGCAGCAGGCAACAGGCAATTTTCACTGATTGTCTTCACAAAATCGCATGTTGTTTTTAAGGACTTTACAACTTTTCCATGTTAAATTCATGATTTCAATTAATTTTGCCTGTTGTTTTCATTTATTTAGGCTGTTGTGAGAAATTTTAGTGAAACCCCTGCTAATGAATGGAGAAGACACATGATTCAAAATTTATTAATTCTATTCAA